GCAATTCTGGATCCAGTGGAATATTCTTCTAGTATGAAGTGAGACCTGCTTTAGCTTTTTAACCTCTCTTTTTTGTCTATTTATAACACAAAGTTAAGGTATATTTACTAAATAACCCACGACATGTAAAGCAAATAACTTGAAAACATATCTTATTCATCAAACTTATTCCAACTTCAAAGCTTTTTAACTGCACTGCACCATTTCAAAACATCAAACACAGACCCCCTTTTTAATTTAAGATTGTAAAATGAAGACCTGGAAATCCAATTAACACTTAAGTGCTAATGATATTTTGTTTACAATTCACACAACTGTGTCACCTCTGTGAGACTGATCAATTGAAACTGTTTTTATTCCAGATGATACACCCCTCTCCTATCAGCGAAACTGAAGAACCTGACAGTGACAGAAATAAATCCCTATTAGTGACTTGAATGACACCACTAGCTTGATGCACATCAATGAGCACTACCTCAATTCATGCAATTCTCCTTTAACCACCACTTTAAAAAAACTTTATGAAAGCTCTAAAAGTATTGTTTTTGAAGAAAACATGATCGAGCCTAATACATATATGGTATTAGCTGTTTTTAAAAAAGTGACCAAAATACTGGTTGGATGTAAATTCTACTTGTGAATACCATATTCAGTGCTTCTGAATACAGCGAACTCCTGATAACTCGTCACTCACAGATGAGTTATCCGGAGTGGCAAATTAGGCACATGTATAAATGCAGCCAGGATAGTGACAACATAATGGCTTAAGTGGTAGTGCCAAGTTAAGCCAGGGTCGATTTATCAGGAATTTACTATAGTTAAAAAAATTCCTGAAGTGCATTTACATGCCAAAGAAATAAATTCCAACTACGAAATGGAGGAGGCAAAGAATATGCAGCAAGTCCACGTTTGCCAAGGGGGAGAAGCAAACAGGATAACAAGATTCAAATGTCGCAGCAGTAGGGAAGGTCAAGGCCATTTGAGAATTTGTTGGCGACATGATGGAGGTAGGGGAGGCAAATCTTGAAGTCAATCCGCTGGAAGATGGAGAGTCCATGGTGCCTGGTAAGGACGAAAGTGATGGCATACAGTGTGATGGCCAAATTGTGGATGAGCTGAAGTTTGTGGATTGTAAAGTTTAAGTTGGTAGTGCCTAGTAAAGGCCCCGCTCTTACCCCGCAGCTCTGCAAAATTTTCCTTTTCAAGCACAAACCGATGAAAAGGGCATTGAAGAAATCAAGTGTTGAGATAAGGAAGGAATGGATATGGTTCTTAGCTGTATCAAGCACAAGGTAGGGTCATAGTTAGACGTGACAAAAATGAAAAGTGGTCTTGATATGTGATGTAAGAAAGGAAGGGGAGCCTAGGATCGGACAGAACACCAAGGTTGCGCACTGGCTCAGTGAGCTGGAAATTACGGTAGAAAGCCTTGTTGAGATAATTGGAAGCAGGAGCATGCAGTCATTGGCAGGAGTCAAGTAGATGATTTTTCATTTAGCCAAGCATAAGCTAAAGGAAGTTGAGGCTCATTCAGAACTTGATATCTAATAGACAGTTGGTCAGAATATCAATGGACCTAGAATCAAAGGTGGAAGAGGAGGTAGATTTGAATGTCATCAGCCTTCGTAGAATCTTACAACACAGAGGGAGACCATTCGGTCCATCGTACCTGCTCTTTGAAAGAGCTATCCAACTAGTCTCACTTCCCCGCTCTTACTGCCGCAGCTCTGCAAAATTTCTCTTTTCAAGCACATATCCAATTCCCTTTTGAAAGCTACTATCAAATCTGCTTCCACACCTCTTTCAGGCAATGCATTCCAGATCATATCAACTTTCTTGGTAAAACAAATTCTCCTCGTCTCCCCTCTGGTTCTTTTGACAATTAACTTCAATCTGTGTCCTCTGGTTACCAATGCACCAGCCAGAGGAACAGTTCCTCCCTATTTAGCCTATCAAAACGTTTCATAATTTTGAACACCTCTATTAATTCTACTCTTAACCATCTCTGCTCTTAAGAGAACAATCCCAGCCTCTCTAGTCTCTCCATATAATTGAAGTCCCTCACCCCTGGTACCATTCTGGTAAATCTCCTTTGTACCCTCTCCAGGGTTCTGACATCCTTCCTAAAGTGTGGTTCCCAGCATTGGACAAAACTCCAGCTGAGGCCTAACCAGCAATTTATTAATGTGAAAACATACTCCCAGGTTTGTGGTTAACGTCACCACAGGAGCATCTAGATGAAAAAAAATCTCTAGTTGCCCAGTTTTCACCAAACAAAGCCATCGGCAATTGGTTGCCACATTTTGCCCACAAATATACAGTCAATTCACTTTACAGTCTATTCTGTGAGGCGCTTTAAGACATCTAGAAGACGTGAAAAGCACTATATCAAATGCAAGGATCATTATTACTGGTATTTTTCTGTAAACATGAATATCTAGATTGATTAGTTGCCGTAAAAATCAGTATAAAAGTAAAATGTGAAATTGGAACAATACATTAATGCACCATGATGTAACATATTTTCTGTCTAAATTCTCAAAGCTAAACTTTAGTAATCTATGTAGCATTCTTATAAGAACAACTTGCATTTATATAACCCGCCTTCATGCCGAGCAACAACTTGGAGCGCTTAGAATATAATATAGCAATGGAAAATTGCAGATTGCTTTTAACTCATTTTAAAGATGTTTAAATCAAAACTACTGCACATTGAGATCAAAAATATTCATCTGAGATGGGCACAAAATAATTACTCCAAAATAAGATTTTAGTTGCATTTGGGACCATTTAATTGCTGTAATCTGACAAAACCCAATTGTAGTTTTTATTATGAGAAGATTGCGCACCAGATTTCTTACAAAGATACTGACTCAGACAGCTACAATTTGGTACCACTCAGTTTTCAATATCATACACATTAAAAATATGAATAAATTTACCTCATCCTCACAAATCAAAATAAGTTCTTAGAAATGTATATATTATTATCAACCAGAATTTCTGGGTACTCAGTTACGCAATAGACAAACCACAGTTTAATGGCAAATGAAAAGTTCGAAAATAAATGAAAAATACTTTTAAGACTTGAAAACGCACGGATTTCCATGTGGAAGTGACGCGTGTGGAACTCAGTCTGGCTTGGATACTCTTAGGCATAGTGGCTGACCAAACAAAAGCAACTGGTATTCACTTTGCTGATCATACTAAGTGTCGCTTATTAATGACATCATCTAAAATATCCAGTAACAAATTATTTTTATCTTATTGTGCAGATCATTTAGCAAATTTAAACATCATGTTAACATTTTAATTCTCTTTTCCTCCTCTTTCCATAATACTTTCCAGTCAGCCTCTCATTACAATGCATCAATCATTGGGAAGCACAGAATAAGCACTCAACAAATACTGTATGGATAAGGTAGCAGGGTTTAAGCAGGGTTCATCAATTTCAACTTCTACCAAGATGCAATAGATCACCTTAGTGCAATACTCAGTTTAATGACATAGCAATGAAACTTCTTGATTAAATACTTTGCTGTGCTGGAGCAGACTCGAAGGCAGAAAGACAACAAGCAGAAGCTCCAACCAACAGCTATCCACTTCTTCTCAGCTGGGTATTGATGATATTGAAGTCTGCAGTAGACTATCAGAGACTAACTAGTTGCAGGGAATACCTGTAGTGTGGCAGAGAACACGAGCAAGTGGATAGGGAAGGCTCATTTCAGTTTTAGAACTACACTAAACTGGGTTTCAGCTATAAAATAACATAAATCCATATTTGTCACCTAGACTGAAGCCAAATAGTTTTTTTTTAAAAAAACTCTAATCAGTCACTTGAGTTCATATAACCAAGCAACATAAAACAGATGTTATAACGTTCTTGGAGGGCATAGTTAACCTTAAAGCAATGATGCCTGACCCCTTTTCCTAGTATAACCAACAAGCTAGAATTACTGCATCAATAATAGCATTAATGCTCAATGGCACACAGGAGGCCTTAGCCTCTTAATACAACATAATTTGATTTATTTGATTAGATAATTGTGAACAGGTAACTTAAAAAAAGCCAACCAGGTTGAATCATTCATAAATCTGTATCAATGTGAGCTCTGATTTTCTACAACAAGTATATAAAGTGCTCTTTCTGGGTCATTCAGTTTACCCATCTTTAATGTCACCATTGACATGTCCTTTCAAAATGGTTTGTTTCTGATTATTCTTTCCTAAGCAGGCCTTTAATGCAGAATAAAGAGTTTAATAGCTGTTTCATTGAAGGAACAATTAAAAGACAACAGGTGGCAGGACTTCAAATTTGTGGTTACTTAAAACATTAAGATTTTATTTAAATTTGTTTGGAACTCGTGGACTCACAATTCAAATTAAACGGCACATTAATAAGCTGTAATCACACATTTAAAACTTTTTTTCAACTACTTGTTTACTTGTGGGAGTAGCATATGTGCTCGAGAAAAAAANGGAGAAAATCTGCAGGTTCTACTCTCAGGAAGGAAATATTGTGATGGAATGGCTAAATTGCAAAGATTACAATAATTATTTATAGATGACTCTTGAAAGTATACCAACATTAAAACTTTCATTCCCCCCCACTCCACCCATTGGACTTGTGTTGTTATACTATACAGAGTACACTGAAAAATAAGACAGTAAAACATTTTGAACCATTATCTACAATTAGAAATCACTGCACTTTATCAAACTGTGCTAATGACATATCGAACGGCATCAACATATATGACAGAAGGAAACATGCATGCCATATTTCAAACAGTCAAATTACAGTTATAGATTTTACAATACGTTGTGCTGATCTATTTTGAGATGCATAAACTGTTCAGCACCTTCAACTTTTCTGCATGCAATCAATTGTATGCAAATACATATTACTGTATTAGCAAGCAGAGAACAAAACAAACTAGGGGTTATAACTGTTAAAAGCATTCAACCTAAGTTATTATTGAAGCAGAGAGGTACAGTACCTGGATCAATGAGAACCTCCTGTGCCCCTAGAAGTAGGAACAAATAATGCTCTTTCATTCCCTTTGCACTCAGGCAACACAAAAAAAAATCAGCATTCTATGTTATTTAACCCCTTTAATATATTGACAACTGCATGAGATTCTCCTCTTGAAAGTAAACTATACATTTTACAAATGATAGATTCCCCAAGTTTAAATTAAAATGCAGTTGTAATTCAAAAGTCACAGCCAAACATTAACTTTATTCATGTTAAAAAGTAAGTTATTGAATAATACAATTCCAAAATGAAGAAATGTTCCAGTTTGCTTATCTATATGAAGTATAATAACACAAACTATGCAAAGAGTCATATTGTGCTGAATGTGAAAATAAAATACAACTGAGGATAAACTGTATACAATGTCCATTCAGCTTTGGCAACGAGGCCTGAAATGAAGTAGGTCTGACTGGATGAAAACCTTCTCCAACTCTAATATTGGAAGCATACAAGCAAAATTAGCCTGGAGGCAATATTAGTTTAACACAAATAGTTAGAGCCTATAGCCAAACTCACGAAAAAAAATTAATCGGATTCCACATTTGCCTACATATGAATCGCTTACACTTTAGAGTAACTCGTTTTTTGAAGCTCTTAGTTTTATTTCAATGTGATAACATGCTGAATCAAATGTTTCAGATTCGCTGTCTAAATACTCAAAAGACCCTCAAAATATATAGTCAACCACTTCAGAGTAATTCTGTGAAGAGTTTTGATACATCTCAACAACATGAAAAGTACTACATTAAATGCAAGGATTATTTTATTATTAGAAGATTAAGTAATCTATGTAGCGTTCTTATAGATTATTAGGTTTCATTATCTGTTCTATCACATAACAGTAAACCACAGATTACTTTTCACTCATCTAAATTTTATGAAATTATAACTCCATCCCTGGAGGACATGATTCATTGCATAATTTCTCTAAGTTCAGTTCAGGATAAATTTGTACTAAAATCAACATTCTTACTCAGAGGGACCATAAAGGATGCCTAGTGAGAAAGTGGGAAAGTTCATATTCATTTTAGATGTTTTTCTCAGGTTGGGGTTGAGGCAGGGTGAACTAAGGAAAATAGAAACACAAGGAGGCCAGCCACCCTGGTGCATTTCAAACTATACTAATTTTAATTCAAAAACTGTTGGTTTGCCAAGTGAACAGAAATTCCAGAAAGATTTTTTAAAAAAATTTTCAAGACTTTTTTCCCCATTCAGAATGCTGACATATCACAAAGAAAATTATTGAGAGATGTTTTAAGCAAGCCTATTTCACATATCCATTCATCATTGGGGGTGGCAGGGGGAGGGGGGTCAGATCTCTGGTTGGCTTTTTAATTTTTAAAGTGCTCTCTGCTTCTGAACTCTAAGTTCACGTCTTATATCCTTCTTGAAGACAGGTATCACCCCCTCCCCAAAAATTCTTAATAATGAAAATAAGTCCTGCTCCACAAGCCTCTCCTTGGAACTTAAAACTCCAAGTACGATAATTTTTTCCATTGATTTTCTCTGAACCCTCTCCAAAGCTTTCAATGTAAAGCAGTGTCCAAACTGCATACAATATAATAAAATAGAGCCTCATCATGACCTACTTAAGATTAAGTGATAAATATCCTTTAGACGCAGATTATGCGATTAGTTTGTACACAGCAGCTTAACATAGGGTTCAAAACCTTCAAAGTATGACCAATAATCATCCCCAAATCTTTTGTTCCACACAATGAACATCCTTTCATTTTCACATATTTACCACTTCTTACTGCAATATACGTTAATTTGCATTATACTTTCAGTTTTGCTACTCCTTGACCCATCAAATTGATCGTCTTAGATATTTCTGAAAGCTATTTATTCTCATGCTATTACTTGCCTACTTAATTTAGCATCACTTAACAACAGAGGACCAGAACAGATACAGAACTGTTAACTCACCATCCTTTTCTCCACTTTCCTTTTTCTCCTTGCCCTGTAAGTTTTCCCATTTATCAACACCATCCACATTATTACTTTAAGCGCTCAGAGATGTGATCCTACATGAAATGTGCTATATATCCAACTGTTTGGGGTTTTCTTCACACGAGCACCAAAACCATCCTTCAGATCATCAGCATCTTTCCCTACCACAAATATTAAAGACACTAGGTGGGACAAAATAGGTCTCTACCAACTGACCTAAATATGTCTGAGACACAGATTCACCAAAAAATCTCGAAAGGCTTTAAGCAAGAAAAAAAATTCACTTCACCACATCAAATTCATGTTAAGTATTTAAAAAAAACACAAAAGATAACAATGAAAAAGAAAATGGTTCACTGTGGATTTGACCTTAAGATGGTCAACTCAGCACCTGAATGATGGTTTTCTAGATTCTTAGTAAAAACACCTCAGTTGTGCTGCAGTAGCTAAAAAAAACAAATGTCTCTGCAACCAAATCTTCCTTTCACCCTCCTTTGACTGGCACTTTACTGAAAGAGCAGAAAGTTCTGGGGAATAGACAAGGTGGTAGAAGAGAAGTATTTTCTATTCAAAGTACTCCCCCATTGTACATCTGAAAAATAAATATGGCAAAATTTATGATCGATCAAAATATTCACATTTTGTGCCTAATGAAGACTAGTATGGCAACTTACAAGAATGCCCTTCGGCCCATCTGATCTCATCTTTCCATAATCCCCACTGTTTTCATATCACAACATCAAACTGCTTTTTAAACAAACGCAGTGTCCTGGCCTCAACTACCTTTCGTGACGACTTGTTCCAATTGTCAAATACCCTCCAGGTAAACACACATTTAGTGAAATTGCGCTTTACCATAACCTTGTATCTTGTTCTGCTGTCTCAAGTGTTTCTAAATGTTAAATCAAAATTTTAAATTCATTCTGTTTTTATTTTCTCAATTCCATTTAAAATCTTATATACTATTGATAGTCCCCTCTGGAGAGATCTCCTTTCAAGATTGAAGAGCCCCAGCTTGTCTAATTGTTTTCAAAGCTCATTCCTTTAAACACTGGGAATCATCTTCATTGCTCTCCCTGCCACAAAGGCCTGGACAACCTCCTTATGTTGCATGGAGCATAATTGCATGTTGTACTCTATTTGCTGCCTAACCAGAGCACTATATAGATGCCTGGGGATCTGAACTCAATCAATTTGGCAATATATCCCAGCTACCCGTTTGTCTTGTTTATTGCAGCGTATACTGTTTTGACAAGGCAAGTGATGAGTCAACCAACACCCCCAGATCTCTTTCAGCTTCCCCTCAGCAACAACAAATTATATTTGTATAGCGCCTTACACATTGGGAGGACATCCCAAGGCACTTGACAGTCAGGGATTTGCACACGAGCATGTGGTTGGATTCAGGAGGGGTGGAGGGCAGGGAGAGCAGGGGTAGGAGGGTGACCAAAGGCGCAGTCAAAGAGGAGGATCTTGAGGCATGCCTTGAAAGAGGCAAGGGAGAGAGCAAGGCAAAGGGACTGTGAGATGGAGTTCCAAGGGTGGGAGCAGAAAGGCTGAAGGTCCCGACCGCCGACAGTGGTGTGGGCCGGGTGGAGGATCTGAATCAAGCCAGAGCCTGCTGAGTAGAGGGAGTGGACAGGCTGATATGGGGTTAGCAGGTCACAGAGCAAGGAGCAAAGCCATAAAGGCCTTGAGGGCGAGGATGTTGAATTCTATCCTCTGGGGGATGGGGAGCCAGTGGAGCCAGGTGAGGGTGGGGTGATAGGGTCTTGGAGCTTGGTGCAGGAGAGGACACGAGCTGCAGAGTTCTGGCTGATCTGCAGTTTGTGGAGGGAAGAGTTGGGAATTCCGACAAGCAGGGAGTTGGCATAGTCGAGCCTAAAGGAAAGGCAGTGATGGTGCCGGGCGATGTTGCAGAGGCATGCGCAGGCAGAGTGGGTCATGGCATGTGAATATCCTGTTCAACTCCTTTTGTAAGACCTTTGCTGCCCCCCGCTGATTCCACAATACCCTCTCAACTTGGTGTCACCTACAAATGTAACTACCTTGCATTGTATATGCAAATGCAGATCATTAATGTATAGAAGTAATGGGAGTCCCAGGACAAATCCCTGGGGCACCCTACTTGATACTTTCCCATATTTTGACCTAGCTCACCTAACAACCACCATACATTGAATGGAGACGTCTCCAACATACTTGAGCTTCTTACTTATTTTTAATGGGAATATGTACTGGCCTGAGAGTTTATCTGAAGTTCTCCCAGCGCAGATAAAAGAAAACAACCACAGTATAATCCAGCCAGTACTAAGTTATTCCAAGATTGGGCGGCTTCACATGGGCTTCCATAACTGTGCAATGGAAAGTACTGACTATCATTGAGCACTTCTGACACACAAGATTATATTTAAGTTGGCCACTTGTAAATCTATTTCATGTTTAATTACTTTTTTTTGCTATTCTAATCACTTTGGCCACTATGAAGTGTTTAATCAAGCAAAAATCCATTTGGTTGAGCTGAATGAGTTTTAAGAGTATTATAGCAAAATCTTTTCTTCAGTTAAAAAAGCATGTCAGGATAAGAAAATATCCCTATGCATTGTAATGACCATTGAGGACTGCTTTTCAAAGAATCTAACATAATTGTTAAGAAACACCAATTAGCACACAGCTTAGGTAAGGAGATGTCTGTTTGACGTGCATCAAACTTAAACAATGGAAAGAATTACAAGCCAAATTAGTCCGGATACTATTTGCCAAAATGTTTGATTTCACACATTAGCATATTAAAATATAAAACACAAGAATGAAATTTGAATACAGTAGCTAACAAATCAGAAAAAATCAGACTAGGTACAACTAATAAAAATGAACTAAACTGTCTGAACAGCAATGTGCACAGCATCCCAAATAAAACAGGAGAACTGGAGGCAATAATTCGAGGAACCAGATACCGTAGGGATTACTGAAACATGGCTACAGAAAGAACAGGCATTTAAACATTGCAGGGTATAACATATTTCGAAAGGATAGAGACAGGAAAAAGGGTGGTGGAATATCTGTACTTATTAGGGCTAACATCATGGCAATATAAAAAGAAGGGACATAGCCATCAGTAAGATAGAAACAGAATCTGTGTGGATAGAGATAAACGATAAGAAGGGATCAATCACACAAATAATAATAATAATAATCCTTGCATTTGATGTAGCACTTTTCACGTCGGGAGGACGTCCCTAAGCGCTTCACAGAACACACTGTAAAGTGAATCGACTTTATATTTGTGGGCGAACGCGGCAGCCAATTGCGTACAGCAATGTCCCACAAACAGTCGTAGATTGAAAATGACCAATTTATTATTGTTTTTGGTTTTGGAGGGATTATTATTAGGCGTGTGGAGTAAGGAAACTTGCCCAAGGTTTCGCCCTGCCTGGAATTGAACTCGGGTCTCTCGCTTGCAAGGCGAGTGCTCTAACCACTGAGCTACAGGACTCCTTTAGCTACAAAGGTATTTCTGTGCTGGGCACGGAAATCCAATTGGAACGGTTTGTGAAGGGAGTGGCGGGAGAGGAAGGAGCAAAGCAACGACTCGTTCCAGGACCTTCGAAAGGAAAGGGAGGTTGAAGATGGGGTGGTAATTTGAGGACAGGATCGAGTCCAGCGAGGGTTTTTTTTAAGGGATCGGAGTGATGTTAGCCAATTTTAATGGGCTGGGAACAGTGCCAGTGGACAGGGAGAGATTTATGATGTCTGTGAGTAGAGGGGCAAGGAGATGGAGCTGGGAGGTAAGGAGAGGGGTAGGGATGGGGTCGAGGGAGTAGGTGGTCGGTTTCATGCAGGTTATAATGCTGGTGCAAGGAGTGGGAGACAGGGTTGAAGGTGTGGAGGGAGGGATAGGGGCCGGGGTTTGAGGGGGAGATGGGGAGGGGGTAGTAGATGGAAGGGCAGAGGCAGCTGAGTGGATCTCCTCGACTTTCAATTCGAGGAAGTCCAGCATCGCTTCGCAGTTGGCATTGGAGGATGGGCGAGGCGCAAGAGGGTAGGTGGAGCAACTGGTTGGTGATGGAGAAGAGAAGCCTGGGGTTGCCCTTGGCCTCCAAGATTGTCTTGGGAGTAGAACGACGATTTAGAGGAGGCGAGGGCGGAGTGGTAAGATTTGATAAGGCCCGGCCAGATTGTCAATGGACTGTTAAGTTTGATTTAAGCAGGTGCGTTCAGTGGCACGCACCTGTGACTTAAGGGAGCGGAGGTGGCTGGTGTACCACGGTGACTTTCATGAGTAGGAGACAGTTCAGGAAGTGAAGGGAGCAAGGGCATCAAGAGTGGTGGAGAGGGAGTCATGGAGGAGAGTGACCGAGGAGGATAAGTCATTGCGGGAGGAAGCCCAGAGGGGGAGGAGTTCAGCGGAACGCGAGACGGGGGTGGGGAGGGGGGGGAGATTTTTTTCCAGAGGCGGTAGGAGAGGGATTGAGGAGTTAAGAGAGATGAAGTGTGGTCCGAGATAGTTCATGAAGTTCATGCTTGACCAACCTCATTGAATTGTTTGAAGAGGTAACAGAAAGAGTAGACAAGGGTAATGCAGTAGATGGAACATATTTGGATTAATAAGGTACAGCATAATAGACTAATGAATAAGGTCACTGCATCTGGAGTCAGGGGAAAAGTAGCAGAATGGATACCAAGCTAGCAACAAGACAGAAAACAGAGAGTAGGGGTAAAGGGTAGCTACTCAGACTGGCAGAGGGTGAGAAGTGGTGTTCCACAAGGATCGGTATTAGGACCATTGTTGTTCACAATTTACATTAACAATTTGGACTCGGGGATCGAAAGTACAATTTTTGCAGACGACACCAATTTGGGGGGTGTAGTTAATACTGAGGAGGACTGCAACAAATTACAAGACATTGATAAACTTGTTGAATGGGCATTTCATTGACAAATAAATTTCAATATAGATAAGTGTGAAGCGGTTCATTTTGGTAGGAGGAATAAGGAGATCACATACTACCTGGAGAATAAGAATCTAAATGGGGTAGAGAAGCAAAGGAGTACAGATACACAAATCGCTAAAAATAGCGACACAGGCCATAATAAGGCCATAAAAAAAAGCAAAACAAGGGCTGGGGTTCATTCTAGAGAGATAGAAATGAAAACCAGAGAAGTTATGATAAACTTGCATCAAACCTTGGTGAGACCACACTTGGGAGTACTGTGTACAGTTCTGATCCCCATATTATAGAAAGGATATAGAGGCACTGGGGAACATGCTAAGGAGATTTACAAGGATGATACCGGAACTGGGAGGTTACGCCTATGAGGAAAGGCAGAATGACCTTGGACTCTTCTCTTGAAAAGAGATGAGTGAGAGGTGACCTGATAGAGGTCTTTAAAATTATGAAAGGGTAGACATAGAGAAGATGTTTCCACTTGTGGGGGAGACCAAAATTAGGGGCCATAAATATAAAATAGTCACCAATAAGTCAAATAGGGAAGTCAGAAGAAACTTCTTTACCCAGAGAGTGGTGGGAATGTGAAACTTGCTACCACAAGTAGTTGAGGAAAATAGCATAGATGCATTTAAGGGGAAGCTAGATAAGTACATGAGGGAGAAAGGAATAGAAGGTTACACTGACAGGCTTAGTTGAGGAAGGGCAGGAGGAGGCTCACGTGGAGTATAAACGCCAGCATAGACCAGTTAGCCCGAATGGCCTGTTTCCGTGCTGTATATTCTATGTAATTCTATGTAATGGAAGTTGGAATAGCTCTGAGAAAATAAAAGACAACTGATATTCGATCAAATCACCAAAATCATAATTTTTTTTAAAACCACTGGGTTTCTCTGGGTGGCTTTGAGAAACTTTTTTTCTATTTTCACACATCAGAAATCAAATTCTGCACTTTTAGGAACAGCCCCAGTTGAACATATATGTAGTAATAGAGTTGTCATACAAATCAATAAAGACTTACACTTAAAATATACCCCTCTGGTAAGATCCAAAGAAGTAATTTGCTGTGCAGCTCAAAGTTTGATTATCCTCTGGTAGATATATAGCATTTCATATCAAACGTATTGAATTTAAAGACTTTCACAAACTACTTTCCAACTATTACATGCTTATCTCAATCAGGTTATGAGGAAGAACTGGAGGCACACACTCACCACCAAAGAATGTGGGATGTAAAGGTTGGATTGTCGACACATATCTTACAGATATGTAAAGTTTTCTATGAATGCTGCACTGTAACAGATTATGCTATACAATAGAGTGTTTGCATAACAAAGTATTCTAAAAATGTTGGTAATTTTAACACTGTTTATATTCAACATTATCCATTTCAATCACTTTGTTTTCTTCCAATACCCTGATCTATGACTTGTTGGACCACCTGGACTGTGATTTTTTTTAAATTTAGATAAAAAAACATTTGTTTACCCGATTTATTTCAAATTATTTAGATATTTGGCAAGCTTTGACAACAAAGATGATAGACTTCCTGGCTGTGAGGTAGATACAAATGTCAATGCCTCTGCTTAGTGTATTTGTTGCATAGTGATGTCTGGGAGAACTTACAACCCAAAAGTCAGCTGTATTCGTAGCTCAACACATGAATAAATTGTGTAAACAAAACCACGTTTAATGTTAAGAATTAATTTTCCTCAATTTGGAAAAATGATTAACACTAATTTTTTCTAATTAAAATTAGAAATGAGCAAGCCTATCTATTGTCCACCTTGTGCATTAATTATTTGGGGCAAAATGTGTACTGTTTGCTTACTAAATAGAAAGTGTGTTATGGCAAAGAGCGCATACAGAAATGTTATTTTTCCAATTAAGGCAATCAAAATGGGGTTTTAAAAAAACATTAAACACAAATAATTCCACTACTCTCAAAACTTGCGTTTGACAACATGGTCATTACTAGATTCATCATAGAGAAAAATAATTGGGAGTAAGTTTATAAACTTGCTTTGTGCTTTAAATGGTCTAGCATAGACAAAAAAAAGACAAGCACCATATGACCTTCATAAATGACTCCACACCTTCAAATGATCTTCAAAAAGAATTATGAAGTAGGACATAATCACAATTTGGGATTTTTCCCCTCTCAAAGGTAAAAAAGAACAATTTTGCTCACTTACCTTGTCGATGTCGCTTCCCAGCCTCAGGTGGTAAAGACATGTTATAAGCTCTGCGGACAGTAGGTTTTGACCCAGTGCCATTTGGATAATGATAGATAACCGAAGATGAGCACAAACCCTCCAGAGCAGCTAAACAAAGAAACCAAAACCATTATCATATTTAAGAATTTAAACATATGTACAATATCTACTGTATAGAAAAATTTAGCTTTAAATCATTAACCTCTAATACTTTAACCACCAACATACTACAGCAGATGGAAAAAAATCACAATAGAAAATTTAATCGTTAAATGATAGAAATGACAATATTTTTGTAATCATAGAATTTTACTGCACAAAAAAAACACTAAATGTTTAAAACTTGTGTGCACTTCAGCATAATACAAGCAGTGTTTAATATACATTAAAAAATAAAACTATATTAACTGTCTTAATGAATACATTAATTGGTCATTCACTTCATAGCCATTTGAAGGATATTTCTGTGCATAAATTGGATGCCACCAAATACAGAGTCACTACACTATGTCACCAATGTGTGTCAGCCTAATAACACTTTATGCCTCCAAGTCAGACGGTTGTGGGTGCAAGCACCATATTAGGAATTGAACTCATTTTGTCTGGGCTGGCACTCCCATATACTGCTGGGGACGATTGTTAGAGACGTCGCTGTTTGAATGAGACTTTAACCTGAAGTCTTGTCTGCCTTTTCGGGTAGACACTGAAGATTAACCTGTTTTATAGATTTAAACTTCACCTGCACGTGTGAAAATGCATATGAAATACGTTAATGTAAGCATCTGAAATGTATAACCTTGAGTAAAATTGTCCTCATACTCTATGAAACCCACCTCCCAACCACAGGAAGTCATTCACAGATCGAAGAAGTTCAACAGCCATGTGATAGTGTACAAGAGCATCTTGTAGCATGCCCGCTTGCAAGCAAAGATCACCAACGTGTTTCCGCATTCTGCCCTGGCAACGCTTCTTATAATGTCTGCAGCATAAAATGGAATATTTTTGTTAGATTAAAATATTGCTTTGGCACTGGCTGCATAAATTTCATCCATTCACATTACTGGCTGATCATCAAACATTTGGCCTTGCCTACATTGGTTAATGTATCTTTAAAACAAATTGATCAAGTCTATGCGTTATCAGTTAATGCATCATAAATATTTTAGTATTCTAATGTACTTTATAAATACATTAGATTACAATATATAGGTGCACTCTAAAAATATACCTTTTTTAATGAAGTGCAAACCATCACCCAAACCCCCATACTAAGGTACACAAATATGAAACTATTTAATACAACCAAACCTCTTCAACTTTTCATTTAATAAAAGGAAACAAATGAAATTGTAACCTAATTTCAATAATTCGCTGAATTGTGTGGTTATCAACATTTCAGCATATACAATTTGAAACACATCAAGTGATCAATATTAAGGAAAATGTCAATTTAATTTAAACTCTTTAGTAATAAATCTCAAAATATTGTATGAACTAGTTATACTTTAAATTAGGTGTTAATCAAAGACGTGATAAGGCGCTATATCAAGATGTTGCAAAGTTGTATTTGAGTTTGATACCCATGCACCTCTTTATTTGTTGTTGCAAAAACTTTTAAAGCCAGGTTTAAAAGCTCAATGTAAGTTATACAGCCTCAACGCATACCATACAAAAGATTGAAAAAAATGTTGGGGTGGGTAAGGGAGGGGAAAGCAATTTCTTCTTGAAGTGACAATTCAGTGGTGACTGCAATTTAAAAACAATTCAAAATTATCTGCATTTTGCCCAGTCTATTATTCCTGCATTCCAGACATATTAAAAGAATCATGAACCATTGAAACAATACACTAAACTCAGTATTCCACATTTCTCAGTTTCTTCCACTACATATAGTCACACTTGGATTTGATATAGCGCCTCATCACGTCATCAAGATGTCTCAAAGCTCTTCACAGATTATACTGTAAAGTGAATTGAGTGTATATTTTGTGGGCAAAATGGGGCAGACAACTGCACACAGAAGTGTGCAATTGAGAACTGACACTTTTGTAAACAAAAAGCTTTTAAGATAAAAGAGAACAAAAAAAGAATAAATGTCGAACATGAAGTTGCATCTCAATAATTACTACAAATATATTAGCAAGCTTTCTTTCTCTCCCGCCCGCTCCCCACCTTTCTTGAGAACAGACTCATTCAATATGTACTGACAGCATTTTAATACCTTAACGAAATGGCCATTCTCCAGGTGCAATCCCCAAAATGATTAATCAACAAATTATTTCATGATAAAGCCATGACAGCTATGCCTAATGAAGTTCTTGGACATCCATACCCATGGAATTAGGGACAACACACTAGTGATTAACCAACTTTCACACCTTTCTAACGCAATGTTGACTGAATTGTGGAAACCCCAAAATATTAGCTAGCTCAGCATAAACCAAGATCATCACAAACCCAGACTGGGCAACCTAGGATCATCTTTGTCTGTACATCTCAGTTCTACATTGAACAATTAATTTCAGCTTTAAGGAAGTTAAAGATTTACAACAGCAAGATTACATTTGTATAGCGCCTTTCATGTCGGGAGGACATCCCAAGGCGCTGCTATATAAACCCAAATTTAAAGATAAAATATATTTCAGCAACTCAGATGTACGGTATTGTTACACACACAGATCAATCTATGAAAATGGACACTTAATTGTATTTCCAGGAAACTCAGTCCAATTGGATCATATCATTCATAAGATATTTCTATAGCCAATGCATGTAAATACAGTCACCACTAAGTTGGTCTAGGCATTTTGTACCACTAAGCATTTTACAAAACTAAGGCAGCTATGAAGCAAGCTTAGAAAAAAATGAACTGTATAGCATGGTTACACAATGACTATGCATGAAATTCTAACAGCTATGTGTGAACTAAAACCTAATTTATGGTATCTTCCTAAATAGTTATGCTGTTCCAAAAGGGGCAAGGAACAAACATAATGCACTTTATTTAGGTTTCTCATCAGGCAGAATGCGACTCTTAGGAGCTTCTGTGGAGTCTGCAGCTCACCTTTTCACACCCAATAATAAACTCATAGGACAGTATGAAAGAAAGAAAAAGGAATAAGACAAATTCAGAAAAACTCACATAAGAACAGTTCAAAAATAAAATGTAGCTTTCCACAAATCTGTCATACTGTCATACGTTCCTAAAGCGCCATATCAAATGTAAGGATTACTATTATTATATAAAATTTCAAATACAAAAGATACATGACCAAAAGAGTGATTGTAGATTTCCAAAACAAAAACAGAAGTCGCTGGGAACACTTAGCAGGTCAGGCAGCATCTATGCAGAAAGGAAAACGAGTCAACGTTTCGGGTCCACGACCCTTCGTCAGAACTAGGGCATGTTGGGTGGGAGAGGCTTTTAAGGGATAACAGAGAGAGGGGAGGCAGGGCACGGAAGACAAAGGAGACTTGCTGCCTGACTTGCTGAGTGTTCCCAGCAACTTCGGTTTCTAGATTTCCAGCATCTGCAGTATTTTGTGTTTTGTAGATTTTCAGTTTTGCTGCTCTTGGTATTCCTGCTGACAAGTTTACCAAATTGATATTTCAACATTACAGCATTCCACTTTCAATTTTTTATACATATATATTTAAAAAAATCAAATTATTTGGATGTTGGAGAGGTACTTTTTTTTAAAGTTTCTGATGAAGCATATTTATTATCCGTTTAAATATATTGAATCTGCTGACATTAAGTTAAATCAAAACCCAACAGGCATTTAAAATACATACATTAAATGCAAGTATAGGTATTGTAAAGCAAAATTCTTGAAACAGTTTAAAATTATGGGAAAGTAAAAACCTGGACTTACCAATTTGTGTATCATGTGAAATAAATTCTATTTCAATATTAACTTTAGATTACTTGCTGGAAAAGGAGACAAAGATACAATGTAGTGTAAATTCCAATTTAAGTACAGTTAAAATCCACCAGAATGCAAAATTTGTAGATGATCATTGTCATCGCTTAAAAAAAACAGCAATTTTTAAATGGATTATATTATGTGCAGATTGTGACATTCTTTATATGCCTCACTAATTTGACTACTGTGGAGGAAAATGGGTATCAATCTTATCAACAAATGATTCTGTACTTGAGCTTGCAGAATAAAGTGGTCCACCAGCAACAACACGCAACACATTTATTTCTATGGAGTTGAACAATAGAAGCTTACGCAATACCTCAGCAACAAAAGCATACAGAATTTGATATTAAAGTTGTTCATGTACAATATCAGAGACCAGGGTACAATATGTGAAATCAACAGAAATAGATCAAGACTGCTATTTCAAAGGAATAACATTTCAAGATCCTAGTCATCGCCTTCAAAGCTCTCCATGGCCTTGCTCGCCCCTACCTCTGTGACCTCCTAACCCCCTACAACAACAACAAAATAGTTACATTTGTAAAGCTCCTTTCATGTCGGGAGGATGTCCCAAGGCACTGGACAGACAGTTACGGACCCGAGCTGGGGGTCGGGGTGGGGGAAGGTGGAGGGCGGGGGGGGGGGGGAGCAGGGAGATCGAAAGCACGGTCGATGAGGGTCTTGAGGTGGGTCTTGAAGGTGGCGAGGGAAGGGGATGAGGCAGAGGGACTGCGGGATGGAGTTCCAGAGGGTGAGGGCAGAGTGACGGAAGGCCCGCCTACAAATAGTGGGACGAGCAAGGCGGGGGACGTGAAGCAGGCCGGAGCCTGCTGAGGGGAAGGAGCAAACAGGATGATACGGGGTTAAGAGGTCGCAGAGATAGGGGGGAGCAAGACCGTGGAGGGCTTTGAAGGTGAGAACCAGGATCTTGAACTATATCCTCTGTGTGATGGGAAGCCAGTGGAGTTAGGCAAGGATGGGGGTGATAGGGTCGCGGAGTTCTGGATGATCTGCAGCCTATCGAGGGAGGAGTTGGGGAGGCCGATAAGCAATGAGTTTGCATAGTCGAACCTCGATGCAATGAAACCATGCATGAGGGTTTCGGCAGCCTGCGGTGTGAGACAGTGGCGGAGCCGGGCGACGATGCAGAGGTGAGGAAAGGTAGAGCGGGTCATGGCACAGATGTGGGATAGAAAGGATAGCTGAGAGTCCAAGGTTCCGGACTGGCTTAGCAAGGTAGAGTGTGCAACCATGGATAGTGATGCTGTCAGCGCCTGAGGTGAGCCAATCAGGAGAGCCTCGGTCTTGTTGACGTTCAACTGAAGAAAGTTAGCTTTCATCCAGGACTTGATGTCTGACAGACATTCAGTGGTCTTGGAGTCAAGGGTGGAGGCAGAGAGGTAGAGTTGGGTGTCATCCGCATATATGTGAAAGTTGATCCCATGTCTGCGGATGATGTCACCAAGAGGGAGCATACAGATGTTGAAGAGGAGGGGACCAAGGATAGAGCCCTGAGGAACGCCGCACAAGATGGTCCGGGAGCTAGAGAAGAAGCCATTTGTGGTGATGAGGTGCAGACAGTGTGAGAGGTACGATCTGAACCAGTCAAGGACAGCGCCGTGGAGGTTGAGGTGAGAGGAGAGGTGGTGGATGAGGATAGAGTGGTCGACGGTGTCAAAAGCAGCAGAGAAGTCAAGTAGGACGAGGACGCAGAGGGAGTCCTGGTCGCAGGTGGACAGAATGTCATTTGTCACTTTGACCAGCGAGCTTTCTGTACTGTGGACAGCATGGAAACCCGATTGGAGGAGTTCGAGAAGGGAGTGACGGGAGAGGAAGGAGTGAAATTGAGAAGCAACAACTCGTTCGAGGACCTTGGAGAGTAAGGGGAGGTTGGAGATGGGGATGTAGTTAGGGAGTAGAGAAGGGTCCAGGGAGGGTTTTTTTTAAGGATAGGAGTGATGACAGCATTTTTTAATCGGGGTGGGAACAGTACCAGAGGGCAGGGAGAGGTTTACAATGTCAGTGAGTAGAGGGGCAAGGAGGTGGAGCTGGGAGATAAGGAGAGGGGTAGGGATAGGGTTGAGGGAGCAGGTTTCATACGGGTTATGGTGGTGATGAGAGAGGAGGGGGAGACAGGTTCAAAGGTGTGGAGGGATGGGTGGGTAGGGCTGGGGTGGGAGGAGGAGATGGAGAGGGGGTAGCAGATGCAGTGGCAGAGGCGGCTGAGTTGATTCCCTCGACTTTGGAGTCGAGGAAGTCCAGCATCGCCTCGCAGGTGGTATTTGAGGTGAGGATGGGCGAGGTGTGAGAGGGTGGGCAGAGGAGCCGGTTTGTGATGGAGAAATGGAGCCTGGGGTTGTCATTAGCCTCCAAGATTGTCTTGGAGTAGAACGACAATTTAGCAGAGGCGAGGGCAGAGCGGTAGGATTTGATATGGTCCAGCCAGATCTACCGATGGACAGTTAGGTACGATTTAAGCCAGGTGCGCTTAGCAGAACTTGCCTGAGTTTTAAGAGAGCAGAGGTGGCTGGTATACCAAGGTGATTTACATGAATAGGAGACGGTTCAGGAAGAGAGGGGAGCGAGGAAATCGATAGTGGAGGAGAAGGAGCTGTGGAGAAGGTATATTTTGTTGAGCGAAACATGGCAGCCAATTACACACAGCAGTGTTTCACAAACAGTCGTGGATTGAGTGACCAAATTACTGTTTTTTTTTGAAGGGATTATCCCCCAGAAAAGCGATCCACCAATTAACTAACAAACGGGTTCCTACTTACTGATAGGTAAGCAGAGGCGTGTGGAGTAAGGAAACTTGCCTAACATTTCACCCTGCCCGGGAATCGAGTCTTGTGAGGCGAGTGCTCTAACCAATACACGACAGGACTAAACATCTAGTGTGTTGTGTTTCAGAGAAGGTTTTGCAGACTTCTTTTCTAGACTTTTCACTTTCAATTTCTCTAACTGCAAGATATTTATCCTCCAGCATTTAAGTCTGTTTCAAGTTAAGTTTCAAGTTAAATTTCTGTTTCATTGCAGTGGAGGTGTCCATCGTTGCAGCACTACGAATGGCACTTGCAATACGGCTACTCTATTGGCCTAACTAGCCTAATATGTGCCACACACACTCACCTGTCACACTTAATCACTTATGCATGCACATGCCACACTCACTCACCCATCCAATCACCCACTCACTCAATCACTCACAAGGATAAAGGCCCGTCGATATAAATGGTAATAACACGATGCACATAGTACTATTAGGGACCTGAAAAATTTATTGACGTAAGTATATTTTGTCATAGACATACACATTAAGTTTAGTGTGTTCCTATATGAGGAAGGGATCAGGACTTTCGTTTTTGTGGTCAACATCATCGGGATGTCGATATTAAAGGGATAGGACTGTATATGCATTAAGGTACAAGTACAGCACTGCTACCATAAAATCATGAATCACAGCAATAATAATAATCCTTGCATTTGATAGAGCACTTTTCACGTCGGGAGGACGTCCCAAAGCGCTTCACAGAACATACTGTAAAGTGAATTGACTGTATATTTGTGGGCGAACGCAGCAGCCAATTGCGCACAGCAATGTCCCACAAACAGTCGTAGATTAAAAATGACCAATTTATTATTGTTTTTGGTTTTGGAGGGATTATTATTAGGCGTGTGGAGTAAGGAAACTTGCCCACGGTTTCGCCCTGCCTGGAATTGAACTCAGGTCTCTCGCTTGCAAAGCGAGTGCTCTAACCACTGAGCTACAGGACTCCACAATAGTACTATACCAGCATTCTGCTGCTGGATCTATGAGTCTCAGTGGCCAATACAATTCCATATATATTTATATACATTTGTACATTACAGAAAAAAATAAAAATTCATATTGTACTTGAGTTATATTTCAATCAGTTAGTTTTGAGAAATGCATAGGATTACTCTTCATTCAGGAAATTCAAGATTCCAACCTGGTAACTTGGAGAAAAGCAATTTATAATATAATGTCTATGATTATATTAAAGCCTTTAACATTAAGTTTTTTTTAAAAAAGAGGGATTACTCCCAGCAGGGAAATACTGCATAATGATTCTCCCATTTATGACCAACAATGAAAAGGAATGATTCTCCCCATTTATAACTAACTACAAAACATTTGTGGGCAGATGCATCACACTATCACTGCTGCTCTTATTTGTGAACAAAATTGCAATTCTGTGTTCATCATTTCTTCAGCGAACAAAAGCTTTTCATTACAATTGTGTAGAAAGTTAGAGTGATTATGTACTTACAAATAACTAAAAAAACTCACCTGCTGTCCGTATCTAGGCCTACAAAATCTTTCTTCTCAAATGGCACACACAGTAATGGTATCTTGTCTCCAGACTTATCTGTTGCTCGATCAAGTCGTTTTGATTCCAAAACAATGAACAGCGATTCAATGAAGTCTTCCACTTTTTTCTCTATGGTTTCACACTCATCATAAGTAGGATAAAACGCAACATCAGTCCGAGGTTGCTCAGCTATTTCTCCCTCCAGCCCAAACACAAATAAACGAGAATCATAAAGTGTAGAACCATAAATTTCTTTCTGATCATGGAATTTCTCTGCTGTTTGTGGCCATTCCTTTGCATCATAACACTGCGTAATGGCGATCAATCCTACAACTTTTCGATGTGTCTGAAAGTCTCCCCATTCATTGTTTTCAGGTGGGTAATGGTGTCTATACCGGATGTACAGCACTCGTTGAGAATCCCGAAGATTGATCTGACTAGCAGCAGTAATTCTTTTGTAGATCTTGAAAAATTGCTCTTCGGGCACAATTCCCACTGGCTGGACAATGACCAAAAGACTCTGGTGGTCCTCAGCACATTGCATATAGTCAGGGACACTCATTATCCATTAACTGAAATCTGATAAAAATGAAGAAAAAAATTAACACTTACAAAACTTTTATTATATAAATTGTTCATAATGCACATAAATAAAAATATGGCAATAATTAACTAGTTCAATTTCATATCTTCTTTATGGTTAATTATATAAACAATAACTTTCTATCAACTAGTACCTTTCGCATTGCATGAATATCACAACTCTTAATTATGACAGGAAACATTAAGCACTGAAAAGGGAGTGTGAAGGTAGTATTGACCAAAAGCATGTTTGACAATATTTAGTTTAAAAGGGTTTGAAGTCAGGAAGAGAGGAAATGAAACAGAGAGATTCTGGAGAAAGAATTTCTAGAGAGCCGGGGTAGAGAGGACCTCATGGGGGGAGGGAGAGAAAGGGAAAGAGGGCGTCTGCTTATTAGCCAGGCTATCAATCAAGGAGAATATCTCTGACAGCTCTCAATAATATTCTTGCATTTGATACAGCGCTTTTCACATCTTCTAGACGTTTCAAAGTGCTTCACAGAATACACTGTAAAGTGTAGTGACTGTATATTTTGTGGGTGAAACATGGCAGCCAATTGCACACAGCAGTATCCCACAAACCATCGCGACCAAATTATTATTGGTTTTCTTTTCTTGGGGGACTATTATCAGGCGTGTGGAGTAAGGAAACTTGTCCAAGGTTTCGCTTTGCCGGGAATCAAACCCAGGTCTCTCGCTTGCACAGCAAGTGCTCTAACCACTGAGCTACAGGACTCCGGATTAATGTCTCATCCACAGGACTGCACCTCGACAATGCAGCATTCCTCAGCAATGGATTGTAGTGTCAATCCTTAGTATGAACCCAAAGCAATTCCGGAATATAAGTGCTTGGCGTCTGCAAGCTCACTGAAAGCCAGCGACCAGCAGTGGGAATTGCGGAACAACAACTTTTACTGACTGCAACCTCACAATTGTCCAGGGGTGACCAAAAAGCCCTGATACCCATTACAATGTCCAATACGTCTTAAAGAAACCATGATATATATTTTTTTTTGTAAGATAACAGGGGTGTCTGGAAAACAACTTTTGGGGGTCATCCTGCAATTTGAGTCATTTCAGATTTCACTTCAATCAGACAAAAAGAAAACTTCTTAAAAAAAAACAGCCAATTTTGCCCAAACGGACTAACTTTTGACACTTCGGGGGGAGGCAAACACTTTTCACTATAAACCACGGATAGGCTCGGGGGGAACATCCATCGCCGTCAGACGCGAACCCACTTTTTTTTTTTGCCGACCCGACTCGCTTTTGCCCTCCAGGTTTTCAAACAGTCTCGGTAGGGGGGAAACCTTTCCGACGTTCAGAAAGCAGTGGGGTACGCGAAGAGGTTTTTTTTTAATAGTTTTCAAAAAAAAAACAACGAGAAGTTTGAAGACTTAAGAGGAGGAGTTCGCTCGGAGCGGGGACGGCGGGATCTGACCACCTCCGCGCAACGTTTTGCCTCTGGAAGGAGAAGGGCGAACACGCAGTGCCTTTCGGAGCCGGTGTTTGAGTCGGAGGGGCGCCCTCTCCTCGGAGGGAGGGAGGGAGGGAGCGCCTCCCTCCGTGAATGAGGAGGACCACAGGAAACCGGGAAATCAGGGGAGGCCTCGACTCCGGCAAAGAGACATCAGCTGTAGGCACTTTGAGCCGCCGCCCAGACTCAACTAATCGACTCCGGGGTGGTTACTTTCAGCAATTGTAACAGGTAACATTTGTTTGTTTGGATGGATGGGGCGGGGAGGGAGGGGGGGGGGAGAGAAAGAGGTGAAAGCGAATACAAATACAGCCCTATTAATGTCAGCAGTAATATTCATTCACGACCTGCGTCTCTATTGCAACACTCTTCCCCCCTTCCCTCCCGTCCATGACAAACCTTTAACACACACACACACGTACACTCGCCCACAGATTTCTGGACGGCCATCCCCCCCCCTAACTGCACATCTCAGCATTTTTACGCCGCGCACACACACACACACACGCACACACAAAAAATGTATCAACGGGTTACGATAGACAGAACAAACCCCACACACGGATGTACAGGCAGGTCTTACCCCCCCCCCAAGCGGCGAGCTGGGTGACTTGACTCGAGTGGGTGAAGGCAGGACGCCGCTTGTTGTCACCCGGGATGTTAAGGGAGAAGGGTCAGGAAGTCCGTTGGGCTGTTCGGCCGTTGCTCGCGGGTCTTTAAATTTGCTCCGCGCGCTCATACCATCACAGACACACACCGCCCGGCTCGAGCGCTTCCGCCGGTAAGGCGCGCGCGCGCGGGGGGTGGTTGAGGGGGGAGTAGAGGTGAGTGAATCAGAGACAGACAGACTTCGGGCTGTGTGTTTGGAGGGGAGCGGCGCTTCAGAGCATGCGCGCTCGCTCGCTCGGAGTTCCTCCCGGGTGACGGTTGGCTTCCCCACCCAACGCGGCCCGTCACCAATGACGTCTTTGGCTGTCTGCGCGCCTGCGCAGACCCGCATGCCGCCCTGAGCCCGACGCCGGTCCGCGGGGTTTGGGCGGCTGTCGGGGCGATGTTGTCAGACTGGGCGGGTTTTATTGTGCTCTGTCTGGGTGGGGGGGAAGCGGCTTCGGGCGGGCACTTGGTTTTTTTTTAATCTTTTAAAATTTAAAACCCACACACAACGTTTTATTTCCCTCCTTGAAGACCAGAGGACAGGGATTTCCGAAAAAAAAATAAAAAAACAAGTCGCTGGGAAACACAGGCAGCAGCGTCTCCGGAGAGAGGAAAATCAGTCAAAGGTTTCGGGCCGTTGACCTTTCCTCAGCCTTTTCGCCTTCTTTATTTTTCGCAGATTTAAGATAATTGGCAGCAGAACCAGAGGGGGAGACGAGGAGAATTTTTTTTTTTCACGGGAGCGCTGCGGTCTGGAATGCACTACCTGAAAGGGCGGTGGGAACGGATTCGATCATAACTTTCAAAAGGGTGTTGTTAAGTAGGTACTTGAAAAGGAAACCTTTTTATGGGCTATGGGGTAAGAGCAGGGGAGTGGGACTGGTCGGTAGCTCTTTGAAAGACGTGTGGGGTAAGGAAACTTGCCTCAAGGTTTTGTCCTGACGGGAATCGAACCAAGGTCTCTGGCTTGCAAGGCGAGTGCTGTAATCACTGAGCTACAGGACTCCACGATAAATCACGATTGTTCAAGATAAGGCGACAAAAAGAAGCTGCAATAAAGTCAGAAGATTATCAAGCAACCGGGGTGGGGGGGGGTGAGGGAGCCTCTGCCTATATACAGCTTAAATTATAAATTAAAGAGACCAATATCCGAAATGCCGCTTGATTGGCACTTCGCTGTCAGGGTTTGATATCATAATGTAGGCTGACGCCCCAGTGCACTACCAGAGAAGCGCTGCATTGTCAGAGATGCCGTCCTTCATCTAAAACTTTAAACTGGGGACCTGCCTACCTGTTCGGATGCATATTAAAGGTCCCAGGCAACTTTCTCTCCACTTCCCGGTTTGGTTCCTCGAGTCCTGCTTCTACCCTAACAAACAACATTAATGCCGCCTCATCAAAGTCACCAATAGTGTACACTATTGTAGCGTACACTATGTAGCTCTCTCCTACATCAGAGTTTGCCTACAAAAACACTCATCACAGTTCCTGTGCAACACTTTGAAATATTTCATTGATGTGATACATTAAAATGCAAGAATTAGTTAATCTTGGTGAGGTCTATAAGATCCTGTATGAAATTATCAAAATGGCAGTCGACAAAAGTCCTCGCATTCAATATGCGCTTCAGAACAGGAACGTCACCCCTTCAGCCTGGAAAAGAAACACTTCAGGCTGCACTTGAGAAAGCACTTCTTTACCCAACGCAAGATGAGCATTTGGAACAGGAATGTTTGCACAATTTTCATCCATTTGATGAAGAAAAATCTAGGTAGATTTCTTAAGGATGAGAGATTGAACTTAATTTGTCATATGATATCCACTGCAATGTTGCAGGGTTAAAGGGATATGCTGATGATGACGTAGCCCTCTTCTGGAGCTCACACGACAGCCTCATATTTGAAATGTTTGCATTGTTTGTTTAAATCAGGGGTGTCAAACATATGGCCCGTGGGGTGATATTTGGCACCCCATCTATCAGTTTCTAAAATCACATTGATATACTGTACCAGAATTTTTCTTCAAACCATCTCTTTTTAATACAAGTGGTATATTTAAACATGAGTGGCATTCCCATTAAGCCAATGACAACTCACAGAGTTAGTAAAAATAGCCAATCAGATGGCGCACAGAATGCATTTGTTCATGTACACATGTAGTTTTACATAATTGGCATTGAGTAGCATAGCAAAGCCATATTAAAACTTTTACTTTGTATTAAATTTAAAATACGTTGCCAAAACATAGTTTGAGATGTCACAGAAGCAAAAGATGCAGGAGGAACATAGGAAATTACAAGATGGTTGAACAGAAGATTATTTTTTCATTGGATGTTACCGCAAGGCAACCTGTCTGATTTAGCGGTTGCAGTTGTGAAAAATTATAACATTACAAGTTGTACAATGCACATATTAAATATTGAGAATAGTGGGAATGTGGAACATGCTACCACAAGGAGTTGTTGAGGCAAATAGCATTAGATGTATTTAAGGGAAAGCTAGATAGGTACATGAGGGAGAAAGGAATAGAAGGTTATGCGAGAAGGCTTAGGTGAGGAAGGGCAGGAGGAGGTTCATGTGAAGCACAAACACTGACATAGACCAGTTGGGCCGAATGGCCTGTTTTTGTGCTGTATATTCTAATGTATTCTAATGTATAGTATTAGCCTGCATCCTTTTTTGATGACTAGCAATTGTATAGTGGGGGTAATGTTTCATGCAAATTGGTATATTCAAGCAAATATACATACAATCACTAAAGACATTTCAGATACAGTATTATAATATACAGTCAATTCACTTTACAGTCTATTCTGTGAAGCGCTTTGAGATGTCGAGAAGACGTGAAAAGCGCTATATCAAATGCAAGGATTATTATTATAAAGTTTTTTTTTACATTGTAGCCCACCAAGTGAACAATGTTAACTAAAATGGCCTTTGTAGCCAGATGAGTTTGACTAAATTATTAATTAAAATTGACATTTGTCTGCTGAAATCGTTGTGATTTATCAAAATAAGTTGTCTTACTCCACCATGCTATTCATTTGGACTCAATCAGCATTCAAACATTTAAATATTATTTTTAAAAGATAAAGTTAAAAACAGAACAGTCGGGATAGGTTTCCGCAGATGTTCTTCGGATGATTTTTTTCTGTGCTATCAAGGTAGAAGAAGATTAGTAAGATCGAAAGATGATGAGAAACACTTGTCTCTGCCTACAATTCTGAAAGGAGTCGTAACCTTTTAAACAGGCAATAGATCAGTTGGCTTCACTGGGTATTTGTAAGCAATATTGTTTCATGGAACCTTATTGTGCCTTTTTATTGGGTTCCTAAATGTAACTAACTACTTAAATATTTATGTAATCGGGACATTGAGGTCATAATCCAGGCTGACACTCCAATGCCATGCGTGTGAGCGGGAGGTGCTGCATTGTCTGTCCTTCAGAATTAACGTTAAACCAAGGTCCCATCTGCACGTTTAGTTGGATCTTAAGACAGACTTCCCATCTGTCACCCACCTACCTGCGGGGCTCCATCCATCATCCACCACCTACCTCCATCCATTGTGGAGTGCTGTAGTGCAGTGGTTAAGAGAGCTCGCCTCGCAAGCGAGAAGACCTGGGTTTGATTCCTGGTCAGGGCCAAACCTTAGACAAGTTTCCTTGCTTCACACACACACACACACACACACACCTCTGTTTACCTAGCAGTAAGTAGGAACTCGCTTGTTAGTCGATTGGCGGATCGCTTTTCAGGGGTAATAATCGCTTCAAAAATAATAATAATGTGGTCACTCAATCCATGACTGTTTATGGGACAATGTTGTGCGCAATTGGCTGCCGCGTTTCTTCCACAAATTATAGTCATTACATTTTACAGTGTATCCTGTGAAGCGCTTTGAGACGTCTCGAAGATGTGATAAGACGCTATATCAAATGCAAGGATTATTATTATTAAGGTTCTCTAACACTCTACTGTATTGAAAAATTAAGGGGGTTTCTCCCTGTGTTCAAGCTAACAATCCTGCAGATAAAATTAGTCATATCACTTCATAGATGTTAATGGGAGGTTGATGTCTACAAATTGGCTGCTATATTTGCCTACAAATACACTGACTGGATTTCACAGCAATTCCCTGTGAAGTGCTTAAGATGCTTTGAATCGTAGACACTGCATCCAATAATTAAATCTTTAAAAATGTGCACTGGTAAGTAACTATTCAAATGGAACAGACCATAGTTTCAAATTCTGTGACAATTCGGCTGTCATTTTGAGGTATTACTAATGTATCCATCATACTGCAAAAGTAATTGTAAAATGTGATTAAATAACATGTAAGTGACATTTTTGTATCATAATTTTAATGTTTTAGACGTTCAGTGTTCATTTTCAATTAGCTGGATTTAAGAAGTGGAATCTGTTCTTATTGACCTGATAGCTGCAGTATAAAAGAGAGTAATTAGACCATTGGTGTCAGTTACAATATGGTGGCAATATGGGCTCAGGAGTGACGAATCTTCACTTCTAGCAATACAGTGAATCACAGTGGGAACCTTATTTATATTTCCTCCTACCCACTGGGGCTGAATAACATCACATGGTTAGATTCTATTTTAAAAAGGGAGACTAGGACGGGTCAGTAAAAGCTGGAAAGACAAACATATTTGCTTTCGTCACTAGATACATTTCTGTTTCTAGCTGATTTGTTGGCTTTCTGCATAGTTTTCTATCCTTTGCATAGCTTCTTCTTTTGCCTGACCTTCTCTTCGATCTGCCTTATTACAATGTATGTTTACTTACATCCCAGCAATGTAACACCCTGCTGGTGTCTCTTTCCTTTTTTAAAAATTAAATTTTGAATGTACACTTGCAGTTGCTGCTTAACTTGCACTTGATCACCTGACTGGTGGAACATAGCTTTTTCCTTCGTCACACTCCAGATAATGTACTGAACTGTTTACAGGCACTATGTTCTTTGCAATTGTATATCAACAAATTCCCTGAAGGAATTGGACTGTAGCTTTAGTTGAATAAACAACATAATATAGCTCCCAAGATTCACTTATTTTAAAATATTGTTATTCATAAACAATGGTAAGAATCCTGAAATTTGTGTTTCCTAACCAACGTAATATGAATGGGCATCCACAAAAGTCTTGTTATCTAGGAGGAGACTACATTCCAACATTCTGCCTATCACCAAGGTTACTTTGCTTCAGGACACAGATGTGAGGCTGTTCAGAACAGCCCTGGAGCTGCCAATACATATCTAATATTAGCCTTTGAAACCAATATTATGACTGATAGATTCTTGTCAAAATGTAATAGTGTGTTGTACATTGATTTAGTTAAAAGGGCAAGGAAAACAGCTGAAACTAAGGATGTTTGCCTACAACACAAAGGTAAGTTATCATTTACAAATGTCCAGCACATTTGATTATGTTTGTGCATTATAGTTATTTCAGGATATAAACTGAAAAAGCTTTGGAGAATTGCATACTCTGCAGAATCCAGTTTATATCTTAAAATTGATTAGTCATCTGACGAGAGTTCTCTTTAGTCATTTCCCTCAAACCATTTTGCTTAAACATTGCTCCTGAATGAACTTCTGCTTCATGCTGATCTCTTATCTCTAAGCATTGTTCTCTGTCACCTGAGTAGCTTCGTCTTTTAGTCGAATCTCCTTTCAATTCCTAGCTGGTATTGTACACTGTCTCTGGTGTGTGTTGTCTTTCCAGTCTCTACTGATTCCTACACTCATCTCAGCTGTAAGTCATGAAATTTATTAGCGATAGTAAATACTCTACCAATTTGGTTAGATCTGATTTCTCCTCTTCACTCAGCCATAAAATTGTACTCCTGAGCAGCTGATAAAATTGTCACACAGGAAATATACAGGCAGGATTGACCAGCAATCTGTGTTTCACATGTGCAATTATCTAATTGTACTATAGCTGATTGACTCCCCTTACACCAGATTTTTATTATATAAAATTTACAGCACAGAAACAAGCCATTCGGCCCCAGTAGTCCATACTTGCATTTAGTAATGCACAAAAAAGAGTTGACCGGTACATAATGTTGTAATTTCAAATTCAGTATTTGCTAGTTAGGTGAAGGATTGATTTAGTAGATTACCTAAGTATGATTATAAATTTAATATTTAAATAGTAGTTTACAGCAAATTCTATCACAACACACAATTTACAGATGTTTTAAGCACTGTAGAGTACAATTTGATTGTACAAATTAATTTTAATAATAATTCTTACAATTAATATAGTGTCAGGAGGACGGTCTAAAGCGCTTCATAAGATATACCGTAAAGTATAGCTACTCTTGTGTTTTGTGGGCAATTTTCAGGTTGTCTCACCAGAAGGTTCCATAATTCCTTACTTAAGTGTGGAGTAAATTAAGAGGTTCTGGAGTATTGAATGTGCTGAACACTTCCCTATTTGAGAAAGAAATCAAAAACTGTTATTCAATAAAAAATTTAAAATAAGATGCATATTGTATAATTTGGGACAAAAAAGCTATATTTCAGCTATTGAGCTGCCAACATGGAAACCTTTTGTGTTAATAATAATCCTTGAATTTGATATAGTGCTTTTCACATCTTCTAAACGTCTTAAAGCACTTCACAGAATAGACTGTAAAGTGAACTGACTATATTTGTGGGCATTTCACAAAACGTTCATATTTAAAGTGTGCTAAACATACTGGCAAATAAAACATCAACTCTTCCCCCTTCCCATAGTACTTTCACGGGAAAAGGAAATTTTGAAATTTTTTAAGATACCCAAACCAGAATATGCAAGGAATATAAATTAATCAGGATCCCTAAACAATTTTAATATTGTCTGGAATATGAGTCAGCATATAAAATATGTCAGTTTAATGTAACCCTGTAGCTGCGTGATTTCAATCTTGGGTTTTAGCCACTAGCCCGTAGCATACACCTTGATACTCTGTGTAATACTTATCTGCTCTTAGTTGGCCTGGAGCCTCGGTATATCACATTCTAGGTCAGACTTCCAAAGCTATCATAGACATCACTATTACTTATTTTATCTGTGGTTTTATTGCTGGGCAATTTTCTCTACAAGGATGAGAGGATACAGCTATCAATAAAGATTTGACAGTTTGAGCTTTTGTCTCGGGAATTGATGTGATTGAGTGGGGACCTGACAGAGGTGCTTAGGATTATGAAAATAAAGAAATATGGCCAACATTGATGGGCTTTTTCCACTTGTTGGTTCCAAAACCAGTGGGCATAAATACAAGATAGGAGTCACAGATCTAAAAGTGATTATTATTAACAATAATCATTATTATTAACAATAATCATTGTTTTTTTTAAAGTTAAAGGAGATTGGTGAGAATTTGGAACTTATTGCCAGAAACTGGTTGATGCAGAAAGGATAGCCAGAAAGATCAATGTATTTAACAGGAAACTTGACTCATACGTAAGGAGGGGGCAATAGAGGATTAACGGAGAGCGGATTAACAATTTTTAAAAAAAAAATCATAATAGCATTGTGATAGGTTTTAAAATTATTTTCAAAATGATCAAAAATCACTGTGATGTTTTAAAAAGATTTTTAAGCACTTAGTGTTTCAAAGTGGCTCAGTTATGGGCCATGGCTCAGTAGAATATGGGTTCAAGCCTACGTTGGGACTTGGATCTCATATAATCTAAACTGACGCTCTAATGCAGTTTTGTGGGTGTGTTGCATTGTTGGAGGTGCCATCCTTTCGAATGATACAATAAACCAAAACCCCATCTGCCTAATAAGATGCATATTAAATATCTCATGGCACTCCCATAACTATTTGAAAAAAAGAAGGAAGTTTCCCCCGGGGTCCTGGCCAACAATCCCCCAAATAAAATCAGTTATTCACTTCATGACTGTTCATAGGACAATGCTGTGTACAAACTGGCTGCCACATTTGCCCACAAAACAGTTACTGCACTTTACAGCCTTTTTCAAGGCATCAATGTTTTTGAAGTGTTGTCCATGTAGGCCTTACTTCAGAGTACTGAAGAGATAAAAGTTTATGGGTGTCAAGTCCAGGCTCTATGGAAGGTGGAGTCCATCCGATTTGTCCAATGGCTTTTGATATTGTGAGGCTTGCGTGAGATCTGGCATTGTAATGCGCTTCTACCATGTCAGTGTTTGGAGAGGTTCTCCTTGTATGGCCTTTCAGCTTCTTCAAGGTCTCAACATGGCACTCTGAGTTTATGACTTATGAATCCACTAAGCACCAACTTTAGAGTTACCAAGGTTACCAATAATAATCTCTATGACCTGATGACCAATAGTGAGACTCTCACTCAACTTACACTGAGTGATGTGTTGATATTTGCAGATTAGTTCATCAACCTTCTTTGTATTCTCTTTAACAGCTGTTTCCAGCCACCCACAGCAAAACCTATCTTGAAGTTCGGTTTCTTTACTTTTCATACGATTTGCCCAGCGTCTTACAGTACTCACATCAACACATAAGTGTCCATACACTTTCAACATCGACGGTGAATCTCAATCGGTAAAATCCCCTCAGCTGTGAGAAATTCAATTACTGCTCTCTGCTTAACATGTGCATCAATGCTGGATGCCATTTTGAACTGGTGTCATCTACCTGCATCTATTGAGAATTAAACAAAACTTTCACAGCAGTCGTACAATATATTAAAGTATAATATGTACGTTACTTTACCACTTAACATTCTTCACAAAATAGGCATTGCATTCCTCATAATAATAATAATCCTTGCATTTGATATAGCGCTTTTCATGTCGGGAGGACATCCCAAAGCGCTTCACAGAACACACTGTAAAGTGAATTGACTGTATATTTGTGGGCGAACGCGGCAGCTAATTGCGCACAGCAATGTCCCAGAAACAGTCATGGACTGAAAATGACCAATTTATTATTGTTTTTGGTTTTTGAGGGATTATTATTAGGCTCTGTGTGGAGTAAGGAAACTTGCCCAAGGTTTCGCCCTCTGCCTGGAATTGAACCCAGGTCTCTCACTTGCAAAGCGAGTGCTCTAACCACTGAGCTACAGGACTCCACAATAATGTATTAAATATAACAAAATATATCAAACACAAAATATATTAAACATAAACATATTAAATAAAAATATATACCAAATTTAAGGATTATTGTTGCAATGTTACAATTATTTACATTTTTAAATTGTTACATATAACGTTGTTTAAAAAAAGCTTTGCTGTATAAAAGTCCAGCAATTCTTTTTTCGGTCAGCCGGGTGTCTGACGCACGTGTAAACCCATCACCGTCATTAAGAGTATCCAAACCAAATTGAGAATACCACGCATCCCACCCACACATAGAAATTCCGTGGTCTTTTAGATATTTATTGGAATGGACCTGGAGGGACGCATCGTGCTTAGCTAATTCCGAAAAGTATTAGGCGCAGTTTAGCAAGAGCCAAGTTTGGGGGACCCCAAGGATAGTGGGTAGTGGGAGTCCTGCAGCTCAGTGGTTAGAGCACTCGCTTTGCAAGCGAGAGACCTGAGTTCAATTCCAGGCAGATGGCGAAACCTTGGGCAAGTTTCCTTACTCCACACAGAGCCGAATAATAATCCCTCCAAAACAAAACAATAATAAATTGGTCATCTTCAATCTACGACTGTTTGTGGGACATTGCTGTGCGCAATCGGCTGCCGCCTTCGCCCACAAATACACAGTCAATTCACTTTGCAGTGCGTTCTGTGAAGCGCTTCGGGACGTCCTCCCGACGTGAAAAGCGCTATATCAAAATGCAAGGATTATTATTATGATTATTATTATAGTGCAACAACGGGCAAGTGCCGGTTTGAGCCCCGCGCTCCGGTGGATGGTAAGTGCAGGGAAACGCCCCGTGAGGTTCCAGGTGGGGCACCACAGCCTCTCCGCACGAAGCCTCCTCCCTCCTGCGTGCGCAGCTCTGGCCGCCAGTCACCCCTCCCCCACCCCTCCCCCCGTGTCACTGAGGGCCGAGCACCTCCTCTCCGGCACCAGCTGGGGGCGCTGTGACCCGGGCTCCCGGCTCCCGGCGCCGCGCATTGCCTCGCGGCACTTCCGGCCAAGATGTCGCCCGGTCTGTTCCAGTTCAACGAGGCCCGGGAGAAATTCGCGGTGAGGCGCCTTCAGCCGCGGGTTTAAAGAGTCAGGGTGTCATGGCGGGGCCTCTCGAGCGGGGGGGGGTGGTGGTGGAGGAGGAGGAGGAGGGGGGGTCTGTGGGCTGTGACTGGGGCGGTGGTGAGCGGTGGGGATGGTTGTAAAATGGTGGAGGAGGGACTCTCAATCACACAGTGAGTTACCAGCCTCCATTATCTAATGGTTAGTCCCATTTCAGCGCCTCCGGACGTCCTCCTGACGTGAAAGGCGCTTTATAAATGGAATCTTGTTGTTGTTGTTGTTGTGGTTAGTGTTTTTCTCCCCCCCCCCCCCCCCCCCCCGTTTCAAAATAAAGTGGCCGATACCCAAATACCAAACGCGAGGATTATTATTATGATCATCGGCGGCGGCGTCGGCGTCGCAATCCTTGCATTTTGGTAAAGAGCCTTTATCGTGTATTCGAGACGCCCCAAAGCGCTCCCCGCAACATGATGCGAAGTGAGTTGACCGTATATCTTCGTGGGCGAATTACTGTCGTGTTGTGAACCCGCCTCGCCACGAAGCTGCTGGTGCACAGCTCCGTGGAGGCCCCGCCGGTGAAATTAAACGGTTTTCGCACCTGATCGCGTCCCATCACCGGTGGACAGGCTTTCAGATATTCTGCCCCCACTCTCTGGAACTCCATCCTGGAGTCTCTCCGTCTTGTCCCCTCCCTTCTTGTTCAAGGCTCGTTTCAAGATGTGTCCACTGACTGCTTTCGGTCATCTTTACCTTCCCCACCTTCTATGCCCTGAACCCACAACCTGTTGATTCAGAAGCGAGAATGCTACTGCTGAGCCAGGCTGACACAAGTTGATGTTACAGTTGTCTTGTACAATCAGCAGTGTGATGCGCTTTGAGATACCCTCTTAGCATGAAAGGTGCCATATAAATCGTATAGAAGAATGAGAATTGATTGCAGAAACTAGGAAAAATTTATGATGGGGAAAGATTAGTGGAGATGTTATTAATCCTTCTGAATACTAAAGTGCATAGATGAGCCAGACGAAAATACCAGTTACAATATCCTGCTGTGTCACGGCCCTAAACTCAGAAGGAAGTTTGAGTATGCAGTTTAGATTTAAACCTTTTTTTTTAAAACAACCATTAGTAAATGTTGGTGTTATTTTGTCAATATTGCTGAGGTGAGGGGGTACTGTACTATAAATTTATATCTTAAGTCTTGAGTACATTTCATGGAAGAAATATATTGAAGGCAGTTAAAGTGAAGTTTTAATTGAGCAGTTTGTACACATCCTAATGTTGAGGTATGTTTGAAACTTGTAATTTATTTTGAATGTAGATGATACAATTATGGATAAAACGTTTATGGAAAATAATCTGCCTAGTCGCCCAAATGTTTAATTGATTTTTAAATTCACATTTAAGGTTTGTACAGCCTATTTCTGTGCCAGCATGTTGTACAGGGGTAGTTACATCAAACATTGCAGTTCTTAAAGTGATAGTCCTGATTGGAAACATTATCTGTAGTTGGCACAAGTTGTTAATAGCATGCAGAAGTTAAAATAATAATCCTTGCATTTGATACAGTGTCTTATCACCTTTTTGCGATGTCTCAAAGCATTTCATAGGATACATTGTGAAGTGGATTGACTGTGTATTTTGGGGTGAAATGTGGCAGCTCGTTGGTGCACAGCAATGTCCCACAAATAGCCATGAAATAAATAACCAATTTTATTTGGAGGATTGTTGGCCAAGACACTGAAAGAAACTCCCTTCTCTTTTCAAATAGTTCTATAGGATCTTTAACATCCACCTGAAGAGGCAGACAGGAGCTCAGTTTAACATTTCATCTGAAGTACGGCATCTGAGGCAATGCCACGCACCCCCCCCCCCCCAGCACTGCATTGGAATGTCATCTTAGATGATGTGATTTCAAGTCCCGACATGGGGCCTGAACCCACAACCTTCTGGCTCAGAGATGAGAATGCTACCACTGAGCCAGACGGACATGAGTTGGTGTTGCTTTACACTGCGAATTAAGGGATTCATAATAGTCTGGGAAAGCAATGTTTCAAACCGCATGAAGTATTGTTTAGGAATGCTACTTCCTCTAATTATATTTTTGGTCCATTAGAATTACACAAAAGAGGCCTTGACCAGCAACGATATCAAGCCCTTAATACTTGTCTTCAGCCAGCTGAGCGGAGGGTAAGTCATTGATTGAAATAATGTACTGGTGAGTACATGTAAAATTATTTGAAGTTAACCAAAAAAAGTTCACTATGCTGTAACTTTGGCTTGTATATGACAACCACAGGGTGAAGTTTTCTTTAATTCAATAATCTGTTCTTTCTGTGTTTCATTACAGTGAAACAGAAAAGAAGACAACATTAGATCAGGCTTTCAGAGGTATTCTTGAAGAAAAAATAGTAAGTGTCAGTGGAATTCTGTTTTTTACTATTATACGAAATGAGATGAGAATGATTGGTATTTAAATGGGGGAAGAAACTGACAGTGAAAATGCCTTTATAAATTTGCATTTGTGATTGGCATGTCCCAGCGCCCTGGGATATCTTTCCAATGTGAAGAGCGCTATATAAGTGTAGTTTGTTGTTGTGCTTGAAAGTATTGCCATCCCAGACACAGCATCTCCTAGAACAGAGCAAAAGGTTTGGGTTGAAATTCTTTTTTTAAGGAAGATTTAAAATTGATGGATGTTGATTTGTTTCTTCATTTATTATCTTTGAAAATGCAGGACATTTTTTTTCTTAAAAAAGAGGTGAGCATATGTTCTAGCACTTTTATTGAAAATTGTTTTCAGAATGCATGACGATTTCCTGATGCTGGTTTCCGATGAAAGCATTTATTTGTACAATGAGTCTCCTTTTTTGGTTTGATATATTTTGAATTATGCTCTTATTTTCTGCTGGCTGGGTGCTTGTCATGAGTGAAATGAAAAGTGTGCATCTGTGTAGTGTTTGGAGGGAAAAGGTCCTTTGTGCTGAATTCCACCATTGTTCGTACTGGTGTGTCTGTTGCTCCTTATTGCAATATATATGGTTTAAACTACAGGCGGATAGAAGCAACTCTTCCGAAGTGAAAGGCACTATACAAATGCAATTTTGTTGTTATTGTCTAGACTCTTCCTTGACAGAACATTTTAAAGGTAGTCTCCAGTACATTATAATAAAGGTGTTTCTCAGATTTCCTGTATTGTAGATTTCCTAAGACATTCCAAAGTGATACAAAATGTTCTATATGGGCTTTACTAGCTGTGTAATCATATTTTCTTCTTCATACAGTTAGACCGAGGGAACTGTGAAGATTTCTTGTCCGTTATTTCTCTTAGCATCAGCGGAGTTACAGAAGGTAACTGCATCTTCAAATCTTTTTTTCTAAATGAGTGAATGTTTAAATGAGCCATACAATACCAAAGTTACTTTCACATTGGTGAAGCGGATGATTTGGTGACCCTTGCTGGGTTGGGAGAAGAGGAGAGGCCAATGTGAATAATCTGACTTACAGATAGTTAGCGTGTGGATACATAACACTACTGTAATGGAGAGAATAAAGTAAACTTTTTGTCACTAAGAAATGTGTTTTTGTGCCTTTGTAGGTGTTTGCTCTGCTACCACACCCTTTATACTGCTTGGCGATGTCTTAGATTGTCTTCCTCTTGACCAGTGTGACAAAATATTCACCTTTGTTGAAAAAAATGTTGGAACTTGGAAATCTGTAAGTAATACTCATAATAAAATAACTGCTGTGACCAGTCCTAGTAAACCTATGCTGTACTCTTTCCATCACTGCTATATCCTTCTTGTAGTGTGCAACCAGAATTAGGCAAGTACACAAAAATGCGGTCTAATCAAGGTTTTGTATAAATTCAATATTACCTCCTCACTTTCATATCTATCTCTGTGGATATTAATCCACATATATATTGGCATATATATTATTCAGGTTAAACTCTTGATAACTCATCACTCCAAGGGGCAATGGCTCAATGACAAGTTACCTGGAATGGCGAGTTAGGCATATGTGTAAATACATAAATGAATACCGTCGGGATATTGACAGCATGATGACTTAAGTGGTAGTGACAAGTTAAGTCAGCATTGAGTTATCAGGAGTTTACTGTTTTTTGTTGATGGTTAGTTAGCACAAATTTGGCCAGTGTTTGTCTGTTGTGTAACCCTAACAGTAAGCCTATCTTTCTGGGCTTCGTATTTCATGTTAGAGAGAGAAAATGATAAATCAGTTGAGTAACAAAAAACTTTTGTTTAAAAAAAATCCAAATAGCATTGTGATAGATTTTAAAATTATTTACAAATTATCAAAAAAACATTGTAATGTTTTAAAATTATTTTAAAAAAATGAAAAAAAGCATTAGTATGTCAGGCTAGCTCAGTTATGGGTTATGGTTCAGAAGGTTATCGGTTCAATCCCTTTATAAACACACACTCAGAGATGATAGTATGAACTGGCAGATTATTATATTTTTTCTTTCAGGCTTCTTTCTACTCTGCCGGTAAAAACTACTTGTTAAGAATGTGTAACGGTAAGTGACAATAAGTTTACTGCCCTAATCATTTATAAATTAATTGCAGAATAAAACATTAAAACTCTGGACAACAATATAGTGACTCAGGACACATGAATTTAATGTTTACCTGCTCCATTTTAATTTAATTTTCTGCTGCTTAGGCTGACTTTCCAAGAGAGTGCTGGGCATGTGCTGCATGAGCTGAATGAGGCACACATGGGTAAAACAACACGGGCAAGACAAAAGCCATCTCTCTTGGCTTCTGCCACAATCTTCTCACTTCCAACTTTGATCTCCTCAACCTCTTGCCCTCTCCGAACCAGAACACATCCTATGGGATCCAGTTTGATCCTCAGGTTTCCTTTCTCTCTCCCTGCATAAGACTCCTTTTCACCAGTTCATTTGGACCTTAAGGATCTCATGACACTACTCAGAATGAGATGGGTGTTTCAACCAATATCCTGGCCAAACAATGGTCATTCACTTCATGGCTGTTTGTGCATTGCTGTGCGCAAATTACCTGCCACATTAATCTACAAAATACACAGTCCCTACAACACTTCTGACAATGCGTCTCTACCACAGCACTGCATTAGAGTGTCAAGACTGAGTTCAAAGTTCTAAAGTGAAGCTTGTAATAATACTAATCCTTACATTTGGTACAGTGCCTTTTGTGTCCGGACGTTTTGTAAGTCCTTCACGGGATATACTGCAAAATGCAGTGGCTATGTGGTTGTGCGAATGTGGTTTATGTGCGAATGTGGTAGTCAGGATACCTCATGTCCTGGGGGACCTTGAGGTCTCAATGCCTAACCCTGCCTGGGGGACCTTGAGTCCAGAAAGTTTGGCTTAGTTGATGTAAAAGCTCTTTAAAGAGCCTCAATAATGTGCCTCGATTGTGCTTGGACCGTTCTAAATTATCCAGAACTTAATTCATGAGCGACTGAGCAATTGTGTGTTCATACTCAATCAATCCATGGAAAATGTGTAAGGTTGCTCAAAGCAAGTTTGTTTTGGTTAGAGGAGACTTGTACCCCATTGTTTGGATAGAATTCAAATTCATATCCCAGAGGTGAAGCATGTTATTCTTAAGGTAATCTGCAGTCTTTAATGTCATTTTGTTTTCAAATTTGACCTGTTATAAATTAATTGATCTGCCAAAAACTTTATATATTAACAGGTTATATGTATATTTTATAAATATATAATATATAATATATACAGTGGAGGTGGGTGGTTGCTTTTTAAACTAATATTTTCTGTGCTCCTCCAGATTTCTTGAAGTTGAGCACCAATTATGGTCAAGCAGATAGGTCCGCAACCTGTTCTCGGGCTTAACAGTTACTGCAAGGCTCAAGCAAAGCTTAGTGACCATCCTCACTGCTTGATAAGTCCGTGGTGGCACGGATAAAATGGGGCATCTAGGAATTGTGAGAGATTAAGGAGCAAACTTACATCCAAGTACCCACAATGAAGTACATTAAATGCACTGCCAGTGCTCCTTGGGCACTGATAATGCATTTTTTTCATCAACTGTAATCCTTTACAGATCTTTTAAGAAGACTCTCCAAGTCACAGAATACTGTTTTCTGCGGACGAATTCAGCTCTTTTTGGCTAGGCTGTTTCCTTTATCGGAAAAATCAGGTGAGTAATCAATTTTATTTGTTAAGGTATTTTCACTTCTGTGACATTCTACTATGAGTGAGTCAAATATTCTTTACATTAATGTGGCAGTCTAATAATTATTCAGCTACAAGTGTGTTACTCCTTATCAATGGCAAACTTTATATTGTACCCACCACATAGAAGAGCGTCTCCAACCACTTGACAATAACTGGGTCGGAAGTTGAGCAGGGAGAGGTGACCCAAATGTGAGGTTGAAGAGGTAGATTTTAAGCCGGATAGAGAGGAACGAGACAGAGGGATAAAGGGGGAAGTTCCACAAGTTCACTGTTACTGAAAGGGTTGGCCCCAGTGATGGCACAAAGAAAGTGCAGCAGGTCCTAGTTATCCAAGCAGAGAAGTGGAGTAGGAGAAGACCTCAGAGGTAGGGAGGGGGTAGGGTATGAAGGTATTTATAGGTGAGGGTGAGGACCCTCAAAGTAGGGCCGACTCAGTGTGCTGTGCTTAATTTCAAAGTCATTGTTGCAATTTGTGTGTGTGTATATCTACAACAACAAGTTGACTAGCTTAAAAACAAAAAATGCTTTTATTAAGAGTTTAACCAAATGTTATGAATGATTTCAGCTCACATACACGTTGTCCTTTACAAAGGAACATTTTTTTTAATATGAAAATAATACATCTCACTGAAAAAGGATATCTAAAGTACTTTATCTGGAAATTGTGATTAAAATCGTAGTTGATATTTTCACTTTTGAATTAATTACCATTATAAAATGACTAGTCAGAATGTAAGTTTCCCATTGTGGAGACTAAATTGCTTTGGTTTTGCACTGTTAAAATGGAGTGAGATCATAGAAGTTTACAGTACGTTAACCAGCCCATTTGGAACATTCAGCCTACTTTGTTTTTTCTGCACGAGAACTCCGGGTCACCAGCGATAGCACTGGTTCAGGCAGAATCCACATTCGCCTTCAAAAGGAAACAGAGAGGAAAGAGCTCTGAGACACTGCCCTGGTGAAGAGAACTATAATAAATGCAAATTGTTATTGTTGGAACGAGACAAGTATCTTAAAAAGATTCTGCAACAGTATGAGGAAAGGGCGAGTAAATCGGACTGAAAGGGCTGCTCTTGAGGCAGTCGGCACAGACACGATGTACTGAATGTCATTTTTATGTGCTGTAAATTTCTATGGTTCTATATATTTTACTCTTAAAATCCCAGACCCTTTAATCGATTCTGATTATAATTGTATAATTGATATTGATTCGTTAATTGCCACAAATATATCAGTAAAAAATTAATTAATTTGAATTATATTCTTTGTATTTTTATTCGTTATTTATTCAAGTTATTTTGAGCAAGACGATATTTTGATAGGCATGTCTTAGAATTCTTGTAAGGATTGTAGAGAATTTGTGTCCATAAATTGTATTCCCAAATACAAACAAATTGCATTCTGCAATTTAATGCCGCTTTGAACTCCTATTGATTATGAATACCTTATGTGTATCTTTTGACCGCTGATCTGTGTGCTTGATTGCAGGGCTTAATTTACAAAGCCAATTTAACTTGGAGAATGTGACTGTGTTTAATACGAGTGAACAGGAGAGCACGCTAGGATTGAAGGTGGGTTATCAACTAGGGTGGAAAACACCTATTCCAATTCAGAACCGCATCATAATATGTGGGGTTTATAATGTTGCCTTTTGGAAATTGCAGCAAATGGAAGTTGCAGAAGATGGAATGGAAGTTGAAGAAGGAGAAATGGGTGATGAGGAGCCTGCAACAACATGGTAAGGATCTTAGAACATTTCACAAGAAGTTTTCTTTCTTAGTGTGCAAATCTTCACTTATTTGACAACTAAATTGGCATCCAGTTGTTGAGTCTGGTGGAGAGATTCTGTTGCAGGCCTCAGAATTTTGAAACGTAGAGGTTCTCCATTATAACGTGATATAGTTGGTGTCCATAAAATTTCAAATAGAGTTATAATGTGGCCTGATCGCCGGTCAAAGCTTCTGCATTCATTATGCATGCTGTAAACAACCAACCAGCTGTAATAGCAAGCTTTGCGGTTTTAGTTGGTTAGACTCCAGCAGTACCCAACCCACCCTCAGTAGTCCCCAGCCCTTGTCAACAGCTGACTTCTGGGTCATTGGGTTATTACTGATGCCACTGCAGCACACAAAGTGACAGCAGGAACCTGATAACATAGACGTTGTCCCATTTTTGTTGTGTGCAAGAAACCAGCGAGAGTTTTGAAGTGGGACAATGCAATTTGAAGTAATGGGTCAGCGCTCTGGGTGCAATTTGGATTTGTGCTTTAACTAAATGCACATTGTAAGGGGGATCTACTGTCCGAAGTACCTTCTACAGTACAGTTTTTTATAACTACTTTCTCCACTGATTTCTTTTTCACCCTTCTTGAAGCCTTCTTTTAATCTGAGTACATCCCTTATTTTACTCCAGGATGGCCTCCTGTGTATATTACTCCTCCCATCACTTCTACGATAATGATTTGACTCTAACCTTGTATAACTGGATTTCTGTCCATTGTGTGTACAAACATGCATTTGATTTATTGTAATTAGTTAAGAAAAGACAACCATGTGCATGTTGATATTGGCTTCCAAAGACGGTCTACTTTCAGCACTGAGAGAAACAATCTTATGCTACTCATCTCTTCAGGATAAATGTCAATTGTGTAACTTGATAGTAGCGTGTTTCATGTCAGGAGGGCATCGTAAAATGCTTTGCAGGAATTACTGTAAAGTGTAGTAACTGCATATTTTGTAGGCAAGTGTGAACATTATGATCTGTTCTCCATTTATGTTATGAGAAACATTAAGACCTCTATAACAGTGGGGTTTTTGGGGAGGGAGGTTTGGAAGGGTGCGCATGGAATGATATAAATGCCACAATATTTAGTTTGTGTCGGATAATTTTGAGTTATTTGTTTTACTTAAATATCTCCTTGTTTTCATAAACAGCTCTGTGCCCATTGATTATAACTTATATCGAAAGTTTTGGTCACTCCAAGACTTTTTCAGAAACCCACTACAATGCTATGAGAAGATTACTTGGAAGACATTTCTGAAGGTAAAATTGCACTCATTAATATTATGACTATCTTCAGCTTACCTTTATTTAAATTTAATTGAAACAAATTCATTCTTGCGACTAGTATTGAGCATTGTTATAAGTTCCCATTTTTTGGTTTGCAAGGCATCATCATGGACAGTGATTATCTATTACATGATCTTCACTAATATTGCTATGGATTGGCCACCACACAAATATTTTCTTTCCTACATATTGCTACAGATAATTGCCGGCTGACACATCACCAAATCATTTAGACAACAGCTTTGGGCCTCTTATTTTAATTGTCCTATAATTTGGAATGAGGAATAGATTTGATTGAATTACTAGGCCACGTGAAAAAAGGAATGTAATCAATTGATCATGGGCATGAATGATTGTTGGATTATTGGAAACTGCTTAAAGGTTCTGTTCATTTATGTAATATTAGCTTTTAGTGAGTCTGCATAATAGATTAGTGTTTTTAATTGTTAGTGGAATTTTAATGTCATTCAATGGGACTTTCTTTTCACTCCTACTGTGCAAATTTTTTTTACAGTATTCAGATGAAGTGCTGGATGTTTTCAGAAGCTACAAACTTGATGATATGCAGGCTTCCAAAAGGAAACAGGATGAGTTCAAACCCCAAAAAGATGCACACGTATACTTTGCTAAATTCCTCACCAGTGAGAAGGTAACTTTTATTTTCTCTCAAAACAAAATCCTTTGCTATGCTATCCACTTATATCGTCAAGTGGTTAGTGGGTTGGAAGTGAAATTTTCTATAGTAAACAAGTGAAGGTATGTGGTATGCCTGTGTATTCTGATGAATTTTTTTATTGTATCCTTGTCTTAAAATGCCGAGAAAGTGTTGGATAACTTCTTAAAAATGTCTTTCAAGTTTCACATTACTGTGAATCTTGAGTTACCATGCCTTGTATTAAGTATCAAGCTGTCCTTTGTGTGGGTCTTTGTTTCTTTGATAATGGAACAATTATTGCCAACCGTTGAGTCCTGTAGCTTAATGGTTAGAACACTTGCCTCGCAAGCAAGAGGACCTAGGTTCAATTCCCAGCAGGGCAAAACATTGGACAAGTTTCCTTACTCCACACGCCTCTGTTCACCTAGCAGTAGATAGGAACCCAGTTGTTAGTTCATTGGCGGATCATTTTCTGGGAGTAATAATCCCTTAAAAAATTTTTTAAATAGTAATGATTTGGTCACTCAATCTACGCCTGTTTGTGGGACACTGCTGTGCGCAAGTGGCTGTGTTTTCACCCACAAAATATACAGTCAAATCACTTCATAGTATACTCTGAAGTGCTTTGAGATGTCCAGTTGCTAGGCTGTATTAAAAGGGCTGTATTGATTTGAAATAGTGGGGTAATCCTGCCACTGTATAAATCACTGGTGCGACTGCACTGTGTGCAGACTGAACTGTCACGGTCACCGCAATATAAAAAGGATATTGCAGCAATTGAGGATACAGAGGAGGGCAATCAAAATGATTGAAGGGATGGAAGGACTGGACTACGAAGAGTGATTAGATAAACTGGGCATGTTCACAATGGAGAAGAGAAGGTTGAGGGGCAAGATGATTACAGTCTCTTACGATGCTAAAGGGGTTAGATAATGTTGACCATGATATGCTGTTTTATCTTGAACTGAAGAGTGGAACCAAAGGACATGGCCTGCGATTAAAGGGAGGTAAATTCAGAACAAATCTGCAGAAACACTACTTCAGTGAGCGAGTAGTAAACTTATAGAACAGGCTCCCTAGGGAGACAGTGGATGCAGAAAATGTCATTTGTTTCAAGAACAAATTAGATAGATTTTGACTAGAAAATAATATCTCAGGATATATATAGTTTAGGACACTACATAACAAGCGACTGCCAGGATGGTGGAAGGCAAACTAGATGGACCTTGGTCTTTCTCCTAGCAAATGTTCTTATGTCTCAAAGACGTGATAAAGTGCTATATCAAATGTAAGGATTATTATTAATATATACTTTATCACTGTACTTATATCTCTCACTTTACTTTTGTTTACTCCTAGCTGATGGATCTACAACTAAATGACAGCAACTTTAGACGGCATATCCTCTTACAATACTTAATATTGTTTCAGTACCTGAAAGGCCAAGTCAAATTTAAAAGGTAAACCTGCTTGACATCATTGTTACATACGTTTTAAATTTCTTTCACTGAAACTGAAGTAAAGAGCAAGTGCAGGACACCAGCTAGATTGAAAATCATATAATCAATAGTGAGCAGGTATATGTTTGGTTTTTAATACTCTGATTGTAGGAGGAGCGAAAAATGGAGTGAGGTTAGACAGTTTTGAGGTTATTAGTAGGATAGTGCAAAGAGTTTTTATTTCAACCCAGTGAGTTGGATCAGAACATTATTATTTTATTACTGCCACTTTGGGATGGCAGAGATTTGTTTTTGCTTTTCTTTTCTCCTCCCTCCCAAAGTGATCATCTTACACCAGCAGTTAATAGGTGGTGATTTCTAATGCAATAAGGAGTTTAAGTAGGGACTCCTGGTAACCGGAATGCCTCATTAACTGCAAGAGTTCTGCTCTGAAAGCTGACTTCAGTTTTTCTTCATTGAATTTTTTAACATTAAAAACATTTTTAGAAATAGCTATTTATTAAGCCCCATTATCAACACTTTTTTTAACTTGTTAGAAATTACATCCCTTCTGTAGTTTTTCATTTTTAAAAAAAAGGTTGAATGAGGGAGTGCATTACTTGTTATGAGATGTTATCCTGAGTGAGATATTGCAAAATGTTGATTGGATAGCGTTAAGACAACTATATCATATCTAACAGCTGCAATAAATAAACCATCTATGTTAATCATGTTTTACAGCTCCTACTGTGTATTGACTGATGAACAGACTCTCTGGATTGAGGATACCACCAAAGGAGTTCATCAGGTTGGTGGAGAGTGAAGTTGCAAATTTCACTTTTAATTTTCACTTAAAATCTTTTAAAACACAGCAGACAGTCTGCACAAACCTATATCCCACAAATAGTCATGAATTGAATTATTATTTTCTGTTGCCTGAGTACCTCCAAAATATTTTTCATAACTTTTGGCAAATCATATTTTGGCGAGAGATGCAGAATTAAAAAAGTTAATTTTTAGTATGGTTTGAAAAAGCGATCAGTCTCTGTGTATTTTAATAGTAAACGGCTCTCCAGTCCTGAAAGGTTTAAACAGTTTTGAATGTTTGTACAGAAATGTTGCGATAAAAATATTCCTTTTGAACTGTTTCTCATTCATTATGTAGCTACTGAAAGAGACACCACCTGATGGAGATAAATTTTCATCTATGGTAGAGGTATGTCATGTCTTATTTCTACAGATTTTTAACTTTCAAGTTTGGAACTGTGTTAGCAACAATTTAGAAATGAAGTCTTCATAGCAATATGTAAACTTCCTCTTCAAAAAATGAATGATGATAAAACTATTTTTTAAACACCAGTTTCATTTTGCAGTCGATAAATAGTATTTCTCTTTGTGTTGTTGATACTGCAATATTATCTAAAGTATCCAGACTTGTTTGCAGCATATTCTGCACAGTGAGGAAAACTGGATTGCATGGAAAAATGAAGGTTGTCCAAGCTTTGTCAAAGAAAGGTAATAATTTCCTTTTATTTTTTTCTTTAAGTTTCCCAAATTCTCTTTTTCCCTCCACCTCCCACCCTATGTATAATGTGTCATTCCTTGATTTAAAGGATGAGAGCAGCTTTCAAGCCTAGAATTACTTATCCTCATCCTACTACTTTCAAAAATAAAAAGTGTTCCTAATTATTGAAACCTTAGGCAAGTTTCCTTATTCCACACACCTCTGGTTACCTAGCAATATGTAGGAACCCGGTTAATCGATTGGCGGATCGTTTTCTGGGGTTAATACTCACTTCAAAAAAAAATAATAATTTGGTCAAAAAAATATATGGTCACTCAATCCAAAACTGTTTTGGGACAGTGGTTTGCCCACAAAATATGCAGTCAATTCACTTTGAATTCATATTCTATGAAGAGCTTTGAAGCGTCTCAATGAGATAAGGTGCTATATCATCTGCAAGACTTATTACTATGCAGATATGCTATAAACAATAATTCCCTACACCAAACCAGCATATTAAATGATGAATAATTGCCTGTAGATATTTTTTGCTTTCATAAAGATTTTCCCTCCCCAAAATTTGGGAAAGATGAGAAGTAAAACCAGTTCAATATATTAAAGAGGATAATTTTTTCTTGATTATCTGTTTTGCAGATTTTTGGTTTGCCAGGCAATGACGATTCAATTAGCTTTTATCTACTAATTAAAAAAATAGTATTTTTAAGGTGAAGGGAACAGAATTGCTCTTGAGAAGCTGGCATCAGAAACATTCGGCTGAATTACCACTTTCTGTGCTGTTTATGCTTCGGTGGAATAATAATCCCTCCAAAACCAAAAACAATAATAAATTGCTCATTTTCAATCTACGACTGTTTGTGGGACATTGCTGTGCGCAATTGGCTGCCGCGTTCGCCCACAAATATACAGTCAATTCACTTTACAGTGTGTTCTGTGAAGCGCTTTGGGACGTCCTCCCGACGTGAAAAGCGCTATATCAAATGCAAGGATTATTATTATTATGTAAAGTGTTTTAATTGGGGGAATAAAACTGCATATGATTAAAACTGCTAGGTCTGTCTATCACATAGGCTGAGAAATACTCTAAAACATAAATGTTTGCTTTTTAAAGACCATCTGAATCTAAAGTTCCAAAACCAACAAGGAAACGTCCAGCTCCTGAAGACTTCTTTGGAAAGGGACCAAGTAAGAAGATTTTTATGGGAAAGTAAGCACAATTTAAACAATTCCCTAATTTTTGTGCAGAATATATTTGGCTTTAGATGTTTTCCAGTAATATATTGAGGACTGTTTAGGTCCTACACACTCTAAAATGTTGCACATCACCTATACCATGTCAGGAATACAATAGTGTGGAAAGTTAGGAATAATCCTTTTATCGGAGATGCGGCAGGATTTACTGTCCAAGAATCAAGTACAGTAGAAACCCAGTTTGCGGTCACCTCAGTAATCCAGCCACCTCACAATTGTGGGCACATTTTCACGGTATTTTTCGTTGTCAATGTTAAAAGGTAGTCTGTCTGCTTCAGTAAACCTGGCACCTCACTATTCAGGACAGTGGTCATTGATTGCGGCCGCTACAGAGCCTTCCTCCGCTTCAAACGCGGTACAACACCCCCCCCCCCCACCCCAATCAGTACACAGTGTGCTAGGCCTCAGGTTTCTCGCACTGTTTCCTTGACACTGCTACTGGGACGGAGTGGACTCCGGTCGCACACGTGCGGCACGGGGAGTGTTGGGATTGAGAAGTGACGCAACCAGAAAATGTGACAAAGCCTTTATTTTAATGAGATTGCAAAGTATGGTTTTTGAATGTTCATCACCCTTGGCCATTACCAGTACCCTTAACATTACATTGACTTGAATCACCCGACTTGTTTCAGTAATCAGATCACCTCACTAAATAGGTCACTTTTGCCCAGTCCCTCGAGTGACCGAATTAGTGAGGTTCCACTGTATATGTTAATTCAAAATAAATGAAGAATCCTATCTGTACAACCCTCATTTCAGGCTTGCAGCTTTTCACCAAATGCAAGGAGGTTTTGGACTCCTGGTATCCAGAATTGAGAAGATCCACTTCCTCCCCGCCCACAGCATCCTATTCACAGTCATAAACAACGGCCTCAGGATTTGTGACCAGGGCTCTCTGTCTCTTTATCCTCTATCTCTGCTGCTTTCGACTGATGACCACCCTAGTTTCCTGGTTTCACTTCTTTCCATCCCACTAACTTCACTGTGTCTCATTTACTGCCCTGGCATAGGCTGGAATTGAATATCTTAAAAGACCAAAGGGTGGCATGCTGAATCACAATAGTCTACAATTCACTAGAGGTAGTTTCTTATATTCTGGCAATTTGGCATGTGTAATTTAATGAGTTTTGGTCAAATGTTGCTTTGTTTCCTGCAGCGAAGAGCTTACACGGCTTTGGAACCTCTGTCCTGACAACATGGAGGCCTGCAAGTCTGAGAGCAGGTAGCTTTTTTTTTGAGCAAATAAGATATCTTCAATAAAATGGTGTCATACAAAGGAATTGAGAATTTATGAATTAAGGAGCAATTTTATATCCAATTGAAATAGAGTTAAGACTGCAAAATGATGGGATTTTCTTCCCATTGAATAGGACTGAATTTAAATGCCTTTCGTAGAGCTACAAGTTTACCATGCTAATGCACCGAACAACTGTATAAATGCAAGTTGATATTGTTGAATAGCAAATAGCTGTAATATTTTGCTTTAACCAAGTATGCTGTCCAATAGACTGTCTGAGAACTGACAAAACTCCTCTCATTCGTGACTGCCAGTGAAGATATTTTTTGTTTCCCAGGTATAATTAACCATATGTTGTGTTTTCTTTGTTAATCTCAATTTATTGGGCTTCTGCTTTTAAAATTTTGAGATGAATTCATACAGTGGATTCTGTTGTAATAAATCTTTTGGATTGCAGAGAGTTCATGCCTGCCTTAGAAGAGTTTTTTGAAGATGCTATTGAACAAGCTGACCCGGAGAACATGGTTGAGGAAGAATATAAGTAAGATATTGCGACCTTGTGTACTTGAAGCTCATATCTATGAAATTTTGATGACTTTTGAGACGTACAACCACCTATCTTGTTTCGTTGATGTAGGGTAGTAAATAATTCCAACTATGGCTGGAGAGCATTGCGACTTCTAGCACGAAGAAGCCCTCATTTTTTCCAGCCAACCAATCAGCAGTTCAAGAGCTTGCCCGAGTATTTGGACAACATGGTCATCAAGTTGGCCAAGGAATTACCAGTGAGTACATGTTCATGTCATTCATTTAGTTCTGAAAGATCATCTTCACATTGAATTGCAGGCAGGGAAGCCCACTCACTCAATCACACAAAGGCTGAAAATAATAGCGTTTCTATGACTGGGTAACTGCAAAATGATTTATCAATCTCTTTTGAAAATTTGAGAAATGGGTTAATTTGACCATTTTGAAATATCATTTTTTTTCCCAAATCGACAAATGTATCTCTTTAATCTGGCAGGATGTTTAAAACCACTCGATCAGCAAAACCCAGACAGCTGCCGTATATTCCTCCTGGCCTATAAATCCTGCCAAATTTATACAAATATGTGAAATTTAACAAGAAGATTACATTTGTATAGCGTTAAGGTTAAAGACTTGATAAAATCAATACTTTGTTTTCCCCGTTTCCAGATTCAGTTTATATTTTGAGTCAATAAAGCAATAAAGACTTTTTAAAATTATTGATAAATTACTCTAGAGGTGAATAAATGTGGAAGACCAACAATAAATATGTTGTGACTGGTTTCCAGCCTCCCTCTGAAGAGATAAAGACAGCGGAGGATGAAGATGAAGAAGAAGATAATGACGATCCATTGCTAAAGGAAAGCAATGAAAGTAAGTTTGAATTGCAGTGTTGATAGCTATATAAAAGATTCAGAGCTATCTAATAGTAACATCATTCATCATCACATTATCATGCTGGCAGAACTGGAATCACGTAATGGTAAGGGACATTTGGTTCCGCTTTCCTTCGCAAAGGAAAAGGCAGCGGATACTGTCATGCTCAGAAGTTCATTGTGAAAAAGATTGTCTCAATTGAAAATTGAAACCCCCAAAAATAATGCATATGGAAAGATTCATGCTTCTTTTCTGATGTTGACCTGAATTGATCGCCTAGGTACGAGACTTAAGAGATGGAGGGTGTTGTATCTACAAAGAAGTCAATTCAGAAATCTTAAAGGAAAGCTGCCACAAAGCATATATTTAATGCACAAAATGTCTTCTAGTTCCTGGATCACATTCATTTTGATTTATTTAACCTAACTATAAGTTTCAAAGTGGATGTTTCACCAATTTGATAGCAGCTATTAGCTTGGGAGATGTTTTCAGCAATGTTTTGTCACCATAGGATGATGTCTGGTAACAGACTAGCTGAAATGCATGGGAAATTCTTGAGATTCGTGTGTTTGGATGTTATTTCTCCCAGTAGATTGTTGTAAATTATATATTTTAAACAAAACAAATCCAATTGAGCATTGGGAAGAATTAATGTCATCAATGAGTGTGACCAAGGTTGAATTCTGTCATTTTGAGTACTTCGATCAAATTATTTAACACACAAATTAAGAGTTATAGCAATGATTCTTTATTCCAAACAATTCTGGTGGTTTCTCTTGTCTCACAATGAGCTGAAGACGGATTTTAAAAGGCTGCCATTTTTTAAAAATTGCTTTGCAGAAATAGAAGGTGTACTTGCAATGCTGCCAAACCCATTGTCATTAAATTAATGGTAAACTATTTTATAGTGAGACTAAATTAATGGTGCAATATTTTATAGCGAGACTGCAGATGATGACCTCTGTTCTGATATGACAATCAAAATCACCTATCATTAAGACCATAAACATATAAATAGACAGCTTGTTTTGCATAAGTGATCTGGCTCCTATACAGGTTCGGCACCTAAAAATGACTGTTAAAACTACAGTCCCCTTATGGTTCTGCTAGGAGCTATGTCCCATGAAGAATACCAAACCAATCTATGAATCATGATTTTTTTTTAACCAGATTCACTCCAGAATTTGCACTTCAATGCTACTGAAGGATTGTAAAAATCCATGACCAATTCATTCTAGAAATAGCAGATGTAACTGGAACAGTTGTTACTCTTCTGTTTAACTAATTAAAAATACTTTGAGGAAAATGGGCCCTCCAATGTTGACGTTTCTAGTTTCCCATGTATTTCAGCCAACAACAGCCGGCTGCCTGACATCATCGTCTGGTGACAAAAGGCTGCTAGTGACTTCTCCCCCGCAGTTAATGATTGCTGTCAGGTAGGTGAAAGCATCCACTTTGAAACTTGTTTTGATGAGAGGTTTAAAATGGATTGCTATTAGGATTCGGACATTGTTAGAGGGTACTGTGCATTAAAGAAGTCCACTGGTGCATAAAACGTTTAAATAGTGTAGTTTTTAATGCTTTTGCATTTTAAGTTGAAAATAAGATGAATAGTTTGTTCTCTAGCCCCTTCTCCCTCAATATATTTTGTGGGCTTCGGTCATGAATGGAAGTGAAAAACTATTGTGCTCTCACAAAGCTGGAAATGCACATCACCGGTCGCCAAAATCTGCAAGTGCAATTAGATGAAATGATAGAATAATTTGTAGCTCTGTTTCAAACCCAATTTCCTTTCAAAGTATTTATTATTGTGTCTTAAGTAAAGTACTGAATGAAAATGTTCATGATCAGCTTTCTGTTTTTTTATAGTATCAGCCTTGCAGTTGCTAACATTCCTACCTCTAAGTCAAAATATGGTGTTTGAACCCGTAGACTTGGCTGGCCCTCTAATGCAGTGCTGGGGAGTGCTGCATTGTCGGACATGCCATCCTTTGTTTGAGATGTTAAACTGAGGTCTTGTCTACCTATTCAAGTGGGTATTAAAGATCCCACAGCATTATTTGTAATGAGAAGGGAATTTCCCTGTCAGATTAAAAAGATCACTTCACAGCAGCTTGTGGAACCTTGCTGCGCTCAAATAGGCTGCTGCATTTTCCTTGTAGGTGGAGATTAGAAGAGCCAAAGGACCTTTTTTCACTTCTCATCCAAAGCATTGCACCTCCAACAAGGTGGTGCTCCCCCAGCATTCCTTTGGAGTGTCAGCCTAAACTATATTACTGCTTCAAAGGGCTTCTTGGGATTTTATGGTGATGTGCAGTGGCTGCATTTTGTAGCCAAACACTGAGCTCAAAGCCCGATGTGCGGCTTGAACCCACAACCTTCTGACCCAGAAGTGAGAGTGCTACCAACTGTGCCAAGCTGACACCTGAAATGAGACACTGAAGGGAAAATCATCTAAAAGCTATTCTTGCGTACTGTCCAGTAATCAGTTTTGAAGCAACATTGCAAGGGATCTAGGAGCAGATTGCACTGGTCCTCTGGGACAGAGTTAGTATTCTGATTTGCAGTAAGACCAAGATAGGTAGAGAAATAAATATGTTTTGCATTTAAAAAAGGTAATTGATTTATTGCTCATTCACATTGTATTATTCAAAAAAACTTTAGTTCACCCATTTCATCTATATATACTGTAATAGCTACCAGCAAAGTATGATATCCTTAGAATGATATGCTCCCCTCTTATACTTTATTGTAAAAGAACCAATGGATATGAAATGTAATACTTGGCATGTAAAATGTGTTGCGGTATTACTCACTGTAAGATATCTACTAAATGCCTGTGTGCGATGTTTAATAGTTCTTGTAATGTTTTTAGGTCCTGATATGCAGAATAAGCTTGTAACAGGTGAACAAATAGAACTACTTGCCAACAGCCTTGGAGAAGAGTGGAAAACACTAGCACCACACTTTGAAATGAGGACTCTGACATTCGTGGAATTGAATGTGATAGTGAGGACGTTAAGATGCGAGCTAAGTTGCTACTCGTTGCTTGGCAAGATCGGGAGGGACTGCAGGCTACGGTGGAGAATTGCGTGTCTGCACTGATAAGTGCTGGTTTAAATCAACTTGCAAATATCCTGACAAATGAGATTGAAAATATTAGCTAGTAAATAACAAAACAACTAAATAAGTGCTTGCTTTTTTAAGAAAAACTTAATATTTCAACTGAGCTAAACACCCAGAAAAAAATCAGTTTTTTTAGTTCACCATTTGTTAGCTTGATTTCTTCCTTCATGTTGTCACATCACATTATCTGTCACAAAAAGGTTTTACAGTTGACTTGCCACAATGTTTTTGTCACCATTGAGATTCAAAGCATCTGTTTTTTTGTATTTTTATTGTCACCTGAATAATAAATGAATATTTTTAGATTTGTATTAAATCTGATAAACAGACAGATGTTGCCACTAATGTGGCTGCAAGTCATGGAATGTAAACAGATCTGACTAGTAAATCTGTTGAATGTAATCTGGATTCCTTCCATTATGAAACAATAAGCAAAATGGCCTTTTCTGATCATTGACTGTAAAATAATCTCTTTTGAATGAATAGGCCAAACTTTAAACAGGGAGATTTACTGTGATGCTAAACACGGTTATTTTTTAAAACTGATCCAGTTTTTCAATATTGATTTCCAGCCATTTTTTTCTCCTTCAAATTCCTCAGCTTTCCTTTTTTTAAAAAAAATTCCCCCTCACCTTTCTTCAGTCTCCACACAGTCTGCACCAACCCTAGCTAAGCATTCTGAGTAACTTGTATCCAGCCCATTGACCATTTGCTAGGATATATATGAGAATAGGCAGGGTGTGCCTGCCTAAGGTTAAAAAATCACCTTGTTTAACATCGGCCTCCCCAACTCCTCCTTCCATAGGTTGCAGATCTACCAGAACTCTGCATCCCTTGTCCTCTCCTGCACCAGGCTCTGTGACCCTATCACCCCCATCCTCGCCCAACTCTACTGGCGTCCCATCACAGAGGATATAGTTCAAGATCCTGGTCCTCACCTTCAAAGCCCTCCATGGCCTTGCCCCCACCTCTACAGCCCTACCAACCTGCTCGTTCCTTCCTCTCAGCCGGCCCCGGCCTGCTTCACATCCCCCACCATTGGCAGGCAGGCCTTCTGCCACTCTGCCCCCACCCACTGGAACGCCATCCCAGTCTCTCCACCTCACCCCCTTTCTTACCTCCTTAAATACCCTCCTCTTTGACTGCCTTTGGTCACCCTCCTTCCCACGCACCCCCCGCCCTCCACAATCCCGACCCCAGCTCGGAAACACTGATTGTCCAGCACCTTGGGACATCCTCCCGCCATGGAAGGTGCTATACAAATGTAATTTTGTTGTTGTGTGCCTGTTTTCTTTCCTCCCTGTGAACAAGTGGCTGGCCTGTTTCAGAGCTCCCCAAGACAGTATGGCTGAAATGAAGGACTCTAGTGTTTGGGAATTACAAGAAGTACAAAATTACATTTATAAAGTGCCTTTCAAGGTGGGAGGACATCGCAAAGCGCTGAACAGTCAGGGATTAGGACCAGAGCGGTGGTGGTTGGGATCAGGGAGGGTGGCTGAAGGCAGTCGAAGAGGAGAGCCTTGAAGCATGCCTTGAAAGAGGGAGGGAGGCAAAGGGAATACGGCATGGAGTTCCACAGGGTGGGGGCAGAGAGGTTGAAGGCCCAACTGTTGATGATGAGGCGCGCCAGGCGGGGGACATGGAGCAGGCCGATCCTGCTGAGCAGAGGGAGTGGACAGGTTGATAAGGGCAAGGTCGGCGAGGCCATGGAGGGCCTTGAAGGTGAGTTACAGATTAAAGCTGGATCCTATTGCTTTGAGCCAATCATTTGGCATTTGTGTGCTGCACTGCTACCATACCCCTTTCAACTTTGAATGCTCCAGTACACGTGTATGAAACTTTAATAAAGAAACTTTCATCAAAAAAAGTATTGTGTTTACTTTAAAGCAGGTTGCTGAAAATTGAAGATTAACTAATCTTGAGGCACACCAGATGTATCCTCTAATCCCCCCCCCTACATTCCACAAGATGAATTTTAATTATGTATTTTGTGTCTGCTCATTTGTATCAAACTTCAGTATTAGATTAAAAGTTGGATCCCACTGCTCTGAGCGACTCATCATATCACGCATTTGGATCCGGCTTAGCTGTTTCTAAATTCTTTCAGCATAATAGTTGCTGGTGATTTTCGTGAAATCTAACAAAATCTGAAATTTCCTCCCATTCATTTGTTTCCTACAAATCTTTGGTGGAGAGAGCGAGCAGGATGGTACGGGGTTAGGGGAAGCAAGACCATGGAGGGCTTTGAAGGTGAGGACCAGGTTCTTGAACTGTATCCTCTGTGTAATAGGAAGCCAGTGGAGTTGGGAAGGTAGGGTCGCTGAGCCTGGTGCGGAAGAGGACACAGGCTGCAGAGCTTTGGATGATCTGCAGCCCATGGAGGGAGGAGTTGGGGAGGCCGACAAGCAAGGAGTTTGCAGTCAAGCCTCAATGTAATGAAGGCATGTTTGAGGGTTCGGCAGCCTCCAGTGTGAGCCGGGCGATGTTGCACGGTGGGGGAAAGCAGAGTGGGTCATGGCACAGATGTGGGGTAGAAAGTATAGCTGAGAGTCAAGATTCCCAAGTTTCCGGACTGGCTTAGCAAGGTGGAGGGTGCAACCATGGATGGTGATACTGTCAGCACCTGAGGTGAGGAGACGCTGACGGGAGCCAATCAAGAGAGCCTCGGGCTTGTTCACGTTCAACTGAAGAAAGTTAGCTCTCATCCAGGACTTGTCTGACTGCCAGGATGGCAGTGGTCCTGGAGTCAAGGGTGGAGGCAGAGACGTAGAGTTGGGTGTCAACCGCATACATGTGGAAGTTGACCCCATGTCTGGATGATGTCACTAAGAGGGAGCATATAGATATTGAAGGAGGGGACCAAGGACAGAGCCCTGCGGAACACCGCATGAGATGGTGCGGCTATCTGACATATGTGGATACTCATCACCATGTTTAAGAGTATCCACATAATATTCTCATGACCCTAGAATATACTGTAAAGTGAATTTGATATTAAACAGCTATCAGGAAGCACATACAGAGCGAGAAGTGGGTTTTCTGTTGATTAAAGTCCAATTGATTAAATTGACATCAGATCATCAAATTTGATACCATAAAATCATCACACGTTACAGCATTTGGTCCACCATTTCTGTTCTGGCTTTTTGAAAGAGCAACCCTTTTTACCTGCCTTTTCTCCAAAATCCATTAGAACCACCAAAGAAATGTGAATCATTACCTTAATTCAAAGTAGAAAATAAATTTTCAAAATGTTAAAATTCACAGAACAAAGTTATGCCACAAAATTTTAGTGAAACAGATAAGTTTTATGAATTTACATTTTACAATAAAATGTGGTTAAAGCAAACTTGTTTTGGCCGGAGCAGCATTATAGCTATCTCTTAAAAACTTAGAACTTGTCTCACAGTTGCAATGTAAACTTTACATGGTCCTTTTAAAACTCAAAATGCATTTAGTCAAAGAAAAATACTGAGGAATCCCATATTAAATATAGCATCAACTTTCTCTTCCCAGAATCATTGCTGCATCACGTGACTCAAAACCACGTTATAATAAAGGAATGAGAAAAACTATGGATCACTTAGGATTGTTTAATTATTGTGTTAGAAATGTCAGAATTAACAATCAAAGCTGCAGGTCTTCCTTGACTAATGCTTGTTTGTTTTCAAAGGTTCTGTAGATGACGTGAAGCAGTACCAGGGTCACAGTTGAGGCAACACCTTCCTCTTTGCATTCTCACCTCACAATGTAAGATAAGCTAGAGAAAGTGAAGGCATTGTACAACAGTAATAGCCATGCAGGATGAGGAAAGTGAAAGTAGACAGCTATGCTCAGGTATGGCATTGTCATTGTGGAGGTTTATCTTCAACTACTTCTAACCTACGAGGCCCATACAGTAGAACATAGGCTATGTGCCAATCACCACCACCAGACAACTTCAGAATATCTTCAGGTGCCACAATACTGACTTTGTCATCATCAAACTTGATCCACTCATCTAAAACAAAATCACAATTAGTAATAATGTCACATGAGAGCACACAAGATATACAAACTTTGTTACTAAGGTGCACTTCAATCAGTAGGAAGTTAGGCCATGACAGTGCAAGTCAACAGAATGAGCTAAAGACACAAAAGTGTCAGGGAACCAAATCAGAAAACACACAAAATGATTACATCTTGAATGTGTTTGGAATGAGCCCTGTGTCATAGGCCTTTTGCATAACTACAAAAGCGACTGAAAAACAGTCCAACTCTTATTGTGAAATTGAACGGCAATTGTTTTCAGAGTTGGAACATTGAGCAATGAGATGGATTGCAGTACTGTATGAGATCAAGACAATCCAACTTTGAATCAAACAGGATAGACAGCTGTCCCATTGAAATATGCTATCACAGGCAGAGGAAGCAGCTCATTCCAACTGTCATTACTGCACAAAAGGATTCAGTCTCTAAAGATAATATTTCCATTTCTGCCACCCTCAAGATTATTGGTTTTATAATTCAAAATCTTCTATAAAAAGATTAGATGCTCCATATTACTCAAAACAATTTAATATATAACACTATTTTTCTGGCAATACATCACAGTATTGTTTCCAAACATCTGACGCTCCTGCCATTGATCTGCACACAATCAGGGAAGTATCAGGGAAGACTTAAATATTTCTCCATGTGGCGTAATTGCTGCACTACAAGGATGTCTTCTGATTAAACGTTGAGGCATTCAATGTGTTGTGTTACATTAGAGTAAGTTATTACTCTAAACAATTGTTAATTCAGAGACAAACAACCGCCTGCCCCTGACAGCTCTAAATAACTGTGTAAACTGGGTCTTGAATTCAACTTCCACCTTCAACAACTGCAGCCAGCAGGTAAAACCACTACGTGAGCGGGAAGGGTCTCAGATGAGGTCGTTGAGAATGCTTCGGGAAGGAGTAGAGTCTGCCTCAAGCACATCAAATACCTATTTATCACTAAAAACTTAATATATAAACTTTTAATCTGAACTATCAAAGCTATCTGAATAATGTGTAGCATTAGTAACAATTAAATAAGACTTCTCTTAGGTTAAAAAATCTTTTTGAAAAAAACATTTCTTCCTCCAAATTGGGTCTCTTGCACCATTTACGTGAAATTGAAAGATCAGCAAGTAGTAGTCCTGACCCTCCAAAATGCTGAATCTATTAGCAAAAACAGTCCACTCTTCAGAAAGACTAACTGACCCAAGTGTTTTTCAAAGCATAAAACAAAACATTACCTGCTTTTCTTCGAACCCAAGCTAAGTAGTGACCAGATGAACTTGACCTGCCTTGATGTGTAAGCACTGCCATTAGATCAAAGTAACCACTGTTATTCGAGCCAATGTCTGTGAAGAAAAACACTAAGCAAAATTACTTTAACACAATGCATTCGAACACAAGCTCGGTCCTTCAAACCATCAAGCTACTATCTCAGCTGTACTGCAGTCGGACGACAAGTGTAGGTTGGAAGACAAGAAAATTAATCCTGAGATGTTTAGCATCTGTCTTAGGGCAGTTTTACTTGCAGTCTGGAAAGCAAATGCTCACCTTACTGTCAGGACAGTAGTAGCATAGCCTCAGGGATGGGAAGAGAGAGATTAATGAGTAAGGTGTCCGCAACATCTGATATACATTTTGAAATCAAGATCTAGCATCAAACCAGAACCTGAAGGGGAATTGACAGGGCTCAAACAGATCTTTAGATCACATTTTCTGCAATTGCAATATGCTGCAATTAAAATTTTAGTGAGGTTTAATATACTGGAAATCTCATTTATGTTATGCTGACCCTCAAGAACTCAATTGAATGGAGATCTCTTAGGATGCACTTTAAGCTCAAGGTGCTTTGACAGAACAAGGAGCCATCTTAGGCTGCCATAATGTTCTTAGTACAGTATAACCCCATAGTGACTAATATTTTTGTATGAATACAAAGGTTATTTTATTCTGCTGCTGGAAACTACAAAGGATAAGTAACATCATCATCCTTGCATTTTGTATAGCGCCTTATTACGTCAGAAGGACGTCTCAAAGCGCTTCACAGGATTTACTGTGAAATGGAGAGACTGTATTTGGAGGCAAACTTGGCAGCATAAATACGCACAGCAACAGCCCACAAATAGCCATGAAACAAATGACCAATTTGATTTGAGGAATTGTTGACCAGGAAACCGGTAGAAAGTCCCTTTTCTTTTCAAATAGCGCCACAGAATCTTCAACGTCTACCTGAACAGTCAAGACTGGACCTCGGTTTAACATCTCATGCAAAGGACGGCATCTCCAACAATGCAACAACCCACCACCACCTCCCAACACTGCATAAGAGTGTCAGCTGAGGCTACGTGAGTTCAAGTCCTGAAACGGAACTTGAACTATTGCATGCAGTTAAAATGTTGGGCGGCATTTATAAAAAATAGACAAACGAGCTATACATTACCAGAAATTTGCAAAACATTTTGAATGTATTTACAGGCACTACAAATATACTTTAAAGTATTTAATAGTCATCTTAACATAATCTCTTGCAAAAAACTAATTCTCACCTATAAAGTTATCGTGCATCTTTTACAACTTAAGTGCGTCATGAGTAATATATATATATTCACGTACCGTCAGAAAATGAAAATGGCTCATATTTCACTTCTTTTGAATCTTTTGGGGTTTTAGTGTCAATCTGGTAATAAAGAGAAGGTATTTATTTGCATAATACTAAACGGGAACAATGAGAAATGTACAAGGTTCCTGTTTGATGAACTAAAAATACTAATTAATTTTGTGTCGTTTTTCGAAGCTGAGCAGAATTTCAGAATATTGCAACTTTCAAAGCCTTCATCTAGCAAATTCCATAATTTCGTTTTTAGAACTTCAGAAACATTTTTAATTGTGTTAACATTTAATTGCATAAAAATCTATCCAATGCAGCTTCTTAACCCAAAGAAAATTGCCATCAGGTTTTAGATGTAGACACTACCCATTGCAGCACGAAGCTATACAGGCCAGAACTTTTTGGGTCTGAACCTCAGACAGATCTTCCCCAGTCAGCAATTAGGGCACAAAAATAATAATAATAATCCTTGCATTTGATATAGCGCTTTTCACGTCTTCTAGACATCTCAAAGCGCTTCACAGAATATACTGTAAAGTGAATTGACTGTACACTTGTGGCCTCAATGCTATTGAAAATCTGTCAGAACTCAATCCTGATCACTCTCCAGACTCTTGCTAGAAAATGTGTAGGTATATATTTGAATGCCAGGTAAAGAGATTGGGCACAGCCATGATCTCATCCGAGCTGACCCACACACATTATCAAACTAGTCCACCAGAGTGACAAAAGTCAAGTTTACATCTTATTTACGACTAGGTCTGGATGTCTGTGAGGCTGAGGAGTCACCAAGAAACCTGAACTTCAAGAATCATATCTACATTTACCTGTATTGGTTCTATGTTGGATTTTCGATCTTCTTCCTCCTTGAACTTTGATCTGTATGAGGCCATTTTTTCCTGTAGCTCAGGTGTGCACAGTTCAAATACATCGAGCATCAAAGGAAACTTGACATCCTGAGGACAAAAAAACAGAAATTTTCAGCATTAATGTGTGCAGAAATCAAAATAAACATCTTGAAACTAAGTAGTAAATGGCCTTTAACTGAAGGATGCAAAATAAAACTTTCAACAAAAATCAGAATCGATTTTCATTGATGATTGAATTACATGGAAAACAGATTTCGACAACTGAAACTGAGCACACAAACGTAGACACATCAATTTGCTCACGGCAATATCCTACAAACAGACCATTTTTATTCTTTCGTTGAAAAGAGCCTAAAAAATGCTGGTTAACATTTTGAAAATGCAGAGATTAAAGAGAGATTAAGAGATATTGCTGTGAGCAATTTGTATTAATTTTTGTTAACAATAATCATTCATCCAATGATAATATTGAAATGTCACTGAGAAGCAACTCACAGCTATTTACTACTTGCTCAAATTAGATGTGTGATATACAAATATGTAAATTACTCAGGTGAATATTTCCCACAGATATTTTGATGAATGGATATAGTTCCCATGTGTGAGGCCCAATTCTGGAGGCAGAATTTTGAATCTAACCATCTGCCCTCCCTAATATTGATAAAACAAGTTAGTAGAATTAGGTGAAATCAATTTAATTGACAGGAAAATACTTTGATCTCTCATTCCCATTTGTTAAACAGGAAAAGTCAAGCAGAACAAATTGAGAAAAGGATAAACCTATAACACCAACAATTTACCAGTTGGAGAAATATCACTGTTCATTACATGCTTTGCAAAACACATTTTATGCATTTATCTACAACAGATCAAAAGTACAAACCTTGAGAACTTTGGCATTTACAGATTCTTTCTCCTTGTAGAAGAACCTCACCATCTGAATTGTCAGGTAGGCTGGCAAACGCTGCACTTTAGACTAAAAAAGGAAAATTGAAAATATTAAACCTTAAGTTCATACTGGGTCAACCCTGGTCAAAGTGACAAATTACATTCTGTCCATCTGCAACCAGGGCTCCCTCTGCCACCTCGTCTTCTCTGCTGCCTTCGACAGTCAACCACTCTATCCTCATCCACCGCTTCTCCTCTCACCTCAACCTTCATGGCTCTGTCCTTGACTGGTTCAGGTCGTACCTCTCACACCTCCTCCACCTCATCTCCACTGGCTTCCCATCACACAGAGGATACAGTTCAAGATCCTGGTCCTCACCTTCAAATCCATCCATGGTCTTGCTTCCCCCTACCTCTGCGACCCCCTAAACCCCTACCATCCTGCTCACTTCCTCAGCAGGCTCCAGCGTGCTTCACATTCCCTGCCTCGCTCGCCCCATTATTGGCAGGCAGGCCTTCTGCCACTCTGCCCCCACCCTCTGGAACTCCGGAGTCCCTCCACCTCACCCCCTCCCTTGTCTCCTTCAAGACCCATCTCAAGACTTTCCTCTTTGACCGCACTTTCGATCACCCTGCTTCCCCCCTTGCCCTCCACCGTCCGCGATCCAGACCCCCAGCTCGGGTCCGAAACTCTAACTGTCCAGCGCCTTGAGACGTCCTCCCGACATGAAAGGTGCTATACAAATGTCATTTTGTTGTTGTAGGTCCCTGTGTGGCGTAAGTTGTCCCAAAACTCTCAGCCAATTCAACTTGATTCAATCCATGCAACTTCCTGATGCATTTCCACAAAGAAAAAAATATCTTGTCACAATATCAATCATCAAGATGTCTCAAAGTGCTTCACAAGATGTACTGTGAAGTGGGTTGACTGTTTTGTGAGCGAAACGCAGCAGCCGATTTGTGCACAGAAATGTCCCACAAACAGCCATGGAACAAATGACTAATTTTTATTTCATATTAAATTTTACATTTCAGATACGCAGCCAATTCAGCCCTGCACTTGTGACCAGTCAGGGCTGCAATAATCCAAATCAAACGTGGAAGCAGACTTCGAAGCCTGTGAGAATAGCCCCAATGAGTAAGGTGAATTTAGAATTTGACTACACTAGCAAGCACATCTAAAAGTACCTCTGCAGATTAACGGCAGGCTGTTCTCATACCCATTTCTGGTTGTTACATTAGAAAGGCTAAGAACAGAGACTTGAACATGGTATTTAGAAACCCTCTTGGTTGGAGTTGGAAAATGGAGCTTTAAATAGGAAGGGAAACTTTGAAAGCTTGAATCACACACATACAATTATTCTGTTACAAATCAGCAAAGGAATATTAGCTGTTGTACAGAAACAAGTTTATTGGTTAGCTGTAGGATACCACAGTTGTTCTGTTATTAAAAAAAAGTTGCAGTTGTTTCTCGGATTTCAGTAAAAGCAATATGGATGCCTACAGTGATTATAGAGCAGTCACACTTTCATGAACAAATATGAGTAAGATTGTCCTTAATTAGCAACCAAATGACTCCCAAGACACTGCCTGAGCTTTCAAAGAAGGCTTGTTAGCAACTATTAATGGGACACCTCAAAGACTTGATAAGGCGTTACATCAAATCCAAGGATTATTACTATTTTATTTGTTTCTTCATTGTTCTCCACTCTTTCAAGATCTCTTCTATCATCTGATTGGGCGTTCATATTATTTATTTTTACTGTTGTTTGTCTCAACTACTCTCCATTACCTCCTCTTCATAACGCCTGTATGCTGAGTTTTACCAGTGTCCTTGCTGACACTGAAACTGCTCTGCAATCATGATAGGTAATCCAATTGGTTTTACTTACACTGAGCACTTTGGGGTGAGCTCCGTTTCTGTATTATGCAACTCATTCTAAACCTTTTTGTAGGAGAGAATAAATTGGAGATCATTTAGTGGGGAATGGATTCAGGTGTAGTAAGGTTTCGTGATATGGATCAAACCTGTTGCAATTTGGGCCTAATGCATTTAATATGGTTAACAACTATAACATCTTATTTTGTGATTGATTGGCAAGCTACGTTAATGCACACCCATTCCCGAATACAGGAACCTTTACTAAGATACTCACAGATTTTATGTACAACGCATTTCTTTGCAACAATGGAGAATGTTTGGTGATTTCTTCCTGAAGACGCTGCAAGTTTAAAAAATAAATGTGCGTTAATTTAGCAGAATAAAATAAATAGACTTTGAAAGCTTTACGGAAATTTAAACAGGCAATATTTTCCTACAATTATAAATCCAACAGATTAATCAAACATGCCTTCAAAAAAAGACAAACATAAATTCTAACCACATATTTCTGGACAATGTTATCAATACCAAACACTACTTCAGCAGGGATTCTATGGTACACATTGTACATGTAATAGTTCAAACACACTGCATTAGTCAAGTTGATTTGTTACTTGGCAATATCTCAGGCTTGGTTAAGCCATAAAGGGAGGGAAGGTGATTTGTCATAGGGGAGTTTGAAAACTCTAATCAGGATTTTTTGGCAGCCCCTAACAGTTGATTAGTGGGACTGAAATCAATTACAGAAGAAGTCAGTCACGTCCTTCACAAGTGGGTTCTGGTACATGGGTGGGGTGAAGAAAAACCATAGAAGTGGTGACAGTTTAGACTTTCTTTTCAGAAAGTATTAACTCCGTAACCTTCAGCCTACATTACTAGGCACGTTTGTTTTGAAAAAAGCAAAACGGGTGCAATTGAGTTCATTATCAAACTGGGTGGGGCTCAAGAAGAAGAATACCATAATGGGCTGCGGTCGGTTTACTCAAATAGCAAGGATCTGGGAACAGGATACCTGTCTACCAGGGGTGCGGCACAGAAGACCAAGCAATTAGAAGCAAAACAGAATCTTATCCTCGTCTTTGATGGATGGGATCCCTCCAAATAGCAATGTACAAACTGCACTGTCATAATTTACTCAAGTTTATTTAAACCACAAATTTCAAAGAAAAAACTGAAATGTCTCCCTGACACTCAAAGGAAAATTGAGTGTAAGCTCCTGGATATGAATGCAATTTTGGCATTCACAATATTCAACCAAGGGAACTTGCGCGCCACAGATAATATCCCCATAATCCAAAAAGGATGGGAACTATATAAAGGACCACAATTATCATCAACTGCTTTTGCTGTAATTCTACTTCCCATTTTAAGCAGAGCTTGGCACTTACCAATTTTAGCCCGGTAAAAAGATATTTGACTTCCTGGTTAATGAAGCAGCTGAGCTGAAGTTGTGTTTCCTTGCCTTTCGTTACATCCTCATCTTCTGATTCAGTACACTTCATACTTTTTCAAAATATTAAGGAAGAACCGATATTGTAGTGAATTACAATCAATACAAGGACAGTGCTGAACCTAGAACAAGAAGTGTGGAATCTAAAAGCAAGGAAATGCTCCTGCAGTTAATCAGAGCTCGAGTCAGGCCTCATTTGGAAAACTGTTCTTAGTTCTTACGCCCAACTTTAGGAACCATCGTCTTGCAGAAAATCCAATAACAGTTCACCAGATTAATATAAACTAGGTAGTCATATATGAATTATTCCTCATATAACCCAAGGTAGATTGAGAAATCCATCGTGGAACCTTAAATTTTAAAACTACAAATTATGACATTCTAAGACACACAAAAATCCTTTTCTCTCTTTCAGGTGCTCTTAACTTGCTGTACAGTTTCAGTTTATCATACAAATTTGCAATAAACTGCAAATCCTAACATTAGCATTTCACCCACAAATACCCAGTCAAGTAACTTTATAGTATATTCTGTGAAGCACTTAAGAGACGTCTAGAAGACGTGAAAAACGCTATATCAAATGCAAAGATAATAACAACAACATTAGGCCAAGTTTCAAAGCAAGAAGTATGAAAATCTGAATTATATAAATGCAATTAGTTACTGAACCCTTCGGGCCAATAAGTTCATAGAAACATACAGGAAATGACCAGAGGCCATTCAAGCAACACAAAACTTTTTTGAGGGGCTATTCCCAACAGAGAGTAACCACCTGCAATGCTCCAGATCAATTTTAATGAAGGATACGAGGTTTCAAATTCTACACCAAAATATTGGTCAATAAAATTCTTCTTCTTTGGTGAAGCTACTGCATTCTCAGAATCAGTCTAAAGCAGAAAAAAAAAAGCAGGAAACAGCAGTATTTATTTCAGATGGAACAAGCCAACTATATATGCAGTGAAAGCAACTTATATGGCTTGCATGAGTTCCCAAGCAACTTTTTCAGAATTTGCATAATGAATGAGGTAGCAATAATTTACTATGTTAGGAATGAGCGGTTTGGCCTATGAGCAGAGACTGGAGAAAGTAGGGCTTTTTTCGTCGGAAATCTTTAAATCTATGAGACATTTTGATAAGAGTCAATAGGAAAAATTATTTCCACTGGTTGATGATTAAGTAACAAGAGGGCATCAGTTTAAGATAATTAGTAAACAAGCAAATAGCAAAACATTTCACGCACAGAGTAGTTAGGATATGGAATGCCCTGCTGGGAGCGGTGGTTGAGGCAGAAGCCATATTGGGCTTCAAGAGGGAACGTAACAGATGCCTTAAAAAGGGTCAACTATAGAGGTATGGTGAACGGCAGGTAAATGGAACTGAAAGGACTGTTCACAAGGGAGCCGATACACACGGTGGGTCAAATGGCATTCTTCTGTGCCGTAAATTTCTATGGTTCTATCTTTACCTCCATAGCGGTATCTGCTTCTGAAGATTCAAGTTTCTGTTGAAGTACTCTCATGATCTGTATCCAACACTCATTGGCATCCTTAAAGAAAAGGTTAAACCACTGTAAATTCATTCAGAAAACCTTTAAATGAAATGCTTCACCAAAGTTTCAAACATCTTCACTTTACAATTTTAGCAAACACCTTTACTGAGGTCTTGGAAGTTTCCCTGAATTAAGGACATTTCTAAAAATGGGGATAGAAATCAGACATTTCTGGCAGTAACGTAGCTCACTGATACAATTGAAACAAAAATCCATCAACATTCCTTCATACCTTTTATAAGTGAAAGGGCCTCACATTAGCTTTTTTGGTTGTAAAATTCTTAATGTAAGATTTTGAACAAATAATTACAATTCCAAATAGTGTAGGGCTATTTTTTCCCTCCCAAGGCTGACATCCTTTGAATCCTGCCTATCTGAGTGCAGTTATATGTTCCAATTTATTCAACGGGAAGAAAAACAGAATTGCTATATCCATTGTGTTAGATAATCTGCGAGGCAGGACCAGACAAGCTCAGGAACATGCTGGATATTTTTATAACAGTAGGCTAGTAAGGGCTAATGGTACAACAAACATTAAAAATACTACATATCTGCAACATGATCAAAAAATGAAAACTACTCAATATCCTTTGATTTCACTGTTGGTAGGGAGAACCAGTAAAAGCAAATAGAGGATTTTTAAGACAAACCTCACCTGTTGGAGATACTGTCCTTGATCACCTTTTTCTGCAAACTGTGGAAAGGCCATGTGAAGGAACTGCAGTAGAATAATGGGTGGAATAGAAGTGGATGTTTTATCCATGGATTCCAACAGGTCTCGAAAAGCTATAATGTACACATTTCAGTCAGTCATTTTTATGAGGTACAAAATATTAAACCACAATGTATTTATTTTAACTATTAAAGAAGTTAGATTTTGTCTGAGGTTATTTTGCATGTTACAGGTATAACAAAAATCAACAGCATTTTTCACAGCAAACTGGAGTGCCTGAGTACTTATGCTACAGCACTGTGAACAGCTGATTGTTCAGTTCTTTTAACTCAAAACTGTTTTTTAAACAATGTGCAATAAAAAGAAACACAACACCCTCAATACTGCAATAAATAGTAATAATCTTTGTATTTGATTATAGGTCCTTTCACGCGAGAACACATTTAATATAAAGTGCGGTGATTGTATCTTTGTAGGCGAGTGTGGCAGCTAACATTTTCTCTGACTTCTGATATATCTGTTTCCACTGCAGTGTGGAATCAATGGACAACAGCTGTCTTCCAGGACCTCACTTAACTGGCCATTCTTCATGCAAGAACACAGACAGTGAGCTTCAAAGAATCATTTAACGAGGAAGGGGGCGAAGAAGGGTGAATTCTCAGCCAAGGGCAATCTGGTTGCTGCTCAATATTAAGAGTATAATAATGAATAATAATAATATAGTGTAATTAGAAACAAATCATGGGGTTCGTACTAGATAAATATTAGGACTTAAGGGGGCAAGGAGTCTAAAATTGTTACCACCAACAAATGTGGGACATAAACTGTGAGGTGAATCCAGAAGACAACGGGACGACATAGAGCACTAAGCAGAATTCAAAGGGAAGAAACATGATGAGGGCCATTTTGGGAGAAAGAAAATACATTTCAACCCAGTTGTAACATGGTATTTGGGATCCATAAAATCCCCATTTGTGTTATACGATGCAATTGATTATTGGTTCATGCTAAAAGAAAAAATGGCTAACTTCCTGGTCACTAGGTTGTCATTGGCTCGCTGCAATAGCACTTCCTGTTACTGCACATGTGTAAATTAGGAAATGATGTTGGTAGTTGCCTGATGACCTGAAAGTTGGACTTCTGTTTAGTGTAAGAAGCTAAAATGGCTGACTTCTGGGTCATTATGTCACCACAAATGTCCCTTCCTGTTTTGCACATCAAAGCAAGAAGTGATGTTGGTGATGACCAGATGTCTGTCAGCTGCACAGTAAATATGGTCCTTAGGGCAAGCTCGTTAAAGAAAATTTGGGTATTATGAAGCGGGTTATAACAGGGCTGCACTAAATACTGAATAAGAATGTACAAGAAAGCATTTGAGCCAAATACAGCTATTGAAATTGTTCAGGGGAGGATGGAAGGGACAGAAAAGGCAATCAAGCCAAGCACTATGTACAAAATGTGCAGTTGAGCTATGTTAATCAATCTGAACATTTGTCTACAAAGAACTATAGTAACACATACAATGTGAGGCAATTGTTTAGTACTCACCTGCTGTAATATACTGTGGTGGAGTCATATTTGCTGAAGCTCTCAAGGCACCCTTATACCTAGTGATTGGCAGATAACGAGATTCTCAGCAAACAGCAGTGTATAACAGTGTTTTTCTCTAAACTAAGAAGTCTTTTTTTTTTTAAGTTCAGGTACTGAACACACCTGAGGCTCCTCACTCGCTTAAATTCATCTTCGGTTTCCGCCCTGCCCACAGTACAGAGACTGCGCTTGTGAAAGTCACAAACGACATCCTCTCTATCTGTGACCAGGGCTCCTTCTGCCTCCTTGTCCTCCTGGACCTCTCCACCGCTTTCGACACAGTCGATCACCTCCTCCACTGCCTTTCCTCTGTCATCCAGCTCAGTGGAAACGCACCCCACAAACCGCCAGCAGTACATCTGCACAAACGGCTTCTCCTCCCACTCTCACCCAGTTACCTGTGGGGTTCCCCAAGGATCCATCCTTGGACCCCTTCTCTTTCTGATCTACATGCTCCCTCTTGGGGATGTCATTCACAGACATGGGGTACATTTCCACATGTATGAGGACGACACCCAACTCTATTTTTCCGCCTCTCTTTGCGACCCCCAGTCCCCTGATGTTCTGTCAGTCTGCCTGTCAGACCTCAGGGCCGGATGAGTGCAAATTTCCTTCAGCTGAACATTGACAAGATGGAAGTCATACCCTTTGGCTCTCGTCAATGTCTAAAATCTCACGGTTCTCACTTCCTCCACCTACCCGACCTCCCCCTAAAACTCTCTGAACCCGTATGCAACCTATGCGTCAGGTTCAACCCCCAATTATCCTTTCTCCCGCACATCCGGTCCCTCACCAGCACCGCCTTCTTCCACCCATGTCCGCCAATACCTCTCCCCAAAAGCCGCTGAAACTCAAGTCCATGCCTTTGTCACCTCTCGACTGGACTACTCAAATGCCCTCCTCGCAGGTCTCCCCTCCACTACCATCCATAAAATCCAGATTATTCAAAACTCTGCCGCCCGCATTCTCACCCGCACCAAACTCCGCTCCCCGATTACCCCAGTCCTTGCCAGACTGCACTGGCTCCCTGTCCCAGAGAGGATCGATTTCAAGATCCTCACCCTTGTCTTCAAATCTCTCCACTTCTCTGCACCCCTCTACCCTCTGACCTCCTCTTTCCTCAAAACAGTGCCCGTCGTCTTCGTTCCCCCAAGTCTGGCCTCCTCCTTGTCCCTCGAGTCCTCCGCTCCACCCTCGGCGGCCGTGCCTTCAGCCACTATGCCCCGAGGCGCTGGAACTCCCTTCCTCACTCCCTTCGTCTCGCTCCCTCTCTTCCTATTTTCAGGTCTCTGCTGAAGACCTTTCTTTTCTTTTCAACCGCGCCTTTGGTCACCTTCCTCCCCTTCCCCCTGGCTCGGCCCTGGGATCCATTACTGTGAAGCGCTCTGAGACGCTGTCCGGCGTGGAGGGCGCTATATAAATCCAAGTTGTTGTTGTTGGTCTTCGTGTTTCATATTCATGTAAATTTTATTTAATGTCAACAGTTACTCAGCAATTATAGTAATAATAATCTTGCACTTGATAAGCAGTCTATTATGTCAGCAAACCATCTCAAAGCTTTTCATAGAATTTATTGTGAAATGTTGACCATTAATGTGCGAGTGAATGCAGCAGCCAATTTGCACACAGCAATCTCACAAAGCCACAAATTGAATCACAAATTTTATCTGGGGGATTGATAGCCACAGGACTTTTAACATCTCCCTACAGGCAGACAGGACTACCATTTAACTTGTTATGCAAAAGACAGCACTTCTGTCAATGCAACACTCCCCCAGCACTGCACTGGAGTATCAGCCTGGACTATGAGTTCAAAGTCCCCACAACTGAGCCGGGAATGAATAAGTTGATTATTGAATGAGAAAAGCATCGTTACATGTAAGGTGTTGTGGACACACTAAAGCAGCAAAAGTTTTGCCCACAAATATACGGTCAATTCACTTTACAGTCTATTCTGTGAAGCGCTTTGAGATGTCGAGAAGATGTGAAAAGCGCTATATCAAATGCAAGGATTATTATATTATATTATAAAATTAATTACAATCAAACATGATGTCAGCTATGAAGCATTTTTTTGTATTTCATGGAAATGCATGGTGATCCAAGACAGGTGGCTCTAAAGAATATGACCGCAACACCACAACCACTCCAAGCTACCCTGTACACTTAAAATATTTACAAAGTACTATTTCACTCAGCTACTATGTGCTGGGACAGAATGCAAAAAGTGTGTGGCATGGACCATAACTCATTTTCGGGTCTGACTGGTTGATTGTAAATTGCATTCCAGGGCTCATGCATTATCTGCTTCCAACACATCAACTACAAATTATCATCAGCCTTACTTTCTCCACTCCTGTGCCTCTACATACGAGACATCTCATCACACTTGCCACTCCGAGAAAGTCCAAGACTTCTGCCCTGATGATGTGCACATTCTCAGCTTTTTCTCCTCCGTGAGCACTGGGCTTTGCACGGATATGCTTTTTTGTAATTTTCTGCAGCTCGCACGTATTTATTTTACTGTCACCATCACCCATGACTTCCTGACTCGGCTGAGTTAGTTTTGCATCATTATCAAGCAGACCAGATAGATAATCTTCGACACAATACCTCACAATCACATATTTAGTCTTTCTTGTTTGAAAAAGACAGTAAATTAATTAAGCAGACTTACATTTATGTTTACAAATTACATCTTTTAGGAAAATGATCAAGTCATTGCCCACTCGGCCATCTGTCAAATATGATATTTGCTGCAATTATACAATTTTAGTGACAACAAAAACTGAAGTCGCTGGGAACACTCAGCAGATCAGGCAGCATCTATGGAGAAAGGAAAGTGAGTCAACGTTTCGGGTCCACGACCCTTCGTCAGAATGGATGAAGGGTTGTGGACTCGAAACATTGACTCACTTTCCTTTCTCCATTGATGCTGCCTGACCCGCAGAGTGTTCCCAGCGACTTCAGTTTTTGTTTTCAGATTTTCAGCATCTGCAGTATTTTGAGTTTTTTATGAGTGGTTGGGTTGTGTCACTTACCTTTTCAGGGAATCGTTCAGTTCAGGCACTGATCGTAGACATTGCACTGTAGCATTCATGTAGCAAGTGTTCCCAAGATTGGTGAGCCCACAGGGAAGCTCCAACTACCAAAATAATACACAAGCAGAAGTCAGTTATTTGTTTTCAACAACCATCTCTCAGAAAACAAGGATGGTTGAGAATTGAGGCTCACTCCATTCTCTCTCCTACTATCCACCTACCCCACTCTCTCCCCCCACCCAACCACCTCATACCCTACTCTTAATTCAATCATTTGCTTATACTGTTTGTACTTCTCCAATATAGAACAGTGGTGGTGAAGTGTGATGCAGCATTTTCCCAGAAAGAGTAACAAATCTTGAGTATAATGAAATCATTCCACCAGTTTCCAAGGAGCAGAGGCCTTGGAGGAACTGTGAGCATAAAGCAGAATCTTTTTCTAAAAATAAATCAATCATTCTTTAATTCCTCCAATCGGTCAGTTAGAAAAACTCTGCTGAGTCTGATGTTAGGCAAAGGCTTACAAGACTCTACAATTGCTTCAACATTAGAAAAAAACAGGCAGAAAGGGAAGGGGTAGGATAGAAAACAATAACCAACAATGTAATAGCTCAACTATTAGTCACTGCTGAAAAGTGCATGTGAATGATATCAAGTGAAAAAGATCATGCTCATCTCATCATGCTCATCCTTTTAGTCAAACAGTTTACACATAAATTATGTGCCACTCGCTGAAGTACCAAGGGGCAGCTTGTGTTGATGAAACCATACTCAGCACAAGCCAGCAAATTCATAAGAGGAGACAAGACAAAAAAAAAGGACCACTTTCTTCTTTCCTCTCCACGTACACAAAAACAACCTATTGTCAACCTGTTACATATTGAAAGGACTTAAAATATTTGATACTTACAGCTGAAGCTAGCTGTTCTTCTGACATGTCTTCTACAAAGAGCGGACGTACAGCTGGTTCTACAGGCAACTCCTCTGCTGATCCCATCATCAGCAGGGTCATCCCCTAGAAATGTAATTGTACATGTTTGTGGTTAGGTAACCTTCAACAACAACAACAAGATTCAATTTATAGAGCGCCTTTCACGTCGGGAGGACGTCCCAAGGCGCTGTACAGTTGGGTCAGGACCCGAGCAGGGGGGAAATGGTCAGGGTGAGGGGAGGGAAGGAGCGAGGAGGGGGTAGAGAGTCGAGAGGGGAGGTGAAGGCACAGTTGAAGAGAAAGGTCTTGAGACCGGCCTTGAAGGAGGAAAGGGAGGAGGCGGCGAAGGCACTGGGGGATGGAGTTCCAGAGCCTCGGGGCTGAGAGGCTGAAGGCCCGGCCACCGATGGTAGGGCGGTTGGGGTGGGGGATGTGGAGCAGACCGGAGCCAGAGGAACGGAGAGTACGGGCAGGTAAGTAGGGGGATAGTAGGTCGGAGAGGTAGGAGGGAGCAAGGCCGTGAATCGCCTTGTAGGTGAGGATGAGGATCTTGAATTCGATCCTCTGGGGGATGGGAGCCAGTGGAGGCGAGCGAGGGTGGGAGTGATGTGGTCGCGAAGCCTGGTGCGGGACAGTACACGAGCTGCAGAGTTCTGAATGACCTGCAGCTTGTGGAGGGAGGTGCGGGAAGGCCGGCGAGGAGAGAGTTCCCATAGTCCAGCCTTGAGGTGATAAAGGCGTGAACCAGGGTTTCAGCAGCGTGAGGGGTGAGGTAGTGCCGTAGTCTGGCGATGTTCCGGAGAGTGAACATGCAGACTGCTCTCGCAACATTTAGAAACAAGCTGAAACCAAATGCATCAATTCACAAAAATGTACTGTCTAATGTATTATAAATGAAGATTATAAATTAGTGAAGCTACTGACTCAGACTCCGTTATAAGACGGTAATCATGGTCCATAAATCCGAACCAGCCTTAAACAGGGCACAATTGTCGGTCAGCACATGACTTCACTGGTCAAAACAATATCAATATGCATACGCTTAGAAAGCTGGTGTCCATTGCTCTTCAAGTCTCAATATCTTGCTTTGTTTCATTTCTTACCATGGTGTGTTTTGAAGCACAACTCGAGAAGGTTCTGAAATCCTAAATATCACTTACTCTTGACATAATAAAATTCCTGATTACTTGCAATGCAAACATGTGCACTGATCTCCTATAATTCAATCATTAATAATGAAATCAATTAAATGTGGATCACAGATCACAACAACAATTCTTTAAACACTTGATCCACAGTACTGTGTGCCAACTTCTTTTCACTATACATTTTAAAACATTTGCTCAATTTCAGACCTGGGAAACAAAATTATGGAACTTCTTTAAGGTCAACTAAATTTGAAGAACAAAGTGACAATCTTTTGGACACTTAATACACAGTCAATTGTCTTTACAGTATATTCTGTGAAGCGCTTTGAGATGTCTAAAAGATGTGCACTATTTCAAATGCGGGATTATTATTATTATGAACCAAATGTCAACAGCAAATTCAAATCATTTCAATCAATGGAATTGAACATATTTTCTCTCTCCATTTTTGTAAGGAGTCAGTGAAACTTAAGCAAATGACTCGGTCTTGGAATAGACCAGAGCTACACCATACAAGTGTTCATCTATAACCTAATATTGAGGTAAATAATTGAATTGTTTGTTACTTACACTCTTTACTTTGATGTTGCCCCACTCTTCATCCTAAAAAACGTTAAGAAAGAAAGTTGAGTTTTCAAGGAACAATTACTTGCTGTGGAAACCCTACAACAGAAACTCCTTTAATTTGTCAGCAGGCAGTGCTGCTTTATTTCACTGCGCTACAATTTCCAACCCTCTGATCATTGGGTTAATGCCTTATTTTGATGAATTGTGCTACTGTATAAATGTTCTGCAGCATAACAGTGCTAAGATGCAAATTTACACCCACAGTTCCAAAAATCAGGAATTCCAAATCTCACATAATGTGAGGCACGAAGTGCCAGCAGATTTTGGTTGGGTGTTATGTGCAAAGTATTCTCCTGAACTGTAATCTGCTCTTTCACCAAAGCAGGTGGTAGAATCTAAGGATAAAAAGCAGCTACAGAATACTGGATTAAATCGGGTTTCAGTTAAGTGCTGGAAAAAGTTGCAGAACCATCGAGACGAAAAAGGGAATAGTTTCCTACTCTCTGTAGTCAGTATCAATATCAAATACTGCACCAACGCCTCAAACACAATATCAGCATTAAGTACTTTGAGCTCATAGCCTAGGTTAATACTCCAGTGAAATGCTGGGAAAGTACTATACTGCCGGAAGTGCCATTCTTCTGACTATAAATTAAACCAAGGACCTTCTGCCTATTTAGATGGACATGAAAGATCAATTGACATGATTCAGAATAAGAAGGTAGCTTCACCCAGGCCCTGGCCAACAATCCCCCAGACAGAATTAGTGCATGGCTGTTTCTGGGACATTGCTGTGTGCAAACTGCATGCCACATTCACCTACAAATACAGTCATTACAGTTTAGAGCAAATCCTGTAAAGCACTTTGAGAATATGAGGCACAATATTAAATGTAAGTACACTACCCCACCCCTACACCATCAGAATATCAACATCTGATGCAGGATAAGTGAGCAAGAAATGCATGAGATGCAAGATTTCCTTGGCTGATTGTGTGCTGCAAAATCAAAATAGTTGCTGTAGCCTGACTCGTACCAACCTGGATCAATTGGTTTCAATGCTGTAGGTTCTATGTTGGGACTTGGAACTCATACAGTCTAAGCTGACACTCCAATTCAGTGCTGCGTTGTAGGAGATGCCAGCTTTTGGATGAGACAAACAGGCCCTGTCTGCCTGCTCAGAAGGATGTGAAAGATCCCATGTCACTATTTAATAAGAGAAGGGAGTTTCTCCCAGTGTCCTTACTAACAATCCCTCAAATAATCATGGATTTGCTGACTGCTAGTCTAAGAGTGGTAAAAGTTACAGAACAGGTGACCCACATCAGCAACATATGAGTGAGGGAGAACAGAAGCAATAACACTAGTTTATTTTAATAAAGAAAATTCAATCCTATACATACGTTGATAACACTACAGTACAGAACTACTGTAAAAGCCGCACCTTTAGTGTGCCTCCTTTAATCATAACCTTCTGTCTTTCAGGCTGGACTCCAGTCAATGCAAACAGCTGTGCCTTGAAAACCACAGGTGGATCATCAGTGTTCAGCTCCAATCCTTCAAACTTTTCCTTCCCCCATTTGACAGTTACTGAAGAGGGGGGAAAAGTAACAATTATTCAAAAATATAATTTGATTTTATATAAAAATGCAACACAGAATAATGCTTCTCTTTACACAGCCCTCAAATCAAATGTGAAATATCAAATTACATATCTCTTGTGTATGGAAAGGAAAATAAATTGGCATCATTAGCAAATCACTCGGCCATGTCTCCCATCAGCTAACAAAACGGCAACATTGCCAGAAGCATCAAAACACCCTCTGCAGTGTGATACTAATATTGTTTGTTAATTTAATGGCATTCATTCAAACTCAACTCTTTACAGAATCAGAGCGTCTGCTATCTTGAGCCTTGGGATATTTGAAACAAAAGACTATCAGATTCCTTCCAAGAATTAACTTCTTTAATAGCTCAACAACAACAATATGCATTTATATAGGGTCCTTCACACACGGTAGCATCCTGGAGCATTTGACACATTAAGCTTAAAAGTAATCTGCTATCCAGACAATTTAATTCTGGATCAGTAGTCACTGTCAACATTAGATGTACAGAAAAATATTAAAGTGTCAAGTGAATATTAACATTTCACGAATCATAGTTTCTAACGAGTATCCAGAATGGTAATGCAGATACAATAGATACAATTACAAGTAAGAAATAGCAAGGAGAACAAGGGAAGCTGGCATACAGCTTCAATGAAAAGTAATAAAAGTAGATGCAGTTTTCTTTATATATGAGCACCTGGAAGAATAAGGTATCAAATAAAATTATCCTTTCATTTCATATAGGACCTACAACACTAAAACAGCTCAAAGAATTTCACAGATTTAGTAAGTCAAAAACACACAGCAGATTCTACAGTCAGCCATGAGGTGAATGACCAATTTTATCTTGACTGCAAGCTCAAAGTCCTGACGTGGGACTTGAACCCAAATCGTCTGGCCCAGAGTTGAGAAATTATGCCAAATGAAGTGAACTAAGTTATAAAATATTAAGTGCAAAGAAGGAGACGCTGATATTTGACTAGGGGAACAGCTATCTACTAAAACCTGGATGGGAAGAGTGGCAGGACCTTAATACCAAAGTGGAAGTTACTATGCAAAAATGTAAGGCAGTAGTTCACGAGTAAATGTGACATGATGTTTGTTATAAAGTCCCACTGCAAAATTATTGAATGGAGAAAAAAAAACAGATCCAACAATACAATGAAACACAGTTTTATTTACACAGAAGTAAAAGAAATCGAGTTTCTTAGCCTTGCCCACTCATAACTCTGCAATCTCCTGTGAAACTATTGCTTCAGCTGCTGCCTTGCTCAGCAAACCTGCTTCACATGCCTTACCTGATTCACCTCACCATTGGTGGGTGAGCTTTCAGCTATTCTGCCTCCTGAGATGGTTCTATCAGCCTTATATGTACACCGACAATATGGATCGCTCTCCCTCACAGTGTACTGGATGGCCTCTGTGTTCAATCCTCACTAATGAATGCAAGTCCCTATAACTAGGTGTAACTTGACTAATGAGTTCTTCCACAACAGGTACTACCTACCAATTGCTAATTAAATGAAAGCAAATTGGGAAGCTTCACTCAATCAGAAGTTTATTTTACACCTCTGTGACCTAGGCTGAACCTGTTTGTGTATTCTCTCCTTTTTTGATTTATATAGAAAGCTTGAGTTAAGCACGGTTAAGTTAGCTCAACGGAATTTTACTGTAACTTCGATGAAATCCACAACCCTCGGCATTAAATCTTAAACAACACGATAAATATCAACAAATACAACTGTGAGATAACAAACATTAATCACAGTTATACTACACACACTGGCAGCCACTTGGAATGAAGTTAATGTAAACTGCACGAAGAACCAACGTCTGACTAGGACTCATCAATAGTCAGAGCACTTACCTTTGTTATCATCAGGTAGAAAAATAGCGCCCACAAGCACATGGGGCTCGAGCTTTTATGGGCATTGAGCCCCTTCCTGAATTAGGGCATTCAATGGTAATTGTATAGAACCTATTACTTGATGTAATTGGTGCCTTTCTTATGGTCAATCAAAATCATCCTTTAAGTGACCCATTAGGGAAACAGTACACCTTCCTATCCACTTATGCAAATTATAGATAGTCAACTGCACCGCAAAATTGTTGCAATCGACACTAGTGTCAGACTCACCTGCACTAAACTTTGTATCCCAATCACTCCAGTCCGTGCCAAACTCCACTGGCTCCCTGTCACAGAGCGGATCGACTCTAGTGTTTAAATCCCCCATTCGTTGGCACCCCCCTATCTCTCTAACCTCCTCTCTCCCCACAGCAGTACCCCCTGCCTCCGCTCTACTGGGTCCGGCCTCCTCCGTGTCCGCCGAATCCTCCGCTCCATCATCGGCGGCCGAGCCTTGAGCCACTACGCCCCGAAGCTTTGAAAGTCTCTCCCTCAACTCCTGTGCCTCACCCCCTCCTTCCCCATCTTCAGATCTTATCTGAAGCCTTTCCTCTTCGATCGTGCCTACGGTCACCTTCCCCCTCCCCCTGGCTCAGCCTCGGGCTCCGCCATTGTTAAGCGCTCTGAGATACCTCCCGGCGTGGAGGGCACTATATAAATGCAAGTTGCTGTTGTTGATGGCACCATAATAAGTATCATAAAGCGCTAATCAATGTATTTATAACGTGTATGCGTCATTTCATTCTGAGTTTCCCCAAGCGCAATCGGTAATTACTAACAGCACTTACACTGGCTAATGCTTTCAGCAAAACACAAACTTTACAGAACATATTGCATACAATAAAGGTCATGTTTGAGTATCAGCAGTAAATGATAAGTCACTAACTGTAAAGAAGCTGTAGGTGAGCTCTCCACATCCAGCCGTCACACATTCATAATATCAGTATGATGACGCTGTAAAGGAGCGAAGGACAGTAACCCTCGCTGATCTTCTGCTCACAAACCCTGGGGTGGCGAGGTTCAGTTAAACATCCCTGTGCAATCCAGGCCAAAATCAGCACAGATTCAAAACAACACCCTCCCAAGCTGAGCAAACTGCAGCTCCAACCACTACCACCAGTGATTGTGGATCCTCCAAACAGTGCTTATGCTTCTACAACATTTAGGACTGCACCTGCCAATTGCCTGTATACACTCTCCCCAACACGACGACACGTACAAAGTCCATATTAAATCAATCCAGAATGAAATATTGAAACACACTGAGCAGAATGGCTGTACTGGCTGCTGAGGCACGAGTTTCTGATCCGCCGCCCAGCACCACAGGGTCTAACAACTTTAGATCCCGGACTCAGACTCTAAAGTCCACCCACACTTTACGACTGACGAGTTGGAAACCTTTAAACATCCGAGTGAAGAGTGTGCGGGAGAGAGGGGCTGTGTGCGGGGGAGAGGGGCTGTGTGCGGGGGAGAGGGGCTGTGTGCGGGGGAGAGGGGCTGTGTGCGGGGGAGAGAGGGGCTGTGTGCGGGGGAGAGGGGCTGTGTGCGCGCCGCCGGACAGGTTTCTGCACTCTCACGGTGTCAGGTTTGGCCGCTGTTAACGGGAGACCTGGAGGTGGAGTTCACGGCCCCCAATGCCGCCCCATGAGGGGGAAAGTCACGGGTGAACGAAGCTCCTCCGCGGGCCCCCGGCGCAGGAAACCCGCTCTGCTGCCCTGGCGGCCTCGCCGCCGCCGCCGAGCGCGGGAGGGTGAGCCCCGGGCTGTGTGAGGCCTACAGCGGCTCACCCCGGCCCGGCCCGGCCCCGCCGCGTGCAGTCAGGCGGTGTGAGTGTGCGGGGGGGGGGGGGTGAACGCAGCTGCTCAGCCGCCGCCCTGAGCCCGGGCCCGGGCCCCCGCTCGGGCCTGACCTGTACCTGTGTACACCGGCATTGTTGTAGCTGCTGTTGTCGCCGCCGCTCTCAGCCTCAGCCTCCAACCCCCCGACAATGACCAGGCACTGCGTCTGCGCAGCGGCTCCTCCGCTCCGACAGCCACTGAGCGCCCTGACCGACCCCCCCCCCCCCCCACACACACACAGCACCAGCACAGCCTCAGGCGCATGCGTGAGACACCGCCAGGCCCGCCCTGCCGTGGTAGAGCGTGCGCATGCGCACTCCTCCCCCACCACCACCACCACTATCACCATCACCCGGACCTCCCGTCTGGACTCGATTGACACCGCCTGAGCGAGGATGCCGGGTCGCGCGGGCGGGGTCGTGCGGGTTCACGCGCGGTTGGGCGGGCGGGGTCGTGCGGGTTCACGCGCGGTTGGGCGTGTTTTATTGCTGGGCCTAATTTTTTTTAAATTGTGATCGACACTCGCTAAACCCTCCCCCCTCTCCCCCCGACCCCCCACCCCCCACTTTTGAAAACCTTTTCTTACGCAGTTTGAAAAGCACTGAGAGACCCACATTATCAGAGAGAGGCGTCTCCCGAGACACCCCACCCACTGCTCTGGACCCTCCGGGCGAGAGCTCACGTTCCAAAAGATGTCCACCTGCCTCTTCCTCCCACAAAATATACAGTCAGTTTGCCTTGCGGTACATTGCAAATGGCCCACACTGCTCCAGGTCCCCCGCACGTCCCGCCCCCCACCCTTGGCGGTCGGGCGTTCAGCGACTCTGCCCCCGTACTCGGGCACTCTATGCCGCGATCCCTGCCCCTCACCCCCTCTCTTGCCTCCCCAAGTCCCGTCGAAAGAACTTTCGCTTCGACCCTGCCTTCGACCACCCGGCTTCCTGCTCCCGATTGCAACCCAGCACCTTCCGCCAGAGGGCAGGTTGGGTGAAGTTACAATATTCCCTGTGGTTGAGTTATTTTCTGACCAACATTGTTGAGGCTCAAATATTAATGGCAGTCGTTTGGTTGAACTATGAATTTTATTTTGGGCACCTTGATATCTGACACATACAGTAATCCATCACCATACCATCCAAACCAGACCAAATTCCGCATAAGTATGTCATCTATACATCATGGAAATGTCTGTGCCTGGATTGGAGTGCCCGCTCTCCCAAGAAGGTCATTCCTTACCAGTTCTGGTCAAGCTTCATTGGCTCCCCATCACCGAACAGATCGACTTCAGGATCTTCACAATCATATCCAAATCCCCTCGCTCTCTGGCACCTACCTCTCCAATCTCCTCATTCCCCAATCAACCACCCTGTGCCTCCGCTCGACTGGCCCCGACCTTCTGCTCGTCCCTCACTCCCTCTGCCCCACCATCGGAGGTTGCAATTTCAGCCACTACACTCTGAAACTCTGGAACACTCTGTCTCAATCCCTCCACCTTGTCCGCTCTCCCCTTTTTCAAGTCCCACCTGGAAACTTTCCACTTCAACAATGCTTACATTTTGCATTTGATATAGCGCCTTATCATGTTGTCGAAACATCTCAAAGTGCTTCAAAGGATATGCTGTAAAGTGGATTGACTGTGTATTTTGTGGAGAAATCTTAAAAGAAGCCAAGTGGGAAGAATTCCTGTCCCAGATTGGTCTGCCCCTCCCAAGTTCTGCTTAAGATTCAGTTTGGTTCATCAGTGCCTTGGAGTACTGTGGTCCTGCCTGATTCAGGAACTGGACTACTATGGTTCCCACCGAGGGTTGACTTGATTCTGACATTCTATTGGAGTCAGCTCAGCTCCAAGGAGATTCCACGTACCTCCTCCCAAAAACGATGGCCAACAGAGTTGGCAATTGAGATCATCATTTAGTGTGTAACAAAGCATGTCTGCAAATATACAACCCAATGCCAGCACAGAAGGGTGCAGAGGATTATTGGGAAAACATATTTTTGCTAATAGTTTGTTACCACCTAGTGGGGTATTGGAAGAGTAGAGGCTTGTGTGAAATAAACACCAGCACAGATTAGTTTGGCTGAATGTCCTGTTTCCATTCTGTATCATTGTATTTCGAATTCATCTTTAAAGTTTGTTGGTTCTGAAAAATGTTATTAAAAAGATTAATATCTTGAATTATACAGCAGTTTTCTTCATTAAACAAGATAAATAATAATAATATAATAATAATCCTTGCGTTTGATACAGCGCTTTTCACGTCGGGAGGACGTCCCAAAGCGCTTCACAGAACACACTGTAAAGTGAATTGACTGTATATTTGTGGGCGAACGCGGCAGCCAATTGCGCACAGCAATGTCCCACAAACAGTCGTAGATTGAAAATGACCAATTTATTATTGTTTTTGGTTTTGGAGGGATTATTATAAATCCATATATAATAAAAACAACATGGTTCAAAAGTATTATTTTGGACACATTTCAAACAGAATTTCTTAGGTTCCTGAACTAAAGAATGGCTTACAGACATACACTCTGCTGACGAAAGAGCATCAAACACTATTTTGGGATAAGTTTTATTTTTTGTTATCTTTCTCCTCCCTCCAATTTTCTCCCACTGATATTGGGGCACATCAACCTGTTAACTGTTGAATTTACATTTTGCCAGTTGGGGTCCCTGAGCTATGACCACTGTTGAGACAGTGATACTGAGGCACAGGATTCTTGGGTGCTGGTTAACCATTATATGCCAATAAATCTATGCCAACCAGAGGTCTGCACTCCTGAAGAGTAAGAAGGTTGTTCTCCAGTCAGCAAATTCACCACAGGGCCATCCCTGGTGCACTGTGCAGCAAGATGGTCATAGGAACAGGAGTATATTCAGCCCTTCAAGCCTGTTCCACCAGTCTATTAGATCATGGCTGATCTCTACCTCAGCTCCATTTTTCCCGCCTTTTCTCCACATCACTCGATAACCTTACACAACAAATATTTATCAATCTCAATCGTGAAAATTCAAATTGATCGAGCATCCACAATCTTTTGGGGGAGAAAATTACAGATGAGTCTGGATCAAAATAGTTTCACACAACATACTATAAGAACAGAATGGTCACCATACCACAGGAAGGATATCGTAGCTTTGGAGGTTTATGTACAAACACACTGACAATTTGGCCTGAATGGTCTTTTTCAATGCTCTACCATTCTATGCAATTATATCTGTTGTCTATCTGAATCCCATGAACCCACAGTATATTTATAATTTGGCAGGGCACTCATAATGCTCATGGTCATGTGAAGCCCATTTAACATCAAGATGCATAGCATCAGGGGGATGTTATTCAATTCATGTCAGCCTGGCTTGGTTGGTACCACTCACCTCTGAAGCAGGAGGTTTGTTGCTTCAATCCCCACATTGGGACTTTGAACTTAATCTAGGGTTGGCATTCCAATATAGTGTTACAGGAACACTGCATTGTTGAAAGTGCTGCCCTGCATGTGAGGTGTTAAACTGAAGTCCCATCTGCCTGTTCAGGTGTATGTTTAAGTTTCCATGACTCTATTCAAAGAGAAACCGCTGGGCTGGCAAACAATCCCCAAGGTAAAATCACAACATTTTACAGTACATTCTTTTGAGGTGTTTCAGTGATGTGATAAGATAAAGTTCCAACGAGGTTATCAAACCCTCAATGGCATATGGTTACCTCTTTCTGCATGTCCTGTAAGGTTGCTGTAAATCAGTCCCTCCTGAGAGATATCCCATGTGAAGTGAGATTCTTTTAACAAAAACATTTAATTAAAAAATATATAAAATAATAATCCTTGCATAAGATATAACTCCTTATCAAGTCGCCGATTTATCTCAAAGTACATCACAGGATGTCCTGTAAAGTAGATTTTTGACTGTATAGTTTGTGAACGAAAAAAAGACTTAAGTTGGCTGATGGGAAGGCTCTCATAGGTAAGAAGATCCTGCCACGGCTTGTTCAACGCCTGGCTCGATATATATCTTTGACCATGCTTTTGGTCATCTTTCTCCTTCCACCCCATCCCATGTGCCCAGTGTCAAGCGCTTTGAAATGTCCTCCTGACTTGAAAGGCATTATATAAATGTAAATTGTATTGTATTCATTTTAAATGAATAACCAGTCTCCATGATTGGTATGTCAGACATAAGAAATATAAAACACTTTTTTTTAATAAATTCACTTTTTTAAACAGAAACTTCAATAAAGACTTCAGTCTCTTTGCCCATATTTGGGTAATTTTACTAATCTAATATGCACCTTGAATTAGCTTAACCAACCATTTTTTAGCCTCAATGCAGTATTGTGCAACTGTTGCTCCCAAACGCCTATTTAGAAGAGAGTAATGTCAGTGGCACAGTGAAACTGAGGTTTTGTTCAAACATTCACATCCCAGTTTAGTACCGAATAATATTTTGCAGCAGAAAATAAACTTGTTTGATGAGACAAATTCATTGAAAACACATATACCATCATTTTCCATTAACAAGGCAACTTAACATAGATATGTTTATTGGTACATACCCATCAGTGCGGCTTTCATACCATTTAAAACATGCGTTCATCCTAAACACAAATCCAATTTCCAGTGCTTTTAATACGTGTAACTGCAAAGCCGTTATAAATTACTTTGGGAGGTATTGGATGACTTAAACCATACCATCCATATCATGAATGTGCTCCTGCTTAATGGCAAGAGATAAAACAGCATTTACAACATAATTCCTATATTCCGGAGTGAGTCCTGAAATAATTCACAAGAACACAAATTTGCATTTGCTGCCTTCTGCAGTTCAAGTTTGCTGCATTTTTCCTATGAATAAATCCCACTCATTATTTACCGTTTACATTGCATTCAGAAAGTATTCCTAAATTTTAAAAAAACCTCAGCTTAAAACTCATTTCAAACTCAGGATGGTAAAATCATAATGCAAAAGAAAATGTTTAAGCAGATAGTTATTTGAAATTACGAGTTATTGATATGGCAGTATAACAGTTCTCCAAAAGTAAGGCACTAACAGGTTATGCTACACCTGTTCAAGTGTTTTAAGTAGAATAATTTATGTTTTAAAACAGTGCACAATTTCTTTTTGTTTGTTAAGTTAATGTTCTCTACCATATAGTAAGGATTCATTTGCAAATGTAAGGCAATACATTATAAAATTATTACAAAATGATATAACCCTAAAAATACTCACAAACCTGGTTAATCCGAATTGTTGCTATTATTCTAATACCTCCGTTTGTAATAATTCAATCCATGATATGCTATGGCTTGGCAAAAAAAATGCATAGATCAAGTGATACATTTTGCTCATTCCTCCCAGTTCTGTACATTTTTAGGTGAAGTATTTTGGACAGTAAAATTCTAAAGCACTTATACCAGCAGTATATCAGACTTTTCCATCTTAAAGCTGAGAGATTTATAAGCTTTAAAGTCTCGACAGATCTACACTGAAGGCATGAAAAGTTCAAGTGAATACATGGCTAGTTCCGAGACAATCTCCATGTCTTTCAAGCATCTGATGATAGCATCCGTCAAAGCAGTTCCATTTTGTCTCATATTATTTTCAGCACTTTTGATTCCATATCGCCCCTCCATGACTCAACACAAGCAACCCCTGTAGAAAGTGCAGCCGCCCTGTCCCTTACTTAAATGATATAATGAAAGCTCATTGCACTATTCCACAATGATCCACCCTGGTGTTCACTTGGTTATACAGAAAAGGCAGCATCTTATTTCTAGCTATACTTTATCTTTAGCATTGGGAAAAAAAAACTACGCTAACATGGGCAACCCACAATGAACACCCCTCAGCATGCTTGTGCTTCAGCAGAAAGTGGGGAGTTGAGGAACAATTCTTGCCCCGAAACGTGTGTTTGTATCAAAAGGAATCAAAACCAGTTTTCACTGCTTTGTATTAGAAATTCCTGGTTTTGTGGAAACAGTCCATCATCAGATTCCAATTCCCAAGGTGGTTAGCTGAAATAGAAGAGAGGCCATTTTAAAGGAGAGAAATATTGCATCTTTCTGTGCATAATAACTAAACAGAAAAGCTATATAAAAAAAACATTATTTGGAAGCCAAATTCTATTATGTACTAGACTTCACAGACCATCTCACTCGTCCTCTCTTGACTGCACTGGCTCCCTTACCCCAGTGGATCATTGTTAAGATCTTCCTACCTCTGTGATCGCATGTGGCCCAATTCCCCTGGCCACTCCCTATCTCTGGCCTGCTTCATATCCTCATCTCCCACCAGCTTCACCCAACTATTGGCAGGTGAGATTTCAACCACTGTCAAGGATTCTTTTTCCAAATGCACCCATCTCACTCTCTCCTTCATAGCCTTCAAACCCCATCTAAAAATCTCTTTCTTTGATTTCACCTTTGCACATTCCCATCTTACTTCAAGCTTGGGCTCTCACTCAGTCTTTGTAAAGCGCGTGGGCTCTCCCTATGTGAAAAGTCCTATTCTGTATCATTGCAATTCTAACTGACTCAGCATTGATAAGGGATCAAAACATTCCGGTCTACGTGGCTTAGCACCAGATCACAAAGTGGACTCAATACACTGACCAGGGACCTGGCAACCCTTCCTGAAGGTGTTTAATAATTAATATTTTTTAAAAAGTTTGATATTCCTTTTCAGTTCTTCGTTTAAAAAATATTTTACACTAGAAACTGTTCAAAATTTCACTAAGGTTCTAGCAAAGCAATGTTGTCTTAAACATTACAATTTGAATAAGAACTCTCTTGATTAAAAATGCATGTTTACCACTTGCTTCACTTTATTTATTGATACTTGGCCTCAACTTGAAAATTCATAGTCTCTACAATAATGATGCTGCATATTTCAATGTGTCAGCTGGAAAGGCAAGTAAAGGTTTACCTTTTCTGGTTCCTATTTTTTTGAAAAAAATTATGTTTTTGGCATTTCTCTTCATTGGTTGGGTGGAAGATATTACAAGAAAGTAATCTGAGGGATTCAGTCCCACTCTCAAGTGTTATTTTATTGATCAGGGCATAGCAGTGCAGTGCTTTCAAAACCCTTTATCTGCATTTTGTTATGCTCTAAACCATTAATTTCTACAGAATTTTCAATCAGTTTCCTCTGAAATCGTAACCATTCTCTACCTTTCTTTTACGCTAACTCTTATGTGAGAAAGGTCAGTATAATTTTAGGTGCACGGGTAAAAGTACTACAATTTATTGCAATACCATCTCCTATTCAGGTGGCATTTTACTTTAAAACTCAGATATACATTGAAAGAAAAACCTTCTCTGAATCATATTACCTGGGTTTGCCTTGGACAATGTGTTTGGCAGGTTTGCGAAAAGATTGGTTTGGCACTGATCTTGTGGAAGATGTCCTGGGAGAAGCACGAATAAAGCTTGAGACAGCTGGCGGGGTTTTAGGAATCTTCTTCACCAAATGGCCGATCCATTTCTTCTGCTCATCCTGAGAGCATGCCAATAATATTATGTCTTTAGCCGTGGTCACATCGTAGTTCACTGAAGAAAAGATGGATACTTTCAGCAAAGGTAGACAAAGCCACATTTTACTTTCCTCAGTATAGTATTTATATTTGGTTACTGAGCAGTGCAGATTCACAACCCGTTCTCAGGCCTCTGGAATCTCCTCAGCCTGCTTCAAGTAGGTTGGCAGACAATTCACCAACTGACTGTCCCTACGTTAAAAGAAATGCCTTTTCTTGGTTCAGCATCTGGACCAGATTGATATCAGCATTTCGTAAATTAACAGTGAACCCTGTCTTATTTCAATTACGTGGAATATAGTGTATTAGTATAGATTTAAACCCTGGTTAGCCAGACTAAGTAAGCATAACATTTTAGGCATTTACTTTGTATTTTATAGAGGAAATAGGAAAAAGTCATATGTTGAATATTACAAGATTGTTTTGTTGCTATACACCGTATTTCAGTTCTAACTGAATACAATACATTACAGTACAGTTTACATTTAACAGTGACTTTTTCCATAGTTCAGGGCTTATCATTTGCCACACAGAAAGTTATTTTCAACCACTAAATAAAGTGGCTCATTAAATACATGACGACAACATATAGCGATGCCTACAGGCAATTCTAACATAAATACAAAACTATGTTGTTTACCATTAAACATTAAAACTATTTTACTGAACTACATCCCCACACAGAATAGGTTCAGAATAGATTTTAAATTTAGAAGTAGGGTATCACTGCACCAGGAAACATTTCCTTTTTCCCTCTTAATTCAAATTCTAATTTTTGTAGTGCTTCGCAACAAGCAACTTAGCAGAACTTTTTTTGGACTATTAATTTTGCATCAATCGAAAAAAAAAATCAAACCTTTGCATGGTGCAATCATGTCTTCCTTTTTATCCAAATGATCCTTATGGCACTTAACATGGCATCGCCTGCATTCCAGTGCGGCTGGTGGTTTGAAGACATGCCACAGAGGTTTTGCACAGGCTTCACAATTAGCAGGGAAATGGTAAAGTGTGGGGATGAATTCATGACCCTTATGAGGTATAAAGTCAGGCTTTTCTGTTGACTGGACAGAGTCTGCTTCCACATCTTTTCTACATTCACCTTCATTGGCATACAATATCTGAAAGATTGAAGCATTAAGTTTGAATTAGCACTTCATACACAAAAACATACACACAAGCGCAGATCTAATGAAACAAGTTTGTGAAAATAGGAAGCAAATCTTTTGAAACTTTTAGACACAAGGAAATTACTTTACAACAACAAACTTAGTAACCTTAGGAATCTCTTCAACATTATTCATAAAAATGTATTTCCCTGCTATTCTCTATGACAAACAGAATAATAATAAAGGTGGCAGCGCAAACTAAAGATACTATGTAATCAGGAATACTGGTAATATAAAAGTGCTCAATTTTGAGCAGATGCCAGCAAAAGTTCAGTTTGTAAGCATGAAATTTGCAAATAACGCACTCTAGACATTTCAGAATCCCTTGAAACAAAATTATCTTAAAGTTTCTAACTCCTCTAACCCTTTTAGATGTAAACACTTTAATGCACAATCCTGATGTGGAAATTATTATACCAAACGTAAGGATTATTATTATTTACTTTGCAGTAACAATTTATACTTTACAATAAGCCTTTTTACTGCAACAACTCACTCCCTCACTCTCTCTTTGGGTCTCAGAACCGCAACATAACCTTACGCATTTCAATCAAAAGCACACAACTGTAAAAATGGAGTTGTAAATCAAAATGGGTTTATGGAAGTAACTGTATTTGATCACAAATACCTGGAATATCCTAGGAATTTCTTCAGTCTCTGCCCTATAAACATCACCTTGTGTTACAGGTCGCACATGGAACAATTTGCTGAAACAAAACAATAATTTATTTTAAAATTGATGCAAAATTTTACATATCAAAATTCATATGTACATATAAATTAACTTTCTCCTCAGATCAGCAGTACTTAAGGGTTTCTTGAGAATTTTAAGATTGTGTTTCTTGGGAATCCATCCTTTATTTTACTTTTTAAAAAATGTCTCTTCAATTCAGTGATCTTCTTTGTAGTGAAGGTTAGTGATCCATTCATTTAAAGATTTAGCGTTTCGCTCAATATATGGACGAGTATATTCTGTGAAGCGCTTTGAGAGGTCTCGAACACGTGATAAGACGCTATATCAAATGCAAGAATTATTATTATTATCCCATCATTATGAGTGCCTGAAGTTATTTTGCACTGAATATGTGCAATCTGAAGAAAGTTGATGAATCAGCAATAAAAAGGATTGGCTAATTACAAGATTAATTTGGATTAAAAAAGTCCTTTGACTCATCTGATCTTATCCATCCTATCGTTACAACTTTTTTTAAAAATAAGTCCCGTGTCTTTGCCTCTGCAACCTGGAATATCGATAGAGATCGATAGATTTTTAAAAACTAAAGGGATCAAGAAATATGAGGATAGGGCAGCTAAATGGAATTAGGTTAGATGATCAGCCATGATCTTATTAAATGGTGGGGCAGGTTCGAGGGGCCGAATGGCCTACTCCTGCTCCTATTTCTTATGTTCTTATGTAACCTATTCCAGTCATTAACTACCTTCTGGGTAAAGAAAAACTTCCTGGTATCTGTCCTGAAATTTTACTTTGAAATGTAAACCTAAATCCTCTTACTCTACTGTCTTGGTGCATCCAAAAGTATTGCTGCGTTTAATTTTTCAATTCCATTTAAAATGTTATGCTGTTAACCACTGCGGTCTTGATGGGCTGAATTGGGCTCCTTCCTCACTGTAGATTTCTATTTCTACCTCTTATAAGATCCCCTCTGAGTCATCTCCTCTCCTTATGTCATGATGGTTATTAAAGAGGTCATCAACAAAGGGAGCCATTGCATAAACCCAAGTTTATATAAAAATAAATCAAACCCAAGACTGAAGCATCAACTAGAGATTTGGAAAGGACTTCTTTAAGGAGGCCTTGTAACAAACAGCAAGCGATATGAAAATTTGAATTCTGGTCTCCCACCTGACATGGCAATGCTCAGAAGAGACTAGAAGATGGGAAAATGTAACAGAAATCACTGTCATTCTGTGTCAAACCACAGCTGTATTTTGTTATTGTTATAGTCAATCAAATCATGTGAGATCATGAAGCAATTTCACCCTGTAACTTAGAGAAGCACTGTTAAGTTGTACTTACTCTATATCCAGTACCATAGAAGGATTAGATTGTTCTTTATCCATTTCATCATTGTAAAACAGAATCTTTCTGCTGCTGACAACGACATACTGTGGACAAAGGTGCATCAAAAATCAACTGAGGGCACAATATTTGGGGGAAAAATTGATTTTTCAAGAAAAGTTAATCTCCAATGAATAGCTCTTTAAACTTCTGAAGCAAATTGCCTAATGGGTTAAACAAATGTTAAATCTACAAACAATTTAAGAGTTAATTTTAATTGTTCTACAATTAGAAGCACATAATTAACAAATGTAATGTTGTAAACATTATGCATTACACAATGAAAATAAAGAGGGTACAGCATTCTTGAGAGCTTTATTTGAATATGCTAAAAAGTATTAGTATTGAATGCGATTTTACTCAATTTCATAAATGCAGTGAGTTCACAAATGCTTCTCCAAAGGGCAGGGAGAGAGGCTTAACACTTGGCAATCTCCTAGTGGCAGTTATACACTTGTACTGGCTCCTCTTTTGACTAGATACTATGTGCATACAAGTAGGTATGTTCAAAAAGAATGAATACCTCCAAAAAATACAAGATTAATTAAATGCTGGCCTGGCCTTCTTAGAGTTTCATCATGTGCAAGGGATTTTTAGACACATTGTCAGCCAGACCAATGAAACAACAGTAGTGAAATCCATATGGTAACTTCAACCTGCCAGCAGTCAGACAGCCCAAAGTATTGCAATCTGCCCACACTCTTGGCAACATAGAAGCTGTGGTTCTTCAGCCTATTCAATATCATCCTTGCAGAATATCAAGCATTTTGTCTTGCGTCCAATTTAACTACCCATAGTGGATTGCTGAATGGTTGAGGAACTCAGCGTATGGGGAACAGAATGTACAAACTCATGTTCCATCACTGTGCAGTGAATCTCAAGAGTGGTGCTTTAGCAAAATCGAACTGGACTCTCAATAAGTTAATGAGAACTACAGAGATGTATTTAATGAGACACTGATCTACAGAGACATATTTAATGAGACACTGATCTTCAGAGATGTATTCAATTAGATAGTCATTCACAGAGATGCACTTGGGTAACTCATTCTGCTTGCGTGGGAAAATGTGTTTTTTCTCTCAATCTGCAGTTTAATTGGATGATGCAAATTATATTAAAGCTTCAAAGACTTCAATTTCTTCAAAACATACCTGTTTTTTCCAGCCGTATCTCTTGATATTTGTTCTAGTTGGTATTGATAACCAGCCCTCCATCCTGGATTCTGATTTTGTTAAAAAAGAAAGTTAATATAAATAGTTGATTAATGATTTTGATTTTCTGAATAGCAATACTATTAGGGACGTCATACAGGACTATAGTACCAGCATTTTGGGAATGGAAGTTAAACCAGTATCAAATCAAAGCTTCACCATGTACATGATAGGCATGGCAATTTGTGATCTCCCCTCTTAATTATTCCAACAATAAGTGCTAACCACATGCATAGTCCATTTAAGCTTCAAATGAAAATAATGAAAACCATCCCAGAGAGGGCAACATTGTTATTAAGAAAATAATTCAGCATTCACTGGATTCTTGCTAGGAGAAGATAGTTAATAAAATCTTAAAGAGTTTTTTTTTGCAGTACAAAACCAGTAGCAATATCATGCACTAACAATACATTTTAAAAAGGAACGCCAAAGTTCACTCTAATTTTAAAAATTGTAAGTTTGTGAATGCGATCTAATCTATAAATTTACTAGTTTCCCTATTAAAAATGTGAGTGGTTGCCCTGGAAACTATTTTAACATTATTTTCTGTGACTTTTTTAAAATAAAATTCTGCTAAATTAATTTACTCAACCCCAAAAAGCATACGTTTTACATTTGCTTGAATACATAAAAATAATCCTTGCATTTTGACATAGAGCTTTTCACGTCTTCTAGACAACAACAACAATAACAAGATTACATTTGTATAGCGCCTTTCAAGTCGGGAGGACGTCCCAAGGCTGGACAGAGTACAGCATTTCAGACCCAAGCTGGGGTTGGGGGGGGTAAGGATGGGAAGGGGGGTGGCTGATGGCATGGTCGAAGAGGAGGGTCTTGAGGCGGGACTTGAAGGAGGCTAAAGAGGGGGCAAGGTAGAGTGAGTGGGGGATGGAATTCTAGAGGTTGGGGGCAGAGTGGCTGAAGGCTCTCCCGCCAATGGTGGGGCGGGGGACGTGGATAAGGCCAGAGCCGGCTCAGGGAAGTGAACGGGCGGGTTGGTAGGGGGTTAGGATGTTGCAGAGGTAGGGTGGGGCGAGGCCATGGAGCACTTTGTAGGTGAGGACCAGGATCTTAAACTGGATCCTCTGAAGGATAGGGAGCCAATGGAGTCAAGCGAGAATGGGGGAGATGGGGTCATGGAGGTTGTTGCGGGAGAGGACACGGCCTGCAGAGTTCTGGATTATCTGCAGCCTGTGGAGGGAGGAGTTGGGAAGGCCGACAAGCAGGGCGTTTGCATAGTCGAGCCTGGAGGTGATGAAGGCATGAACAAGAGTTTCAGCGGCCTGAGAGGTGAGATAGTGGCAGAGTTGGGCAATGTTACGGAGGTGAGGGAAGGCAGAGCGGGTCATGGCGAAACCTTGGGCAAGTTTCCTTACTCCACACGCCTAATAATAATCCCTCCAAAACCAAAAACAATAATAAAAATTGGTAATTTTCAATCTACGATTGTTTGGGCACATTGCTGTACGCAATTGGCTGCCGAGTTCGCCCACAAATATACAGTCAATTCACTTTACAGTGTTCTGTGAAGCGCTTTGGGACGTCCTCCCGACGTGAAAAGCGCTATATCAAATGCAAGGATTATTATTATTATTATGGAAGTTGATGTTGCCAGAGCCTGAGGTGCTGAGGCGGTGGCGCGAGCCAATCAGGAGGGCCTCAGTCTTGTTCACATTCAACTGTAGGAAATTTGCCCTCATCCAGGACTTGATGTCCGACAGACAGTCTGTCAGGACAGCAGTGGTCCTGGAGTTGAGGGTGTAGGCAGAAAGATAGAGTTGGGTGTCTGCGGATGATGTCACCAAGGGGGAGCATGTAGACATTAAAGAGGAGAGGGCCAAGGACAGAGCGTCTCAAAGCACTTCACAGAATATACTGTAAAGTGAATTGACTGTATATTTGTGGACGAAATTTGGCAGCCAATTGCGCACAGCAGTGTCCAACAAGCAGTCGTGGATTTAAGTGACTAATTTATAATTGTTGAGGGATTATTATCAGGCACGTGGAGTAAGGAAACTTGCCCAAGGTTTCACCCTGCCGGGAATCGAACCCAGGTCTCTCGCTTGCGAAGCAAGTGCTCTAACCATTGAGCTACAGGACTCCTGTAAATTAAGGAGCAGTACTCTTGAGGAGTAAAATCAACTGATTTTATCGGAGGAAAAGATGCACTAGACCAGAAAAGATCAAATACAATATGAAAAGAGCACAAACAAATTGGAGGTGAAAGGACAAACAATCTTAACTCTGTTTTGGTTCTTCATACAGGAATAATAATCAACTTTAACCAGATCAAATAAATCAAACTAGTTAAACATTTCCTCTTCCAAATGTTGTTCCGCAACAGTTTGGAGGGTCACTTATTACCTTGGCCTATTTGCTACAGGTGGAATGAAATGTTCTGTTAAGATTCATTTGATCAAGATTTTCTTTTCATACAAACACTTTTGAATTATTCCACACTCAAAAGATGCAATACTCATTAGTGATCGGTACAAACATTTAGTTAAGCTAATTTGCAAGTCAGCATTAAGGCCAAGCTCATGTTCTTATAGATTTACAGCTCTTTTAATAGCAAAGAAAAAACACTTTAAATCTCTCCTGTCGTACTTTAGCAAAACAATCATGTACAATAACAGTCAATGTCATACTATAGGTTCACCAGCAACGTAAATATTATCTTTATCTCTCATATTGAAAGGAGGTAGCCTACCTTGAAGTTCCTGAATTAGTACCATACAGTATTTTACAAGCCTAAAGATATTCAGTAAATGTTTACACCCCACAGTAGCACACCTCCTGTTTGCTAATCATGAAACTTTAAAAATGGCCATAGATTTTTTTAAAAAAGGAAATATGCATTAAATGTGTCACATGAATACGCGTTATAATCACCCTCTCTTTTCAAATGAAATCTTCAAATACCAAGATTGTATTCTCAAAGAACAATACATTTATCGAAATGCGTTTACCTTCAAATACTACTTTAATCCTTACACTCATGTCTTCCAATACAGCTTTGAAATGTTCAGAATATTACTTTGGATTTAAACACCCATTTACAAATAAAATGTTCAGGCAAAAAAGCTGTAACATTTCAGTATCAAATAAGTTAAAAAAAAGTCACTTTAAAATGTACATTTGATACCATGCCAAGCTGCAATCAACATACTGGCCATCAATCCTATTAAGATTTGCTCATTTTAAAGTTTAAAAGACAGAATTCTTTTGTATGAATGGAACCCAGTATTTCTGCAAAAACAGTGGAAAAGATGGAGCACAATTTGTGAGCAACTCCAAGCGAGTTATTCAGTATTGGCCAAGATTGTTTAAACTTCAAATTAATCATGTGGGAAAATATTTTTTTATCAGTCAAAGGCAATAAAAGATGGGAGTTATTTTAAAAATAAACATTTGGGGACTCAAAAGTATTTATTACACATTACCTCAGGATCAAACATTTGCTTAGAAGTCATATCATTCTTTGTAGCTTTGAACAGACACCAAGAACAATATGGCAAAACAATATTGCAGTGACTCCCTCTTGCTGCATTCAGAAGGTTGTCAATAAATGGAAATGCTAAAACATCGCCACAATTTATTTGGCAGTTTTTAAAAAAACAAACACAAAATGCAATCTATGTGAGTGAACAAAAAGGAATGCTGTCCCTTAATCTTCATAAAATAACTTAATCAAATGCAAAGAAATATCAGCAAGCAAGTAGAAGATGCAAATGGAACAAGGCTTCCAATTACTCACTGGAAACATATAGATAAGACATGTAGAGGAACACCCAACTAGGCACAAAAAAAAAGAAGTTTCCTTAAAAAGTAGGCTGCAACATAGATTAGATATTTTCTTACCATAATACATTATTTACTGGAACTCGCAACACTTAAAATATCTGGCATTTTATTTAAGTAGCATATCACCAGCAGTTCAAGTATCAGTGGAGTTTAATGTCAGTAGTAAAACACAGATTTCCAACAGCAGTTTGCAGTTCTTGGCTAAGGTGCTGCAGTAAGTCTAGCAGTTTTCAGACACGGAATAAAAACATAAATAGCACTGACAGTTTCCACTGAGATGACTGGAGGCTCTGCCATTCGTTTTATATTTTATTGTGAATATTTTAAGCTAAAGATGATGGCTGTCTATGCAAAATATCTTTTGAGTCCAGTTATCTCTGAGCAATCCTAGGTCAAGTAGCAGACAGCCAAATGCAAAGTAAAGATTGCTCATTTAAGGAAACAGAAAACGATTCTGCCCTTTTATCCCCCAAAATATGCATTAACTTTCAGAAGTCTTCCTCCTTAACATAGCCTAAATGCTTTCACTTTTGGCCTTGGAATGAGTTGCCAATATGCATTCAATTACAGGGCATTTTTTGTATTGTGGCTGCATGTTCACTCAAAACTAGATTGGGGCCCTTATATCCAATAGATATACTTTCATCCTGGGCTGAATTGAAACCTGCATCCCAAAGGTTTGCAAATCCACAAAATCCAGGTTCTCCAAAATTATGCAATATACCCTCTTGACCAAGATCAGGATGGATGCGTGGAGTAAATTCTGTGAATGCCATGGGATGACGCAAAATGTACATTAACATTTAAATACTGTGCTAATCTGTGATTTGCTATAAAACTAAATTCTGACTCAAGAGCTGATAAAGCTTTTAAGTAAATGATCTTTTTGAATATTCAGACCACGAGTCAATGTTCTCTCAAATTTAACAGTGTACTGCAAGAAAATCTTACCAGCTACATTTCCATCAGATTCCTCCGATTGCAGACTGGCTAAGCTTGAGGTATCCATTCGGAGCTGGAGGTCCTGAAGCTTGGAACGGAGCTGCTCAAGATCACTATCTTTACTATCAAGCTGCATTTGGAGCTCTGTTCGCTGACCACACTCCTCTCCCAATTGCTATTGTAACAAAGCAAAATTAACATTGGTAGTCAAGAAATAGAATGTCTTCAAGACAATAACAAGTCTCCATCTAGCCATTTTTAACTAGAAATGATAAATGAAGCAACAACAATATCGTGGCAGCAAATATTGGTCGCATCACAATAAAATGTTTTACCCACAACTTTGTCAACCAGATAATAAATAATAATGATTATAATTCTTACATTTGCAATAGCAGCTTTCATGTCGGGAGGACACCCAAAGCGCTTCACAGGATAACTGGAAAGTGCAGTGACTGTGTGTTTTGTTGGCAAACAGAGCAACCGATTTTCACAAAACAATGCCCCACAAACAGCCAAATGAACTGCCCAAGGTTAATTATATAGTGCTGAAGATGCAAACCATGTTAATAGGTTAAGAATATTTCAAATAATAAATATATTAGCCAAAGTAATTTCTAGGGGATCAGAATTAAATTCTAAGCCTATATTATTTACATCTTGCTCAAAGCACAATTTGTTGATTTACTGTTCATATTTTCATTTTCAAAAATTGCAATTAGTGTCCAAGGATTCGGTGGGTACTTGTCCTCTGCATTGCATTGAGTCAAAATGGACTAGAAAGATTTCAGGTTCAATCTCTAATCTGTTGGTCTTGCCATGTTTTTTATTGGAGATGATAAATGATTGTGAGGGAGACAGTTTCCATTCCCAATGACTACCACCCTATGACTTCTGCTGATAGCGTGGGTGAGTAAAGTGTCAGACTCTCGCTGATGATGGCGACTGCAAAAAACCTAAATATATATGATCGGTTAGATAGACTACAACTTTTTTTTTAAAAACTCTTGATTTTTTTCCTCAAGGGCTTGTAAGCTTTGTGACATTTTATTTTTTAAAAAACATACTTCCTTTTGAATTCCAAAGTCTTATGGAGCATTATGGTAATAATGTAAATAAGGCTTCCTTACTGCTTGCATTTCAACCATATCCTTTTGGTGTTTCATAACCGTCTGACTGAATTTCTCTCTCTCTAGATTCAATTCCAGTTGCAGTTTTCGGTTTTCCTTTTCCTTTTTCCGGAGATCCGCAGTATTTGCCTTCTTTCGATCCACTTTTATATCTTTACGGTTCATAATTTCAGCCAGTTTATTAACAGCCTAATTGATGAAAACACACAAGATACATGAAATTGCATCCATAGGACAGAAGGAATACTTGTTTTTGTTTTACAAGTAGTTGTTTATAATTAGAACTGGCAATTAAAATACCTGTGTTTTCAGCGTACGTTCCTGGTTAAGTATTTTTTCATAATTGACTTTCATGCCATTTAAGTCATCCTCCTTTTTTAGTAATTCTGTAAATAAAAGACAGTTATTGATCATAGACCATTTCATGCAGATGGAATACATTCATATGCATTTGAGAATATTCCGAACAGCTAGGTGAATTTAATATTAAAAAAAAGTCATTCTTGTAAGTGAAATCACATTTCGTAGGAACAGGAAACCTGGTGCTATGAGTAGGGAGGAGTAGTATTAGTAGAGAACTGGGAAGAGCCAATGTATCTGCAATCTGTGTGCTATGGTAGATGGAGAAAATAAAATGCAACTTTCCAAAGGAAAATACATAACCTGTCACCATCTTCAGCTGATGAATATGACAGACTTCAAAACTCAGGATTGGAATCAGAAAATAACTTGAAAGGATTTACAGACAGCTAGAAATATGAGGTGGTCATCATGTAAATACTAAGCTCATTCACAGCCATTATGTTTTTTTAAATGCAGAATATTTTCTCCATTTTCTGATATTTGCTTTCCCTTTGCAAGGAGCTAGTGGGTCTCCACTCAGCACCTCCCTGTGCAGTGGGGGCCGAGATTGAGAACACAGTGGAGTGGAGGATAAAAAAACATTTTACTCCACTTTGGTTGCATCTAAACATTCTAAAGCACAGCACCACCCAAACATGTTAAGATAGCTGTAGCTGAGTGATTTACGGACTTTAACATACACCAACACAAGCTCCTCTTATGTAATTAACAGCATGATCTAAAGCGCTGAACTCCATTATGTTTTGAATTTGCTCAGTCAGTTTACTCGATATTTGTAATGTTTGCACAGTTGAGGCTTTATAGAACAAACCTCTATAGAGCTTGAAGCTTCAAATTCGCCCATGAACTATGGATATTTCTCAACAGAAACAGGGATCAATTATTTCAATCCTTAATTAAACCAGAAATGTAATTTAATTGATGAGGCAAAGTGAACCTTAGGTTTCGCAAAATCAGGTGACTGTGATTTTACATCTCTGAAAAAGATTGAAGCTCCATCTACAGTTAGGGAAAACAACAACAGCAATAAATAGGCTTAGTCATTGATTACCTTCTTCCATCGTATTTAGTTTTTCATCAAGCTCTGTCTTTTCCTTTGATAGATTTTCTGCATCTTTGGTCAAGGTTCGATTTGACTCTTCCAACTAAACAAGAAACACACAAGTTTTTTTTTCAAAAAAGGCGGATTGCCAAGAGACAAATAATAAATAAAGTTTAAAAATTATCCTAAGCTAATACACTGATTAGTTTACTTGGTTTCCTGTGTGTAAAACATTTTAGCTTACTAAGTTAATGGTGCTGTCCTTCTCATTCTGTTCTTGCTTGTGTCGGGTGATTGCTTTCTTCAGTTCCTGATCAAGTTCATAACACTGATCTTCTGCAATAGCTCGGGCTATCTGCTCAGATTCTGCTTTAGTTATTGTCAGATCCACTTGGGAAGATAGCGAGTTCCTGAGAAAAATAGCAGAATGTACAATGTTACTTTGGTCAATGCAGCTACTCACATATAACGTGCAATAGTTTGTAGATTAAATGTTTCAAATCTTAAGAAGGAAAATATGGCGAAGAGAACATGAAACATATTCCAGATAAAAGATATGTCACCCATAGAACCTTACTCCAGAATGTCCCTCTGCTATATTCAGAAGCAATAAGGATAGAAAATAGTAGGAAAAATGGAGAAAAAATAATCACTGAAAATTTAAGGATCATTGTACTTTTATTAAAAATAGTCAGGAAGTTTATGAACAAATGAGAGATGAGTTTTTCAATTTACAAATTTAGCTATGAGTTCTAATGTTGTTCTACGTCCTATAACTAGCTGAATATTAATTTAACAAAATGTTTGCTTCTACAGAGGGTAGAAGGTTAAATTCTCAAGATTGATGTGTCATTAATGCACTAGTGTCTCCAAAATACTCTGTTTACAAAAACAAGTAACATTTTTTTAAAAAAAGCCACATCTTATGAGAAAATATTTATTTTTTCAAGGAGCAAGCCATGTTCAGAGAGGGACCTTTGAAAATTCCCAAATACACTGATACTGACAATGATAAAGAAACAATAATTCCTAAAATCGGATTTGCGAGATTATATAAAAAGTAAACCAACAAAAAACACCTATTTGTCTTGTGGCTCTATAGAACCTTACCACTATTGAGCCCTTAAAAAGGCCAGTTTATTATTCAAATTTCACTAATACCTTTCATTGTTCAGCTCTTGAATCCTCTTTAGAAGCTCACTGTTTGTTTGGTTCTTCTCCGTACTTTCCTCCTTCAATTCCTTAACCTGAGTCTTGTACAGAGTCTACAGTACAAAAGGCAAGGATTATTTTCCATATTTAAGTAGTATTCACAAAGAACAGTTCAATCTGAGACGTTCCATTTTAACGATACTGACACTTTGAGGAAAACAATATAAAGCAGGGGACAAAGCAAGTAAATGGGATAAGATCATATAGCTTTTAAATATCATAAGCTTGGTGTGCCAAATAGCCTCCATTTGTTCTGTAACTTCAATGGCTCTATGCTGATGGGTGCAAATGAGACATTAGATGGGAGATGAGAGGAGATTCAGGGTGTGGTCTGACTGTTAAGAACTAAAACTGACCTTTCAGCTTTTTATTTTTTGATCCCACTTAAATAACTTGTATTTATATACCACCTTTCATGTATCATAAAAATCTTGAACTGCTTTACAAAGATAAAAGGGGACAATACCAGCCATAATACAGATAGATACTTGGCTACCCAAATGATGGAGATAGTCAAAAGATTCCTCTTTCCATCCCATATTGCTGAGGTGGCAACCATTTATGACATTCTTGTGATAAGTGTTTTAATGAAAGTAACAAAGATAAATATTGCCAGTCTGTGCTTGAATACCAAGATGGAATAAGCCAATCCATCCTACAAACTGAATAAAATTCTACAGTCTTGGTATACCTTTAACAAGTAGTAACTGTGGTAACTTGGTAACACTTACTGAGAAATATTGCTCTGCCTCAAGCTGGTCTTGAAGTTCTCGCATCTGACCCTCATTTCCTCGATACTGTCTGTTGTAAAAGAGACAAACAATTCAATAGTATTGCTTCACTTAATATCAGACAGCGCTTTAAACAGATTTATAATAAAGCTACCGTCAAAATGTGATAGCAAACATCAGCAACGATGAAAAAAAACACACAACTGCAAACAAAATTCATATGTTTCTGCAGACGAGTTCACTGATTCACCAAGTCAGATTAATGTACTTATTCCACTGAAGCCTACCCCACAACTCCCTCCCTAAACTTGTGCCTTTTTATGAGCAGAGCTTTTTTTATTGGAAAGCCATCCTTTTCACGTGTCTTTGGAATGTGTGACAATAATCTGATGTAATTTAATTTCTGATATCTTTTCTGTGGGAGTAAACCACCTGAGCTTCAACCGTGTCTGAACTCGCACGATCATGTGTAGTGGCTGCTAAGTGTCCAATGCCACAATATACTGGTACCTCACCATACTACCCCTTCGCAGCATGCAATATTTTTAATCTATGAATTTAATCAGTAACTTTTGGAATTGCCGTGTTACTACTTTGAAGACCATTTTGAAATGTTCAAATTGGTATATACTACAACATTTTCTTTTTAAATATTCCTACCAATTTTTAAACTAAGCTATTCACCAATGTTACAATGCAAACAAAACTGATATTTTATGATTTCCAAGCAGAGATACATACTTTGTGAGCTGCGCTAGCTGAAATTCCAATGACCTCCGCAATTCCAGCGTGGTATTGATTTCTTGTTTCAGTTGCTTCTCTGAGCCCGTAAGAATATCCACTTCAAGGATCTGTGCCTTCAGTTCACCCTGTGCCATCACCCTTTTCTTTACCTCTTGATCGAGCTGCAGCGTAAGATTCTTCACCTATATATTTAAAATAAAATGACCAATTCTTCAAAGAAAAAGCACTATAAAGTTGCACATGACCTCCTGGCCCAATCACGAAATATTGATTATAACATGTCCATGCTTTGCCTATTGGTAGGATTGTGTTTAACTAAATACATCACATTGACACGGTACATCTACAAAAATAGATCTACCTTTGTCTTTTTTTACATCCTCTCACCTCATCTTCCAATCTCTCCTTTTGCTTACTGAGCTGTTCCCATTTCTGTTGCGATTGCTTCAGATCCACTTCCAACATGGAGCATTTCTTTTCCACTTCCACTACTTGATTCTCTGCTTTCTGTCTGGACATCCTCTCTTCTTTCAGCTTCTTCTCCATTCCTTCTCCATTCAAGTAGCAATTTAAATTAAAAACATTTTTTTAGAGAGAAAACACAGTACACTGCATATGCTTTCATAAGTTGATGACTCTGAAAGTGTTAGACGTCATGTAATAAACATAGAAAACCCATTGGAACAATTACAACGGTGAAGTTAAAGAAAATCTCAGCTGCTAAAAAAAANCTAATGTTTGGACGCTGTTCAATATTTTTAAGTCACAAGTGTTAGTTACATCTGGAAGAAGTTTATCATGTTTAGGATAAACTGTAATATCTTTGCACTGAAGCCTATCCTACATCCAAACTTAGGGAGATGTTTCAGTATTTCATAATGGAATTCCTTAATAAGGGAATTAACTTACAAAAATGGAGATGTTATCTGATAAAACAATGCAGGAACTTTGCGATTTACTTTCAGAGCAAAGTAACAATGGGTTGTTGAGAATTCTAATTGATTCATTATTAAAAAATCCCATTAGAAATACCATATATTAGATCCTGGTGCATCTAATGCAGATAGAATTTAATGTGGGGAAGTGTGAAGTTATTCACCTAGGTAGCAAAAATAGAAAAACAGATTATTTTCTAGAAGGGGAGAGATCAGATAGTGTTAGTGTTCAGAAGGATTTGGGTGTCCTTGTACACCAGTCTCAAAAAATTAGTTGGCAGGTGCAGCGAGCAACTAAGAAGGCGAACGGCATGTTTTTAAAAAAGAGCGATTAGGGGATATGGGGATAGAGCAGGTAATTAGAGTTAGGTCTGAAGATCAGCCATGATCTTATCAAATGGCAGGGCAGGTTCGAGGGGCCAAATGGCCTACTCCTGCTCCTAACTCTTATGTTTTTATGTTCTAATGTGTCTAATGAATCAGTCCAATGATTCTGACACAAAAATACAACATGATCGACTGATTTCATCCCTGCTTCCGTGTGTGCTAAATAAACTACATATCAGAAAAGCCATGATTATTTAGTTGCACATGTAATTATAACTAAAATGATGTCTTTCAAATATTTTACGGAAGGAAGATCTTTGCAAATCATACACTGAGGAAACAGAGCACGAATGTTGACAGATTACATACATAACAAGAATTTGACCGCTGATGTTTCTATTTATTCATGTAGACGATTTTGAGATGGTGCTCAATCTCAGAACATGCAATATGGACACGTATCAATGGAGAATTTAAACCAAAGTCCTTGAAAATTCAGATGAAAAGCAAATACTAACCACCCATTGCCACAGATCTTGCTTCTTCTATGGACTCGTGCTCATCTACCAATCGAGCTTTGGTTACTCTGTGCTCTGTAATCTCTTGATCAAGACGTTGCTGTAATGTTTTCAGGTTATAATTCAAATCGATTTCCATATTGTTCTTTTCCTAAAATGGAAAGAAAACATGGAAATAATTACATGGTGCATATAAAACACTGAACAAACTACAAAAATAGGTTATTTATCAGAAATGAAAATAAAAGGCTTCTAGAATAACGCACAGCAAATTACAATCTAAGTTGTGCTCCTATGAAAAAAGCTGAAACATATCCATCCTAACGACAAGCGGGAAAGTAACTCACAGGCTGGGCCAATAGAAAAGTGCGGCCACAGTTTTCCCGCGGAATCCGCTATAAACACCCTCCTACAAACCCGCTTTAAATAAAAGTTTCTGGCCCATGGGCTGGTTACCTGATGTCACAGTTGGCAGAGCCGTGCGTTGCAAGCAGCAAATGGGCTTCACTCGGGAGGCCCCGCCGTGGTGATTGTCTGTGCCTGGGTGTGTTTGTGAGTGTCCGTATGTGTCTTTCTATGTGAATGTGTGTGTGTCTCTGTGTTTATATGCGTCTCTGTTTGTGTGTCTCTATATGTTTGTGACTGTCTCTCTTTGTGTTTGAGTGTCTGTGTGTCTCTCTCTATGTATCTGTGAGTGTCTCTATTTGAGTGTCTCTCTCCATGTGTCTGTGAGAGTCTTTGTGAGTGTGTCTCTCTCTCCTCTGTGTGTGTGTGTGTGTGTGTGTGTCTACGAGTGTGTCTCTCTCATATGTCTCTCTCTGTGTCTCCCTCTCTGGATCTGTGTGCGGTGCCGGCCCTGAGAGCCAGGAGGTGGTGAGCTCCTTTCGCCTCGCCACCCAGTTTATGTTAAAGAAGTAATTTGTCTTTTGCAAAAATCTAATGTGTTATTTCCTTGTTTATTTTTATCAATAAAATGAAAAAATGTAGGTTGGCAGCAAAATGTACTTCAATAGCACCAATCAACTCCCCGTCATTTTCCACAAAAAGTCCCCCGCAATTTCCCACTCTCCCCACAATGTTCGGCAAATAATTCCGCACTTTTCTAATGGCCCAGCACTAGGTACTCTCGTACACCTTAATGTGGCTTCCTGCGAGAATGCCTGGGACTAATAGCCAGACTGGAGCTGTGCCAAAAANGATAAAGTGGAGCAAAGATATGTACAACAACATGTATATGGTGTGAATTTGTTTCACAGCTATTCTTGTCATTTTAAAATGGTTTGAATTGATGAAAAATTATATTATATTTCAATAACATGCATAGATATGATCTCAGTTGTGCATTAATTACCTTTTCTAAATTGTTAAGCTTGTCCTGTGCCTGTTTCTTTTCCATCTCTGCTTTTGAAAGATGAACTTTTGCCATTTTCATTTCTTCTTGTAAGGACGTGTTGCATACTGAAAGAAACATTTTGATATTCTACAGGTGCTGATATATACAGAGGGATTTGCAATTAAAACTGTGGAATAATAGATAAGAACCCAATCTCCCGCTGGCCTACTTGAAACCCATAACTAAGTAAAATCTGGTAGGTACCATCCGATTGTTATGCATGAATTGGAACCCATGCTGAACATGTGAGGAAAGCAGCAGACATTTAGATAGGCAGTATGAGAAAAGGAAAAAGTTTACATTTTTAGATATTTATCACAAGTGAAAGTCATGGAATGATAATGAACCCAAACCCTGAAATTATGGCATCATATGACTGTTACAATAGCAGCATGTGTTTTTTTTCCATCTGCTGGCAATACACCATGTGTTGCATAAGATAGTTTCATCACTTTGTATTTCACAAATGGATTAAATGATCCAAAACACACTAGAGTAGTTATGTACCTTTTAAAAATTGGTTGTAAAAATGTCTATTTCCCTAAATCTCTCTTAATTTAATGTTAAATTAAGATTATAGTTTTGAATGTTAATTTTGTGTGGTTCACTGTGTTAGGTCATTTATTTTCACTTCACTGACTTGAGGTTCAAATGAGATTAATTTGTATGAAAGTTGTTTTCTGGCAAGTATTTTGGGCAGTCTTCATGCAAGTCTCAGCTTACCTTGTAAATTGTTGATAATTTCTGAACCGTGGCTGCGGTCCCTTCGCTCAGTATCTAGAGCCGACTGGTGCTGGATGACATCCTTCTCCAGCTGTAGCTTAGCATTCTCCAAAGCTAGGTTCTTCTCCTGCAGGTCCCTTTGAACAGTCTCCAACTGGCTCAGGGTCCTAGTTATTTCAGTTTGACTCTTCCGCAATCGTGCTGCTGTGTCTGCTTCACATCTCAGCAAAACATTAGCTTCTTCTAGCTGTTTGGAAAAAATAACATTAAGATATCCCATCAAGCAAAAAAGCTCCAGTATTATCTGAACAACTGCAAATAACCCCTGACCAGTCTCATTAGATCCTCACATTAAAACTTTAATCTACTTTAGTCCATTTAAAGGAAAATTACATTAGAAAACATGCCATTCAGTACACAGATTTAGGACTTACTTGTTTTTGCAACTGCGTTATTTTCTCATTTGAAATGTGAGAATTCTGGCTCATTTTCTTTAAGTCCTCCAGCTGTTCTTTTAGCGTAGATACTGCAGGCAGATAAAATTACCAAACAAATGAAAACTACAACCTGAGCAAATCATCAGTTAGGTTAGTAAAATATTAGCAACCTTTAACTGGATTATTCTTATTCAGGACCTTGCTTTCCCTTATATTTAATGTGTTTTTTTTCCCATCACTGAGACAAGATTATAGTTTTGAGGTTTATCTAGTTTCGCCACAAAACAGTCACTGCACCTTACAGTAAAATCCTGTGAAGAACTTTGGGACAATCTTCTGACAGGGAGTATACCAAATTAAGGATTATGCATTCAAACAACAGTGTAAAATTCTCTACCCTCCAACCCCTTGAAATACTTCCTGTAAATTTTTTAGTCAGTGTTCCCACTATTTGGTCTTTATTTCCCTCTCCCCCAGCACTTTGGAATGAAATCTATCCAGCCACAGTGACTTGTCCACTTTAACTGCCATTAATCTTTTGTCTACCACTTCCTCATTGATAACTGTATTCAGCAGTTACTTTTTCACACCACTATCATCCCACTCTCTACTCATCCATCCATCTTCCTTAAGTGTAAGCACAGATTCAAGGCATATCAGCCTTTTGCTAACTCTGTCTGCACAATCTGTTTGCCCACTGTATCAGTGAGTTAACCTCTACATATCTTGATTAGCCTCCTATTCTATGTGTCAATAAAGCCTTTATTACGAAATGTAACCACTATATAAGGAAATGCCCACTGAGAGACTTCCAAATGTTGCCTAATCCGAGATCTACGTAAGGTTAGGGCAATAACCCACTGCTAGCAATGCTCAAATGGAGTCGAGATGCATCCAATTACTACCTTCTAGGATAGACAAAAAATTACCATGAAATGAAAGATAAATGTGTCATTATACATAACAATGCACAGTCACCCAGGCCTTAGTTTAATGTCAAAATATGTACAAAACACAGACTGGCATTTTAACACATTTCTAATATAACAGTTACACTTTGAGTAATATCCATTTAAGCTGACCTTCATTTTCTAAATTGCGCCTCTTTTCAGCCTCTTGCTCCAACTTCCTCTGGTATTCATTCATTTTGTGTTGTACCATAATTTTTTCTTTCTCAAGATGAGACACATTAATCTCTAAACCTTTTTTTGCATTTACCTGTATAAAATAAAAACAAAAACATAAGATAGTTTTATCTTTATCTATTCATGTGAGTCTGTTTAGCTACAATAACCAGAACATTTATAAAGGGAAAAGGGAAACATGAAAGTGATGTTCAAAACTACAGATAGTTGTCCTAACACCATGGAGGATATGTATTCATGGGGGCAGATCTCAGGTAAGATTTTATTGTTCTCCATGTCAGAGTGAGGCAATAAGCAAATACCATATAATAATAACAATCCTTGCATTTGATATAGCGCCTTATCACATCTTTGAGACGTCTCAAAGCCTTTCACAGAATATACTGTAAAATGAATTGACTGTATACTTTGTAGACAAAACGCCAATTGCACACAGCAGTGTCCCAAAACAGTCGTGGACTGAAGTGACCAATTTATTTTTTATGTTTTTGAAGGACTTATTACCCCTGGAAAAGCAATCCATCAATCGACTAACAACCGGGTTCCTACCTACTGCTAGGTAAACAGAGGCATGTGGAATAAGGAAAGTTGCCCAACATTTCGCCCTGCCAGGAATCGAACCCAGGTATCTCGCTTGCAAGGTGAGTGCTCTAATCACTGAGCTACAGGACTTCACGTCACCTTCTCACAACTGAGGAGAGTGAAAAAAGGACGAGATACATTGGAACACATTCAAAAATCTTTAGTGATTGGATTAAAAACACCATGAGCTAAAGTCTTTAAAGAGGTTACTGTTTCATTTCTTCGGTTAAAATAATGGAGCCAGAATAACATTTGCTTTTTTCTCCAATTTTCATCACTCCTTCTCTGAATATACTGCCTCATGTAGAAGTATGGTTCCACAGCTGTTGGGTGTTCTCCTCTACATCACCAAAGTAGCAATTCTTTACATATGAATCTAGATAGAGTATTTGAATAAGAGGCAATATAACCAAGCAAGATGCTATCCTTGCTCAATGTTCACAATGGTACACATTCCAGGTGAACAGCATTCAGAGGCAGGAATATTTATAGATTTTTACCCTCCCAAACCCAGATACTTTGCCACATCATTCAAGATTAGTTTAACTCAGCATAGACCCAAGTTCAAACCCGTGGTCTTCTGGATTTTTATAGCATAATATCTCTATTGGAAAAGCTAGAGGAATATAAATTAAATTCTGGTGGTTAATGTAAAGTATTCTTGAGTAAAATATCTTTAGAAGCACTTTAGTGTAATAATAAACAAACTTGAAAGTAAAATGAATTACCTCATCATCTAGTTCCTTTGTTACTTTCTCTAACTTCATATTTGCAGTCCTGGGGAAAAACAACTGATACTTTCACATCAGAATATAATTAAAGTGAAAAGAGGAGTGAAGATACATGATCATACATGAGGTAGAAGGGAATAGCAGTATAGGAGAGGGGATTAGAAGGGGTAGAAACATGTGTGGAGAACAAACAACAGCTCAAACAAGTTGAGCTAAATGCTCTGTTTCCGTGCTGTATCATTCTATAATCCTTGCCCACAATCTCAGTATAACATAGTTGTATATGGCAAAATCCCTAATGTGAATTGGATTGCTTAAGATCATGCTATGCTTCCTGCTTGACTGAATGGCAGAATTACTATGAGAGAAGGAAGAAATTAGTGAATCAAGAAAAGTTTGGGTGATAGTGTTTTTTACCTAGATTTTTGCTCCCACTCATCCTTTAATTGCATCTCATTATGTAACTGCTCTTCAAGTTCGTAATTTTTCTTTTTCAACTTTTCAACCTGAAACGAAAGGAATAAAAAACAAAAAGGTCACAAAAAGTCATTACAAATGTTGCTTAGTGGGCTTCTGGACAAGTGCAGAGCTCTCTTCTGTGAGAGCAACCTGGAGTAGGAAGTATAAAATAAAGCTTCCTGCTCAGTATAAACTTGACATAATAGTTTTAACTGCCTACTTTTAATACTCTCACATTCACATTCCTCACTTATCCTATTAATGCAAGGAATATTATTATTACCTGCATATATGGCCTAAAATGAACTTGTTCTAATCTTAAAATCCAAATGACCAAAAACACTCCTGAAGCTGTTTTCCATTTAGTTTCCGCTCCAAAAACATTACTTATTTTTATAAGAAAGTTTGACTCATTCTTTTTTTAGATTCAAAAGGAAGGAGCAATACTATTAAGGGACACTGAAGCACATACGCCCACACAACGTTTAAACAATATCAGAACATAAACAATTGTATTCAAAAATATGAAAATCTTACATGACCATTGTCCACTGCAGAACTGGTTTTAGAATCAACGGGTTGCCGAGAGGTACTAGAATTCCTAGATTAAGAAGAGTGAAAACAATTAATTTTTGAAAGTATTGCACAGTCACTAAAACATGACTTGAACATCAACATAGATGTTCAGCAGCAGTCACACACGTGGCTCTGTACAAATCTGGATTCCACAACATTAGACTAGGACACTGGAAAGACTTGAAGAGGCAGACAAGATCTTGGTTTGAAGTCTCACGTGAAGAGCAGCAGCTCAGAAAATGTAGTACTCCCTTGGCACTGTAATGCAAAGTGCTGACATAGGCCCACACTCCTCTCACTCAGAGTCAAGAGTGCTACCAACTGAGCCAGCAATTGAGCACAACAAGTTTACTTTTATAAAGCATTGTTTACAAAAGACAACTAATGTCCCAAAGCAGTTAACAATGGAAATGATGGACTGTAGGTGACCGGACATGATGAAAGGTTTCTGAAGGCAGCAAGGTAATGTGATTATCAAAGAGTTCCTGGGGACAGAGTGTGGCGGCTGCTGTTTCATCCTTCAATGGAGGAATGTAGGGAATGGGGAACAATACTACCAAAATGTTCCTATTTGTAAATTGATTACATTTTTTTCAGTATTTTCTATACTACACATCTTAGTTTAAAGCGACACCTACCGTCAGATTTACCACAAATGGCTCATTTGTATTCAGAACATTAAATACTGGTACTACCACAATAATTCAACTCTACCAATTTCATTTTACTCACTGATGATCTTTGTAATATGTGAAGCCAACAAAAGGTAACTGGTTGCCAACAAATGCCTTTGATATAGGAAATGTTTCTTCCTCTCCTTTATCTTCTTCTATTTCATCAAAGTTGCTCGTGTCAATATCACTGCTCAATTCAGGCACAACTGGTGCAGAGGCTGTGACAAAATACAAACCCAGAATTAATTTCAATATACGTGATCATTTTTCACATGAAACATGTTTTTCAGATATTTCTCAAAATGAAATGCCGCACATTACAACAACAATAAGATTACATTTGTATAGCGCCTTTCACATCGGGAGGACGTCCCAAGGCACTGGATAGAGTACAGCATTTCAGACCCGAGCTGGGGTTAGGGGGGAGAAAGGAGGGGAGGGAAAGGGGGGGTGGCCGATGGCATGGTCGAAGACGAAGGTCTTGAGGCGGGACTTGAAGGAGGCTGAGGAGGGGGCGAGGCGGAGTGATTGGGGGATGGAATTCCAGAGGTTGGGGGCAGAGTGGCTGAAGGCTCACCCGCCAATGGTGGGGTGGATGGGTCGGGGGACGTGGAGCAGGCCAGAACCGGCTGAGCAGAGAGCGGGCGAGTAGGTAGGGGGTTAGGAGGTCGCAGAGGTAAGGTGGGGCGAGGCCATGGAGGGCTTTGTAGATGAGCACCAGGATCTTGACCTGGATCCTCTGAAGGATAGGGAGCCAATGGAGTCGGGCGAGAATGGGGGAGATGGGGTGCGGGAGAGTTCTGGATTATCTGAGGCCTGTGGAGGGAGCAGTTGGGAAGGCCGACAAGCAGAGCGTTTGCACAGTCGTGCCTGGAGGTGATGAAGGCATTACCTACAAAACCTCACAGACTATGATAATAATCCTTGCATTTGATATAGCGCCTTATTATGTCTTCAAGACATCTCAAAGAGCTTCGCAGAATATATTGTAAAGGGAATTGACTATATTTTGTGGGCGAAATGCGGCAGCCAATTGTGCACAACAGTGTCTCCCAAACATTTGTAGATTGAGGGACCAATTCATTTTTTTTTGCAAGGAATTATTACCCCCGGAAAAGCGATCCACCAATCGACTAACAACCGGGTTCCTACTTACTGCTAAGTAAACAAGGCTTGTGGAGTAAGGAAACTTGCCCAATGTTTCGCGCTGCCAGGAATCGAACCCAGGTCTCTCGCTTGTGAGGCGAGTGCTGTAACTACTGAGCTACAGGACTCCAATGTAGGTGAAATGTAGACTGGAATAATCAGCGAAAGAATGGATGACAAGTGAACGGGACACTAATAACAAGCAATGACAAGTTTCTTGGCCAGTGAACATAAAGAACATAAACAGTGGAACACTTTTCTTGAGGAATTATTGTCTCGTGTGTGGAGTAAGGAAATTTGCCCAAGGTTCCACCCCACCAGGAATCAAACCCAAGTCTCTCGCTTGCGAGGCGAGTGCTCTAATCACTGAGCTACAGGACTATGTGATTCCAATTCCCGACACGGGACTTGAACCTGCAACCTTCTGACACAGAGTCGAGAGTGCTCCCACTGAAGCCAGGCTGACACACAACATTGGCGAGAGAAAAATAAAAAGAGCTCTACATCTAACTGTATAGCTCCCTTGGGAGAATGCTTGATGCGTAAATGAGAAAATGTTCCATTTCCTCTTATACATAATACATTGTTTGTCAGTTGCTGAGTTAAAATAACACCAGCCACAGTTAGTTCTCCACCTGCTTAGAAGCATAAATTTGCTTGATGGATTATAATTTAATTGTCCAATTATTTAATATATTATTATTGACGGTTAAATCACAACGGAACTGTTTCATCAGACAAAATACAGCCTTTTCACTAAGGATATAATTAATGAGTGGCAGTCCCAATTATAGATCCCAGATAAAGAAAATTTCCATGAAAAGGCAGACAGGACCTCGGTTTAACATCTCATCTGAAAGATGGCACCGTCGGCACTGCATTGGAGTGTCAGTTTAGACTATGTGATTCTAAGTCCTGATGTGGGGCTTCAACCCACAACCTTCTGACTCGGAAGCAAGAGTGCTACCACTGTGCCAGGCTGACACACAAGAATCTTCAGGGTAACTTACTTTCTCTAATATTCTCCCATGTCCACTGGTCATTTTTAAAGAAAGGATGCCGTTTAATTTCTGCAACACCATTCCGACCCAGTCTGACTTCCCTATGGAAGAAGATCAAACTGTCTGTTAAAAGCAATTCCTTACTTCATTTTAGGAAGTACAGAATAGTTCAAGGAAAAATTATAAATAAGAAAGCAAGACCATGAGAAAAGAACATTAAGGAGATTAAGGCCACTTCTGCCAGAAACAAACAAAAAATTGCCCATCATGGACATTTACAACTCTCAAATTCTCAATGGAAGCTTCAAAGGGGAACCTACCAATCCCAAAACTAACAAAAATTCCAGAACATTCTTCATGCAAACTATTCAACCCAAGCCCCTATCCAGTGTAACAGACATTCTTCCTCCTCTTTCCCCCTGAAAATTTGGGAGTCGTATGCGTTAGGAAAGATAGGAGCCGAAAAACTTGTATAAAATATTATCTATATACCTGTCTGTAAGGAAGGCACAGATGAGGCTTTTTGCATCCTTGGAGATGTCATTGTCTTCAGAAAACGTTAAAGTATTTTTGTGATTCATGATTTTGCTGTATGTTCCAACCAGTGAATCTGCATAAAAAGGTGTATCACCTGTAACAAGGAAGATAGCCTATATTAGTGACATAGATTCAAATCTAGGAATTGTAAGAATAACCCTAGCATTATCACACATTTCAAAATGTCTCAAAGCATTTCACATCTCAGAATGCTAGCACACAGACCAAGATAATGCCTTTCAAGGTGCTGACTAGATAGGATAAGGGAAAGTAATATTTCTAAAAGGATTGAATAGGGAAGAGAGCTTTAAAAAAGTTTAAACTGTTCAAAAAAACACTTCAAGAGGCAAGAAATCATGACAGAAAAGTTGAAAAGGGCAGAGTTTTTATTCGAAATAAAGTTTTTATTTAGATTATTTCCCAACTTTCTGGGACAATTACATAAGAACGTAAGAAATGCTAGATGAAAAAAGACCGAGGTCCATCTAGTTCGCCTTCCACCTTCCTGCCAGTCAAATGCACATATGTCCCATTCTTTCAAAAAATGTACTTAAAATTCTTCAATTGAAGGAAAAGTAACTATAATGGGTCAAATAATCCCCTTAACTGATTTGCAATCTGGAGGACATTCAATTTTATCACTCAATTTACATACGTAATACAAAACACAGAACACATTGTTAAATAAAAACTGAAAGCAGAATAATATAATTAACTGCATTGAAGATCACTCACCTACAAGCATTTCATATAAGAAGACTCCAACTGACCACCAATCACATTCCCTTCCATAATAGCCATCCCCTCCCTGAGATTTCAGCACTTCAGGAGAAATGTAGTCAGGTGTTCCCACTGCAGTGTCACATCGCACCATCCCTTCCTACAGTGCCAAGGAGAGCAGTTATTTCAAACATGCTTGGCTGACAGAATGAATCACACAGAAATACATTTCAAGACAATTGATTCATAATTCTTAATAAAAGATCAAGTTGTTTTAGACATAATCTAAACTCCTCAAATTGTTACTGCCTTACAATAACATTTTAAGCTGGTAGCGTTTCACCATAGTAATACCAAATAGGGATACTGTTATCAATTTGATACCATAATTGGGATATTTATGAGAACAAATGTGTATTAACCAGATGGATTACTTCAGATTAGCTTAGTTACAGTTTTGGTTCAGTTTGAAGCAAGTTGTTCTCAGCTTAGTGAACACAAAACATACATTTAGAAATCACAAGATGAACAACTACTTAATTATATCAGTGAGATTGTAAATACATTAATGTTGGAACAAGGAATATTACTACTTACTTTATTCATCTTCATGCAAGTTCCAAAATCTGCTAACTTCAGATGACCAGCTTTGTCGAGCAACATATTATCTGGCTTCACGTCTCTGACAAAACAAAACCCGTTTTTTAAAGAAAGCCAAATTTGACAGATTATAAAATAATTAAATGCAAATAGTCAGTACTTGCAAACACGTGCATTTCATTTATATAAATTACTGAATATTTTTAAAAATATATTTTGTAAAATGTGTAAATAACTATGTTCAACTTGAATGATTATCAGTTCTATTTTAAAAAATGTTCACATTTATAACTGTATAATTTAATGATTAATTACCTATGAATGAAGCCCATAGAATGAATTGCATCCAAAGAAAGTACAACTTCAGCTGTATAAAATCTGGCCCATTTTTCAGGCATGTCGTAATTGCTCATTAGATTTACAAGATCTCCACCAGGCATGTATTCCATCACCATGTAGAGATAGCGATTATCTTGGAATGCGTAGAACAGCTATTAAGACAGTTGAAATACAGAGTTTATCATCGATTCAACTGCAGGAACCACAACAACAACAAAATTACATTTATTGAGCACCTTTCATGTCAGGAGGACGTCCCAAAGCGCTGAACAGTCAGATGTCGGGGCCCAAGCTTAGGGGAGGGGTTGTGTAGGGGTGAGGGAAGGTAGAGAGGTGGGAGGAAAACCAAAGGCACGGTCGAAGAGAAGGGTCTTGAGACCGCCCTTGAGGGATGCGAGGGAGGAAGAGGGACCGTGGGATGGAGTTCCAGAGTGTGGGGGCAGAGAGGCTGAAAGCATTTATGATAAGTATTACTCAAATTATATAATTTCGATAACAAATTTGGAATATGGTGTTTCTTGTGAAAGCTGCTGATAGAACGAGACATTAAAAATATCAACACTGCATAGATCAATTTGTCCAAAATTACTAAATAATCAAAGAAATAAAGAAAATTCAAACACAAATCGAGAAAACAATCTATTTAATTCTCTAATAAAGTAAATGTGTTCTGTAGAATTCATAAATAATCTTCAATAAACGGTGATATAAATTTCTGCTTTGTTGCAAAGTTTCAAAATGCCATACTTTTTTTTCTTTTCCCTCACTCCATCTCTCTCCAAAGTAGATTTTAAGAAAATAGATTGCCATTTTGAAGGTGACAAATAAGAGGGTCAAAAATCACAAAGGGTAGGAAAAATTGTTCTATCCATAAATATGTACATAAATGACACAATGCATAAAGTGGGTTTCGAGATAAATGAATGAACTACACATACACAGGACGTTTAACGTGTTCCTACACAGGGAAGGGCCCCAGACTTCAAATTTATGTTGACATACATGGGATGTCGATACCTATAATCCCAAAGGTAGGAACACCAATGCAAAGATATATTTCAGATTATACCCTGGATTTTTCTGATAAGAGCATAAAGAACATTTTATGCTCTTTGAAATGTGTAAGATAACTTTTCAAATTAAAATAATCTTTTCTGTAATTCTGATAAGAGAAATTGAATTATCGATTCTGATTTAATCCATTTTAAACAATGGTACTGTTTAATATGATTCCATACAAATTGGCAGTTATTTTAAAAATATTCAAAATACCTGAACAACCCATGGACTATTTGCAAACGCCATGATGCCCCTCTCTTCCCAGAAGAATGCAGAATCGGATCGCTTAATCATCTCAAATTTGCTGAGCAATTTCATTGCAAATACTTTCCTTGTATTTCGATGTCTCACCTTAAAAAGACAATAACAATGGCATGGAACTCAAAAAGGTGACTTTGCTGGATTTATTCATCATGTTAAATCCACTTTACCCCCATAACCTTTAATAGCCAGTGCATTCTTTTTGTAGCTTTGTTTTGCTGTAACACAAGTTATAATATTCATGAAACACATTTGAACCTATCACTATATTTGTTCAATTGTTTTGATTTACAAATGTGGAATTTTAAAGTAACTAAATTGCAAAATGTTAAAATATTCTCCATTTGCCCAACAGTGATTGTGAAAAGAGCAAATTACGGCTAGTTTACATCCTCCCAGAGGAGAAAGTGAATCTACACATGACTCACCAGGAGTATAGTATGATGGTGTGAGGGACTAATCTGGGATGCAATACAATGGTGATTGGTGTATCTCAAAGTGCTAACACATGGGGTTTACACCGTACTGTAGCTCAGTGGTTAGAGCACTCGCTTTGCAAGTGAGGCACCAGGGTTCAATTCCAGGCAGGGTGAAACCTTGGGCAAGTTTCCTTACTCCACACGCCTAATAATAATCCCTCCAAAACAAAACAATAATAAATTGGTCATTTTCAATCCACACTGTTTGTGGGTCACAGCTGCCGCAATTGGCTGCCACGTTTCACCCACAAATATACGGTCAATTCACTTTGCAGCGTATTCTGAGAAGCGCTTTGAGACGTCGAGAAGACGTGAACAGCGCTATATCAAATGCAAGGATTATTATTATAAATCTCCACAAGGCAAATTCGCCATCTCAATTGGTTTCCCTAAAGAGGCTACTACCCTTTTACAAGAAGGTCCCCTGCAAAAGTAGAGGCTAAAGGTGGAGTTAATCCACACTGCTCTTATGTATCTTATGGTGCCTGTTATACAATAGTAATGGCAAGCACAGTAATATATCACACGGTTGTACTTCCACTGCCACATGCTGCCAGAGATCTAAATAGAAGAAAATACCTTCCCAAATCAAAAATAACTGAATTTTTAAAAAGCTAAATTTGAACTAAACGTTAGTTATATGTTAGACATACAGCACAAAAATAAGGCCAGAAATGCAACATTTCACTAAAAAGAGTGAAACACCTAACTGACCACCAGAGGGCCATTAAAAAATGTAATAATGAAATTGCAAAAGGTTTTAGGCCCTGAAAAATAAGGTGCTGTACATATTTTCGCACATTACTGAATTATCTATTAATAAACATGCTTTGGAAAATGCAATTCTTCTTTCCATTACACCCCAAATATTCATTGAAATATAAATCCAATAATGTATTGGATTTATTTGAAATTTGAAACAAAAATAGAGAGAGATGGTAAAACTCAGCATCTATGGAGAAAGGAAAGTGAGTCAACGTTTCGGGTCCATGACCCTTCGTCATAACTGTTCTGACGAAGAGTCATGGACCCAAAACGTTGACTCACTTTCCTCTCTCCATAGATGCTGCCTGACCTGCTAAGTTTTCCCAGCTCTCTCTGTTATTGTTCAGATTTCCAGCATCTGCAGAATTTTGTGTTTTATTTGAAATTTGTTGTTTTGAAGAAAATTATACTTCAAATGTTTATATTGTAACTCATTAATTTTAACAATTGTTTGGAAGGTTTTTCTTTAGTGTCTTATCACATAAAAGATCTTGAAGTCCTTCATGGGCTGCAAAAATAGTCAGGAAATGAGTTAACTTGAAGGATTGTTGCCCAGGACACCAGGAGAAATTTTCTTCTGTTTCTGAATAGAATCATGGGATCTTTAACATCTACCTGAACACAGGTGAGATCCTTGGTTTAATGTCGCATCCAAAAGTCAGTAAAAATGTACAGAATTAAGGAAATAATGAACATTTCATGTGTTCTACTTCACTAAATTGAGAAACCATTAAAGTATTAGATAAGGACACATACAACAAGGCATTAAACATGGTATTGCATACTTACCCAGACCAAACTCCATACCCACATCACACCATTTCTGGCCAGGCTCCATTGGATCCCCATCACCGAACGAATCAACTTCAAGATCCTCACGCTCATGTTCAAATCCCTTCACTGTCTGGCACCTCTATACCTTTCCGACCCCCTCACTTCCCATTCCACCACCCGGCACCTCCACTCAACCGGCTTCCCGCTCGTCCCTCACACCCTGCACTCCACAATCGGAGGTCGCACTTTCAGCCACTACGCCTCAAAACTCTGGAACACTCTCCCTCAAACCCTCTGCCTTGCCCCTTCTCTCCCCTTTATCAAGTCCCGCCTGAAAACCTCAATATTCGACCATGCTTATGGCCACCTCCCCACTCCACCCGGCTCAGAGTCAGGCTCCGCCACTGTTAAGCACTCTGAGACGCTATCCTGCGTGGAGGGAGTTATATAAGTGCAAGTTGTTGTACATAATAATATCTAATGTGTAATACTTGCATTGGTATAGCACCTTTCATATCAGGATGATGTCCCAAAGCATTTGTTATAGCGCCTCATCACATTGTCGAGAATCTCAAAGTGCTTCACAGGATAGACGGTAAAGTAGTTGACTGTATATTCTATGGGCAAAACGTGGTAGCCAGTTCCACATAGCAATGTTCCACAAACCACCATGGTGTGAGTGATCAATTTTATTTGGGGGATTGCAGGCCAGAGCATCAGGAGAAAGTCCCTTCTCTTTTCAAATAGTGCCATGGGATCTTAAATGTCCACCTGAACAGGCAGATAGGACCTCAGTTTAACATTTCATCTGCACGTCCAACAATGCAATACACATACTTAGTGTCATCTTGGAATATGTGACTCCACGTCCCAGCGCAGGGCTTGAACCCACAACCTTCTGAGGTGGCAGCACTGAGCCAGACTGGTACATCTTTATGAGAATTTTTAAAAAATCTTTATATTTGATACAGCACTTTCACGCTGTGAGGATATCACAAAGCACTTCACAGGATATACTGTAAAGCAGAGGAACAGTCTATTTTCTAGTGAACACAGCAGTCAATTTATGTACAGCAAAGTTCCGCAATAAGCTATATGATGAATGATATATTTTATTCAGCAGATTGTTTGCTATGACACAGAGAGAAATTTCCTTCTCTTTTCAAATAGTGTTACAGGATCTTTAATGTCCACCTGAGCAGGCAGACGGGTCCTTGGTTTAACGTCTCATCTGAAGGACGACACCTCTAACAGTGCAGGACATCCCCAGCACTACATTGAAGTGTCAAGCCAAACTCTTATGAATTCAACGTGCTGACGTGGGGTTTGACTCAAGAAGCAAGAGTACTATCAACTGAGCCAGGCAGATTATTCAAGAAAGCAATTTCTTTAAAATGTTTTTGCAAAAACTTACCAGCTGAACTTCACCAAATGCTCCTCTACCAATCACTTTAACAACTTCATAATCTTCTGCTTTCATCCTCAGATCCCGAACTTTACTCATTGCATCTTTATCTATTAAAACAAATTAAAAAATACAAATGTAAAAATGGCATGTTTGGAAAGTAGCTCTTACAGTAACATTTCAATCTTAATTAAATAGCAAACTTTGCCTAATAGAACAAAGGCTATTCAATCAAAACTGCATACAGATTACTTTACAATATGCAACTCAGCATTATATACAGAAGTTACCATGAAGTAAAATATGGATTTTTCTACTTTTGAATAATTTGCAGCAGATTGATAGAACTCACTGAGCTTTCACTTCCTATTTAAGTGTTTAAGCATTCATAGATTAAAGGAAGAACTGCTTTGAAAATGTATCGAAAATCAAAGATAAGGCATTTATTTTTCACCCCCATCAAGTTTTAAATTAAAATTGAACTTTAATTCTATAAACAACCATGCTGTAATAAGAGTGAAAATAACTATCATAATGGATTAAAAATAGCATCAAATGTAGTTAATTCAGGCACATTAACTTACAGCAATTGTAAGATACTGCACTTGTGTTTCTAGTTTGCTTTTCAAACTTGACTGAATCGTGAAATGGCATGGACATGGAATTTTTGTATGACAAGCTACAGGGCAACCCCTTTAAAATACACCCAATCTGTTGGGGATGCAAAACAAGGGGGCATAGCCTTAAAATTAGAACCAGACCATTTAAGAGTGAAATTAGGAAGCATTTTTTCACTCAAAGGGTGGTACAAATCTGGAACTCTCTCCCCCAAAAGGTCGTGGATGCTGGATCCATCCACACCTTCAAGAAAGAGATTGACAGATTTTTGGTAGGTCGGGGTATTAAGGGATATGGGGAGAAAGCAGGAAATTGGAATTGAAATTCTAATAAAGATATAGATCAGCCATGATCTAATTAAATGGCAGAACAGGCTCGACGGGCTGAATGGCCTACTCCTGTTCCTATGTTCCTATGTCTGCTTATCGCCGTCACATCCTGTGTGTTAATGCTATAGCCACTTCCTGAGTGCTGCACATGTGTGGTGTGCAGAAGAAACAAGAAGTTTTTTTTATCTATTATCAGTGTTTATTTAGCACACTTCATACAAGGTAGTGTCTAGTAGTGCTTAAAAAATATTATAATAATTCTTGCATTTGGTAACTCCACTTCCACATCGGAAGGATGTCCCAAAACACTAACTGGTTGTGCCATAACATCTTTAATGTCCTCCAGCATAGGCAGACTGGAGCTCGATTTAACATCTCATCCGAAGGTTGGCACCTCCGACAATGCAACATCCCTCCAGCACTGTATTAGAATACCAGCATAGACTTTGTGAGTTCAAGTCCTAATATGGGGCTTTTAAACCCACAATTTTCTGACTCATTGACAAAATTGCTACACAAGGCTAAAACCCTGCTGCTGACATTTTGTGAAGAGAGTAATGTCAGAGGTAAATCATGGGTATAGGCATAACCATATTAGAGATACAAGCTAACTTTGTGCACATTCAAAACCAGTAAAGTTTGTGCATAGTACCTCATTCAAGTCAAATGCAATCTAATTCACAAACCTGATAATTGACTTTTCAGCTGATCCAACCTCAAGGACCAAATGTCCGTAATTTGAGAGTTAAGAGGAATGTTAAATGTTTAACTGAACTACAAATAAGGGATTTGTATTTTGATCATCATTCACTTGAAGTATCTTTTCAGGAATTTTCAGGTATTTTACAGGAGCAGTCTGCTTTGTCCACAATTACAAATCATTAATACAGAGGCTCTAAGAATAGAATTCAGTATACAACATTGACTTCCTGGCTTTTTGGTCCCTCAGAGGCAAATGTTTCCTCTCAGCTGAGTACTGAGTACTATTCCTTTAAATCTAATGGGATTTGTGGAGGGAACAGGACAAAGGAACTAAAGAATGATTATAAGAATGACATAAAAATATTTCACGGTAGATACAGCAAATCACCATTAGATTTACTGGAAGAATCTAAAAGTGACAGTATAAAAGTTTAAAATTCCAACCACTCTAAATTAATTAAGATTTCTCTTCCACAGAAACAAAAGGAGACAGAAACTATAATGGTGGGGGGAGGGGAGGGAAACACAGCATTAAAAAAAAAATCATCCTACATATATCTTCAAATGCAATTTTCATCTCGGCCTTTGACCAACTGATGTTGGCTAAACTGCCCGGCAATAATTAAATTCTTGCTTCTTTGTTGACTTGCTTGTAACATCCTTCACCTGGTTACTATGGCAAAGATGCCCAAGGTCTGGTCCACAGTCCATACATAAAGTGTGAGTCCTGGCCATCCAGGGCTAGTTTAGCTTTTTTGTACTAGTTTTATTTCCCACATAATTCTTGGAAGAAATTTCTCAAAAGAAGAATCCTGTAAAGTATTTTGTTTTGTTTACCTCAAACATATCCCAAGCAAAATATCGACCCTGACAGACAGTAAGAATGGACAGTGTGATTAACCAATGGTGCTGAGAAAGAGGGGAAGCCAATGTAACAGGTGATGTCTTGGACATCACCATCATCGATAAAGCCATCTCGGACCACCACTTTATCTCCCTCAACACCTCCGAACCCCTTCCCCTTTCTCAACCCTCCACCATCACATACTGTCCGTGGAAAAACAGTGCCTTGGGACGTCCTCCCGACGTGAAAGGCGCTATACAAATGTAATCTTGTTGTCGTTGTTCTTGATTTTTACTCAGTGCCAAAAAAAGGAGTGGGTGAGTGACAGATAGATACACTGAGGTTGAGACAGGAAGAAGCAGCTCAGCAGAGTGAGAGATCTAAGGCCAACAACCCATATAGAATGCCACATAAAAAGTAACTTGCAATACTATGAAGCTCAGAAATATTTTTTAAAAAAACAGCTTTGTGAATTTGAAATGAAGACATGTTTTGAATACCCTATTTAGGAACGTTTTGTTGTGGTCAATAAGATATGCATGATGGGCACAGTACATCCTGTGTGAGGATAGTTTGTCAGAAAAACTGTAGAATATGAGGCAATTTTTTCCCCTCTGAACTATGAATGCACTGCAACAAAGCATTCCTTGAGTTCAGTGTTTTGTGTTGCAATTGTTTATATGTGACTTTCAGGGCTCTATGCTAAGCAATTAACTGTCTCACCACGACAAAATGTTTGAAAACTCTTGTTCCATCACAAGAGAAAGCCTCTTCTACTTGGTGGTAGGGGGCATACCATTTCTCGTGGTGTCAGCCTAACTCAGTCGGTAGCACTCTCGCCTCTGAATCAGAATGTAGTTCCCCAGATAAAATTGGTGATTCACTTCATGGCTGTTTGTGGGACATCGCTGTGTGCAAATTACCTTCCATGTTTGCCTACAAATTCAATCATTACACTTTACAGTAAATCTTGTGAAGTGCTTTGAGACATCTTGACGACATGATAAGGCGCTATATCAAATTATTGTGAGTTGATTGAAGTCATTTTGTGTTGTGGCTAGTATTATATGTTCATACTAATATTTAAGTTTGCTTATGGTTTGCTACATGTGGCCTTTTATTCTTACTGATTGACTGACGGTTATTATTTCTCAATCCACATATTTCGCAATGAGTAACAAAATAAGTTCCTTCCCAATCTGGCTTTTTAAACTCTCAGCTCGTGAAGATTCAAGTTAGCATACCAAAATATTCTGAAGCTTCAACCAAATTTTAAATTTAACCAGCGTGATTCTTCCTCCCTCCTCCCATACCTTAAATATGCTCAAACAGTATTCCAAACTGTAAGTTTCATCAGAAATTTTCTATGCACAACCACAACTGTGTGGCGGTGTATATCAACAAACTGAATGAAAAATCCCCTGAAAAATATCAATAACTGTTTGTGAATTCACAATATGGACTGGAGCAGAACAATTATAGGCAAAAATCAGCCGACATAGTTTTAATACCCACATCAAACTAAACACAACTTTCTCAGACTTTATTTACATAATTGCTGCTAGTTACAGTGGCATGTACTTCAGATCAGCTGACAAAATGAATTTTTAATCAAGATCAACATTCTATTTATTTTGAACAGTTTCATCCTCCAAAATTGGAGCTGATCTCATCGATGCTCCACTCAATCTCGGTTTTGCATCAATGCCCAGTTTACCCAGTGGAACGCAGATTTTATCATCTGGCAAATTTCAAGGAAAATAAATGAAACAAATTTCCCACAGGATTTCTATGCACATTCAGGAACAGTGCTGTGGAACTGGCTGACCCTCAACACCAAGTGAACTAGTGACTTAGAAAACAACTTCATTTCATCATTTCCTAAAAATAAAAAAGATCAACCCTTTCAGACTCCGCCCAAGGACAAACCACAATAACTAGCAACAAATTGGAACTCATTTTTTCCTTCTGGAGTGACGCAGGCATGTCTACATAGAGAAAGAGTGAGACTGATTCACTGTTGTGAGAACTATAATAGGAAAAGAAGTTTATGGTAGGGAGTCTTACTCGGTTATAAATACTACTTATTGAGGAGAGCTTCAGGAAGGGGTGGGAAGAAAGCGTCAGGTCAAAAATGTCCTTAATATTATTCTTTTGTTTGAAATTTGGATGCTAGTACCAAAGTTCGCTTGTGAATACTTCGTTTTCGTTGGGGGTTGGGGGAGGTGGGGAGAGACCAGCGGCAGTACCCCAACACACACACACTGAGCCATGGCTCCTGCCAACATGTACCTAATACTCTCTGGAATTAGGTAGGGTGTGTCTCTCCATGCAAAGGTGAATTCCATTTAAGATACAAGAACATTTATACACACAGAAGGCATATATATGTGAAACTCTGTCTGGTTTGGATATTGTTAAGCATGATGATGGGTTTCTACAAATATCAGACACCCAGCTGATCAAAACAAAATTGAAGAAGGAGGAAATGACAACAGCACTTGCTTTTGCAATAGTATCTTCTGCTGACACAGCTTCATGAGGTGCAAGTATTTGCATGAAGAAGCTATGGCCTGTTATCCAATAGATTTAGAATTCAAAATGCCATATAAAAACAGTTATATCACATCCTTGCTGAATGGTTTCCTGATTAACACAAATTATGTATTTTGGCATGGAATCACAGAAGTTAGGTGGAGGCTTGTTTTTTCATAAAGACTTTCACATAATAAAATAACGTGTCATATAGGGTCTATACAGATCAATCAGAAACTACAGTATTGTGCATAAAAATTGGTGAGAACCTGATTTGTTGTATCAGAAATATACTAAGGAGTAATATATGCAATACTCACATCGATTTATGAAGTTGTCAACATTTTTGTTTTTTCTTAAGGCAGGGAAGTCCAAATCATAAATCATGGCATCCAAGCTATCCTACAAGAGAAATCACAAGATGTTAACAATAAACATAAAGTGCAGACTGCATACTATTCAGGCTCAACTTGCAAGGAAACAAAAAAAGCATGTTAAAACATTTTTATTTACAAACACTAATTTTGAATTTGTACAAAAAAAACAAATGTTGAATGTTTAAGCCCCGTGAAAAAATTACAAAGTAAATTCACTACATGGATACAGATTAGGAAGATCCAGAGTTAGATCCCAGACCTTTTCTGGGGCAACTGATCTCAGCCAGGGTGATACTGCAACCAGTAGTTATATCTTTGGGTTTTAGTGGGGATGGGTGGGGGGGTTTGGAGAGGAGGTTAAGACAAGGGAAAGAGTAATTAGTCACACAGTTCCTGTTCCTTCCGTACTACAGGTGCACACGTGGATGTTATATGAACACAGCACGAGACATAGACACAGCACGAGACATAACTGTTGTGATTCAATAATCTTGCTAACACATGCTCGTACATGAAGATGTGTTCTCGTGGTATAAAAAATAAAACTTGCATTTTTATAGTGTACATCAAAACGTTTCAAAGTACTTCATAATAATTATTGTAAAGTTTGATGGATTTTAATTGGCCAAACGCAGCAATCATTTTGTACACAGCAAACAGCCTTTAGGTAAATAATCCAATTAATCTGGACAATTACTATGAGAAACTGCCTTCACTTTTCGGATAGTATCATTAGATCTTTAACAATCACCTGATAGGAACTTGGTTTAATACTTAATTCAGAGAACAAGACCTCCAGCAAGTACTCAACTGGCGTGTCAGCCTGGACTCTGAGCTCTGGTCATGATGTGAAACTTGAACCCACAATTTTCTGGCAGAGAGGCGAAAGCGCTACCAAATGAGTCAAGCTGACTTGCAATTATACTCAATTTATATTCATAATAGAAGTATGAGGCACCAACTTCAGAGGAAGTGGATAAGAAGAACATTTTGGAAAAATTAATACAAATTTACAACTCTGTGCTGCTGGAGACAACTTTGGAGAAGTATTTCAGTATTTCAGACAAGTATTTATCTGTTATAAATTTGAACTTACAAAAATTTCAACACCTAGTACAAAATTCTTAATTTATTGAACTGTACAATATCATTAAAATCAAGTACTGAATAATTATTTCTTCTTTTGTTACAAGAATTGCCACACACATTATAATGTCACAACACTTAACTACCAGTTAGTTAAAATATTTTGTTCTAGATCAGTAAAGAAGAATCACACGCAGATTTTATGAACTTGTACAGCAGTCACCCCTGGAGAAAGAAACACCTAACGCATATGATACTTTTCAACCAATCTCAACATTACAAAGAAGCACATCGCATTACTTTATCTTACGTACATTGTCTCAATGAAACCATCACTGAACAGAAAGGCAACTAGAATATAAATAATGCACTTCTAAGTATAGAACACACACATTTGGTTATTTAAGTGAAATTGACCATATATAACATGTGACGAAGTTGTGACTGTATTGTGGAGTCCTAACCATAGATCCAAATATGGCAATGAAACCCCTGCAGTATCATGAAGCATAATTTGTTTCCTGATTCTAGATTCTTTGGTCCACAGCAATGATTGAAAAGTTTATTGAAGACATAGTAATTTTGTTGGGGTTGTTAATAATTAACAGTAGACAAATGAAAAGTGGAAAGCAGAACAGAAAAATAGTATCTTAGAAAAAAAGCAGAGAAAGGAGATTAATTTACGTATGTGCAGAAGAAAACACAACTATGAATATAAACACAACAACAAAATTACATTTGTAGAGCGCCTTTCACATCGGGGATACGTCCCAAAGCGCTGAACAGTCAGGTGTCGGGGCCCGAACATGGGGGAGGGGTGGTTTAGGGGTGAGGGAAGGTAGAGAGGTGGGAGGGCGACCAAAGGCGCGATCAAAGAGAAGGGTCTTGAGTCCAGCCTGGAAGGAGGCAAGGGAGGATGCGAGGCGAAGGGACCGTGGGATGGCGTTCCAGAGTGTGGGGGCAGAGAGGCTGAAAGACCGGCCACTGATTTTAAAACATTTGTAGTTTTTCATTTAAAAGTATACAGAATTGTTGCAGAAGCAATATATCATACTTCGCAAGTCCAATGCAATTTGTTTAGCGGGAAACTGGATTTGTGGATGAGAGATACTCAATGGACAGAGTGTGCCTGACATTTAAAAAGGCATTTGATAAAATCCCCACATTAAACTTCCAGACCATCATGGCATTAATACCAAGTTATAAATGTGTCTACAAATCGACTTGGCAACACAAACCAGAACAATACATGGTTGAGGTTCTATTGGGTGTGGGGATGAAGAACTCAGCATCTTAGTTGATTATCACATGAGTCTATTTAAATTTGCATCAAGCTACAGTATATGGTAAGTATAGGACAGATTGAAGGCACTCAAAGAGATCAGGACAGATTAAGTAGATTTGCTCGGGGGTGCTAATGAGTTTTAATATTGATAAACAAGTGAGAATATAAACAAACAGTGTACACTATGGATATTTATTGGCGAAAAGGAAAATGGTGAGAATGTGAATGCTGACCATTGACAAAGTATTCAGTATGATTTTTGTCAACAAATGAACTAGTTAAGAAAGAGGATGAATCTAGATGTCATTTGATAAGTTGAAACAGGTTATTCAACCTTGTATAAGTCTTCTTTGACAAGGACATATTAGGAGTATTCTGCCCAACTTTTGGATCCATACCTTCAAAGAACCACGAAGGAACTGGTGAATTTTCTCAGAATCAGGAGGATTCCAGGAATTTAGTCAAAGTAATTATGAAAAGTACACAAAAAATTAATTAAGGCTGGTAGGAGACATGACCCAGATTGTTATACTGTATAAACTTAAAGTATAGATAAGTATATCAAGCGCTTCGAGACACCGTCCGACATGATGGGTGCTATATAAATGGAATTTGTTGTTGTATATCTAAGCAGGTTATTTTAATTGCTACCAAGCTATGGGTCAGAGTTCAAGAAGAGGGGCTAACACACATACAAGACTCAATCACAAAAACTTTTTCATCAGCTACACTGAAAGCCGAAATATATCAGGTCTTTAAAAGGCTGTTTTTATATCCATGGTACGTTTACTTTACAGCATTGCTGTTAAAAGCAGGACTATCTTGGGTAGAGGTGCTGTACATAAGTGACCAGTGAAAATATTCGGAGGGTGGGGGAGGGGTCTGAGTAAACCTCAGTTAAAGTGTCAGTCCCCATTAAGACAGGTGAGTTGTTGGCTTGACTGGCAGATCCATCGGCCAGGCAAAGATGAGTCATTTCAATGAGCAGCCCGCTGGACCTGACGTGGGCAGGCTCCGGCCAGTGACATGCTGGGAGGTGGGCAAGAAGAGGCCTGAGAGTTGGGGCCACTCGGAAGACTGGCTGGGGTCCTCCTCATGTCTCAGAGCTTTCCCCTCCCATTTCCCCTTAAAGAGCTGAGCTGCAGATAGATGGGGGTCTTGCCACCCGAAACCTGTGGTGCTGTAAGAGAAACAGTATGCCATGGTCAAATTGTAATTTACCAGGCCAGAGGTTCCCCCCATTAAATATTATGATTACTATCATTTTGATAAAACAATTTTTCTAAAAGTTTTATTTGAAAGATTAGAAGATCTGATGTCGAATCCTACCTCACAAACCGTACATCTACACAAACGGCTTCTCCTCCCGCTCTCACCCGGTTACCTGCGGGGTACCCCAAGGATCCATCCTTGGCCCCCTCCTCTTTCTGATCTACATGCTCCCTCTTAGGGATGTCATATGCAGACATGGGGTACATTTCTACATGTACGTGGACGACACCCAACTCTATTTTTCCACCTCTCTTTTTGCGACCCCCAGTTCCCTGATGTCAGACCTCAGGGGCTGGATGAGCGCAAATTTCCTTCAGCTGAACGTTGACAAGACGGAAGCCATACTCTTTGGCTCTCGTCAACATCTAAAATCTCACAGCTCTCACTTCCTCCACCTACCCGACCTCCCCCTAAAACTCTCTGAACCCGTATGCAACCTAGGCGTCAAGTTCGACCCCCAATTATCCTTTCTCCCTCATATCCGGTCCCTCACCAGCACCACTTTCTTCCATCTCCGACGCATCGCCCGTCTCCACCAATACGTCCTCTCCAAAAGCTGCTGAAACCCTAGTCCATGCCTTTGTCACTCCTCGGCTGGTCTATTCTAACGCCCTCCTCGCCGGTCTCCCATCCACTACAATCCATAAAATCCAGATCATTCAAAACTCTGCCGCCTACATTCTCACCCGCACCAAACTCCTCTCCCTGATCACCCCAGTCCTTGCCAGACTGCACTGACTGCCTATCCCAGAGAGGATCGACTTCAAGATCCTCACCCTTGTATTCAAATCCCTCCACTCCTCTGCAGCCCCCTACCTCTCTGACCTCCTCTCTTCAAAACAGTACCCGTTGCCTTCGTTCCTCCGGGTCTGGCCTCCTCCTCGTCCCCCGAGTCCTCCGCTCTACCCTCGACGGTCGCGCCTTCAGCCACTACACCCCGAGGCTCTGGAATTCCCTTCCTCACTCCCTTCGCCTCGCTCCCTCTCTTCCTATTTTCAGGTCTCTGCTGAAGACCTTTCTTTTCGACCGCGCCTTTGGTCACCTTCCTCTCCATCCCCCTGGCTCGGCCCCAGAATCCGTTACTGTGAAGTGCTCTGAGACACCGTCCGGCGTGGAGGGTGCTATATAAATCCAAGTTGTTGTTGTTGACCTTCACAGGAGGCACATTGCATGATGCAGTCATACTGAGCTCAGTTTTGGAGCAGGCTGTAGAACCTGCATGTTGTGAAATGGTAATAAGTGTGGTTCTTAATTTTATCTTACAATCTTGAAAAAAAACTGGAGATTCTAGCAAAATATTGCTAGTTTATATTACTGGAAACAAAAATGTCACTGCTTTCAGAAGTTATATTATGCATAACACGAATGTTAGACAGGAAGCT